TTATCCTATTCTCTGCAAGTTGAAAACCAAACTATAATTGATAACTTCTGTTTAAAAACAACTACCTTATACTAGGCACGCAGTAATCATCCTTTCTCATCTCTGCAATAAATTTTCCTCGGTGCTCATACAAAGCCCACTTATCTGTATAAAAAGTTCAATCAAAATTTGCTAAACAAGCAAAAAAAATTTCTACAGATGCATACCTTTCATAGATTGCGACAAGTATGAAGTGGCACTGACCAAACTCCTAGTAGATCGATATCGAATTTTTCCGGCAGTGGTTCACGCACAGCTGGGAGAGGTCTTGTTTTTTCCTGGTACACAGCTGAACTCCTGGGAATTTTTCTGCATGGAACTGCTCCGAGTCTTAAAGAGCTTTTTTTCCCATGCCGAAGTATATCGGTTCCCAGGAAATGGTCTTCACATATTGAGGCCCTAAATATAAAAAGGTAAAGTATATTGGTATAACAATATGAAGATGTCAAAAGCTAGCTATGGTCATTTTGTGCAAAATTTGAATTAAATGCAAAACAAATTAGATGGCTTGGTAGGCTTAGCAAATTATAACGATAAATATACGATAAGAAAAATTAACAAATATTCCGGGTTTCTGATAATCCACACAGCAGAATTTTTGAACGCAATTACTCAATTATACTATTATAGGCTGTATAAATTTGTTTATATGTTTAATATGCCTAGATAAGTACATTACGTTTCTTTGTGCAGCATAGCCTTGATGTTATCTCCTCTGCTACTGTCTCTCATCGCCAATAAAAAATTGGACAACCCCTCCCGGTGTTTCCTTTCCTGAGGAGTCTTTGCCAGATCGGGCCGAAGAACAGAAAATAGTGTTTTTACAGACTGTCCTGCTTTCCTAGACTTGACATAGGAGTAGCTGCATCCCGGCACTGCACAATGCGTTCCAGCTGGCATAGTAAAAAATATTTAAATCACTTAATATATATATATATAACAATACTCACGTATCGATACCACAAATACTTGGTTTGCTTCTCCAAACTGTGTTCCCTCTTCACATAAGTTGAAATAAAGGATTCCTGTGCAAGTACGGCACCTACGATTAGAACTATATGTACCGGTAGATAGATTAGAGCTAAGTTGTCTACAATACTGTGGTACGGGCCTGAAAGCAAAATTACCGAAAATGAAATAGCAATATCTGAATAATATTATTGCTACTGCTGTCAGTTCAGCAGTTACCGTACCGGTGCCAGGTTATCGTACCGTGTTAGGTCAAGTTCACAGTCTGTGACATAAATATCGAAACGAAAGCTAGCGTGATTTTTATAGCTAATCTACTCATATATATATATATACGAAGCGTTACAAAATAACTTAAAAATGCCCGCAGCTTGGGGCAACAAAAAACCTTCGGTCAAAATATTTGGCGGCAAAGTTAAGCGCTGAGAAGGTCATACCTCTTTACTCATGCGGAACTATGACGTCACACAGAGGTGGTATCTCTATGTTGACCCTCTATAGTATAACTACCCAACAGTTCTTTACGCACGAACCCCTTTGTAGAGTATTTTAACAAAACAAAAACTTTATAGTTTATAAGCAATGTCAGTCGTTATTTCCGCAATCCCCATCACAGAAACGTAGTGGTGTACATGCTAAATCAGCACGGAAACATTTGCAGCGAGCAGCACAACCTTTCTTGCAGCCACAATGAATCAGCTCTGTGCAAATTTTTGCTGCTTCAGGAATAGTCATCTATCTTGGTAAAAATTTGTCTCCTACTTTTTCCCATCCCCATCTCTGTGCATCAGGTAAATTTTGTGAAACCTCTGTTGCTTTGCTCCAAATAAACACACCTTGGAAGATTGCCTCTACGTATGTGTTGCAGCAGAGAATTTGATGTAGGGGGGATGTTCTCTGGCATTTTCCCTTTCTTTGTAAACAGATGATGTCGTAGCTCAACGAGTCGATTTAGTGTGGTGATGCTGCGTGCTGCTATTATGCTGGTGTATTTATTACTGTGTATTTAACAATACAACTGTGTTCTTGTAAGTCTTGAGTATTCATATGTTCATTGCAACGCCTCTAGGTATCTTGACGATAACCCAACGAGGCATGGTGTCAGAAGTTAAGGCTTACAAAGTTGGAAGCAAATGAACAACGACTCAGAACACGCTGCAGAGGTCGAAATCAAATGTCAACATGGCGATGCCTGCACCAAAGCAACTTGAATTAACTGCCACAGGATGGGAAGAATTCAAATTTGACTGGCATCACTATGAAATTGCCACAGAACTTTCTAAAAAGGCTGATGAAGTACGAGTTTCCACATTTTTGACCGTAGCAGGTCCTGGAGCAAAGAAGGTTTACAAAACTTTCAAATGGGAAGAAGATGGTGATAAAAAACAAGCCAGAAAGTGCACTTAAGCAATTTGAAAACCACTGCATGCCTAAAAAGAGTGTTATATTTGACAGATATAAATTTGGGATGAGAAAAAAAGATAGCACAGAAACTGTCAGAGAATATGTTTCTGCACTGCGGAACCTTGCAAAAACATGTGAATTTGAAAAAATTGCACCAGATAAAATTGTTGATGAACTTATCAGGGACAAGGTAATCTTCAATGTATCTGCCCGGGCAACCCTAAAATGCGGGAAACGGGAACGACGGGAAATGCACTAAAATGCGGGAACGACGGGAAATTGCAAAACCTAAAATGCGGGAACTACGGGAAATTTCACTAAAAAGCGGGAAATTTCACAAAAAGCGGGAATGACGGGAAATCGCTTTAAGGTACGGAAAATATTCATTTTGGAGTATGTTTAGGGGAAATTGTTCTAGAAAGCGAAAGCAATGGTGTATATACGCTTGGGGGTGTATGTACGTGAAAATTTATCTAAAATGCGGGAACGACGGCAAATCGCGTTAAAGTACGGGAAATACTCATTTCAGAGAATGTTTAGAAGAAATTGCACTAGAAAATGGAAGCAATGGGAAATATACGCTTGGGTTGTGTGGATACGGAAATTTCACTAAAAGATTCTAATAATATTCGGATAATATGTATTTGGATAATATGTATGTTAGTACAATTACCCCGTACATGCACACTTAAGTATAAACGGCACTCCGGAAGTATGTGCAACAAGATGACGCACAACTTGAACTCTAACCTGGTATACATACTATGTTCAGGTTGTGCGTCATCTTGTTGCACATACTTTGGGAGCGCCCTATAAACTTGCCGTTGCTTTTGCTATTCAATGCATATTTACCCCACACATACTCTAAAATACACATTTCCCATACCCTAAAGCAAATTCCCGTCTTTTGTGGAATTTCCCGTAGTTCCCGCAATTTCAAATTGACAAATTCCCGTCGTTCCCGCAGTTTCCGCTTTTTAGTGCATTTCCCGTCGTTCCCGCAGTTCCCGCATTTTAGGGCCCTAAAATGCGGGAAACGGGAATGGCGGGAAAAGTTAATAACAAGCGGAAAAATGTTACAAAAAGCGGGAATGACGGAAAATCGCTCGAAGATAAAGGAAATATGTATTATAGTACGATTACTACGTACATGCACACTTAAGAATAAACGGCACTTCGGAAGTATTTGCAACAAAATGGCGCACAACCTGAGCTTTAACCTGGTACACATACTTGGTTCAGGTTGTGCGCCATCTTGATGAACATACTTGGGAGCACTGTATAAACTTGCCGTTGCTTTCCTCCTTGAGTGAAAATTTAGCCCACACATACTCTAAAATACATATTAGGGCCTATACATTCAGGGCCCTAAAATGCGGAAACGGGGAAATTTACTAATAAGCGGGAGAATGTTACGAAATGCTGGAAAGAGGGAAAATTGCTCCAAGATAGGGAAAATATGCATTTTAGAGTGTATGTAGGGGAAATTTCACTTGATAGCGGGGAATTTCACACAAAGTGGGAATGACGGGAAATTGCTCTAAGATGGGGGAAATGGGCATTTTATTGTGTATGTACGGGAAATTGTACTAGAAGGCGAGAGCAACGGGAAATATACACTTGAATGTGTAGGTACAAGAAATTGTATTAAAAAGCGGAAATTACGGAAAATATTACTCATGAGTAGGAACTATGTGATATTTTGGGAAATTTTACTGAAAATCAAGTGGGTATAAGGGAAATTCTCTAAATAAGCGGCGATTACGTGAACAACAGTTTATACGGCGCTCCCGAAGAATGTGCAACAAGATGACGCACAACCTGAACATAGTATGTATACCAGGTTAGAGTTCAGGTTGTGCGTCATCTTGTTGCACATACTTCCGGAGTGCCGTTTATACTTGAGTGTGCATGTACGGGGTAATTGTACTAACATACATATTATCCGAATCCGAATATTATTAGAATCTTTTAGTGAAATTTCCGTATCCACACAACCCAAGCGTATATTTCCCGTTGCTTCCATTTTCTAGTGCAATTTCTTCTAAACATACTCTGAAATGAGTATTTCCCGTACTTTAACGCGATTTGCCGTCGTTCCCGCATTTTAGATAAATTTTCACGTACATACACCCCCAAGCGTATATTAACCATTGCTTTCGTTTTCTGGAACAATTTCCCCTAAACATACCCCAAAATGAATATTTCCCGTACCTTGAAGCGATTTCCCGTCATTCCCGCTTTTTGTGAAATTTCCCGCTTTTTAGTGAAATTTCCCGTAGTTCCCGTCATTCCCGTAGTTCCCGCATTTTAGTTTTTGCAATTTCCCGTCGTTCCCGCAGTTCCCGCATTTTAGTGCATTTCCCGTCGTTCCCGTTTCCCGCATTTTAGGGTTGCCCCAGATAGGGTTGCCCTATCTGCCCAGATACGAAATGCTTTTCGTAGTGAGACAGCAGATTCATTGACGCTTGAGAAAGTTATTGACATTGTACAATTTTTTTGAAAAGGCAGCAGAAAAAGAACTTTCTTTCTTCTAACATGCATACCCAACAGTCAAATGATAGGCTACAACATTAGCAGCTTCATCAATGCACGACCGATCACCACAAAATTCATTCAAGAATTTTAAGAAGAAAAATATGAGGAAATGTGGTTGGTGTGGCAACATTAAACATGCTAAAGAGCAATGTCCTGCGAAATCGTCTGAATGTCATAAATGCCATAAAATTGGTCATTGGGCAAAAGTTTGCAGATCAACAGGGACGACATTCAAGAAACAAAGAAATGCAGCTATGCTTCGATCATCAAAACAAGAAATACATCCAGATTACTATGCTAGCTCACTAAATAGTATTCAAAGAACATTTGCAGCAACAAAAGACCTGAAAATAGGCAAAGAACACATCAAATTTCTAATTGACACGGGAAGTGATGTCAACACACTACCAGCGTGGATGTATAAAAAGGCAACAGGTGACTACAGATTACGACATGTAAAGAAGGCTCGTGAAAGTTTTATGTGTTATAATGGCCAATCAGTGCATACCATTGGCAACGTCAACTATAACTGTTCAGATGACAGTGGAAAAACACACAATTTAAACTTTCTGCTTTTGAATGACCAAGTTGATCCCTTAATTGGTATTCAATCAGCTATAAAGACGCAATTAGTAACACTGCATCGTGTAGAAAACCCAGCCTGTATGTCTATGGAAAGCAAACAAGAACAAAAACTTAAAAGCAAGCAACATGTTTTATCAGCTTACCCACAAGTATTTGCTGATATTCCAGGTGACATAGGAGTCACACATCACATTTGCATAGATAGCAATGTACAGCCTGTTTATCACAAACAGCGTAAAGTGCAAGAACCTCTTCGAGTCAAAGTTAAAGAAAAACTTGACATGATGGAAAAACAAGGTATCATAAAGCCGGTATCAGAACCGACAGACTGGCAAAGTTCGATGATAACTGTACTCAAACCAAATAAAGAAATAAGAATATGCTTAGATTGCAAAGAGCTGAACGATGCAATAAAGCGCGAGTACTATACTATGCTAACTTTTGAAGAAATAGCTTCTCGTCTAAATGGTGCGAGATATTTTACAAAGTTAGATGCTAAACATGGTTACCACCAGATTCGTTTGGATGGAGAATCATCTTTTCTAACCATATTCAGCACACCATTTCAAAGATACAGATTTCTGAGAATTCCTTTTGGTTTAAACAAAGTCATCTGTATCTTTGCCATCTAAAATGATATTCTTTTAACGCTTGAAATTGAATACCATCATATAAAACAATTGTTGTTGTATGATATTAATTTATTTGGTTTTAGCCTAGTCAGGTGTAAATATAAAATATATACTGTGTATGTATCCTTGAAATCATATATACTTGCAATTCCAATTGCTTGATTTGTGCATTCTAAGTGAATTGCTATTGTTTTCTCATTGTGAATTTGGAGATTACAGTTTTCTTTCTTTTGTTTGCAATCCTTCGCTATATTCACCAATGTTACATATTGTGCGTTGTACTTTGCTGCTCCAAACGAAAATTTCACCTTATATCCCATCCATGATATTTCATAAGCAACCTTTAACTCTCTATTTTTATATTTGATTACTATAGTATTATTAAATGCTCATATTGAAAGTGTTATGTGAATGTTATAAAATGTTGCATTCTTTTATTTTATTTCATAAGGCTAATATGCCAAGTTTATATTGCATTCATGATACTTTCTCTGTAAAATCATTTCAGATAATTTTACGTATTCGATCATGACTATTAAATTTTCACATTCAAATTGTCCCAAATCGTGTTATAAAATGTTACATTCTTCATTTTATAAAGTCAATATGCCAAGCTAATAGCTCATTTCCCAAATAATTTGTATCTGAGTGCCTGAGCTCCAATCTATTTTTGAAATTTAATGGATAATGAAAAATGGTAATTACATGTAAATATTGTATATAGTAAACAAAAATGAGAGGTATTGATATATTGACACTGAATCTGTTATTTATTTTTATGCTTATTTAATTGAATTGAATTGGGTGGTAACTGACTTTGATGACCCCCAAAGGTCGTATCGTTGCTTCCCAGTCATATACCGAAAACATCTGTTTATTTGATATTTATATATGTATGTATATATTGTTTTCTCGGTTTGACAAAACGAAATAAACTCTCTCTCTCATCTTCTGAAATCTTCCAGCGCTCTATTTGCCAAATACTTGAGGATCTCAAAGGAGTATTTGTTATTGCTGATGACATATTAGTCACAGGAAGCACAGAGAAAGAACATGACACAAACTTGCACAATTTGTTAAAGAGATGTCAAGATAGAAATCTGCGACTCAATTTTAAAAAGCTTGAACTGCGTCAGAAATCAGTAAAGTACATGGGCCACATTCTAACTGATCAAGGAATTGTAGCAGATAAAGACAAAATACAAGGCATCATTCAAATGCCAGCGCCAAAGAAGGTATCAGAAAGAAGTACGTACATTTTTACACACTGTAAACTTTCTGAGCAAATTTCTGCCACGACTAGCTACAATTGCCAAACCACTGCATAATCTGCTATGCAAAGATGTAGAATTTATATGGTCTACACATTGTGAAAAAGCATTCTCAAACATTAAGAAATTGATCACTGAGACCCCAGTACTGGCCTACTTTGATGTGTCAAAACCAGTCACAATTCAGTGCGATGCCTCGCAATATGGATTGGGTGCAGCAATTATTCAAGATGACCACCCAATTGCATTAAAAAGTAGAAGTTTGACACAAACAGAGGAGCGATACGCACAAATAGAAAAAGAAATGCTCGCTATAGTCTATGCTTGTGAGAAATTCGACCATTATATATTTGGTCTACCTGAAGTGATTGTAGAATCTGATCACAAGCAATATTTCAAAAAGCCATTTAAGATGTTCCGCGTCGTCTTCAAAGAATGAGACTTCGCTTATAAAAATACAATCTCAGAGTGCGCTATAAACCAGGTAAAGATATGTGGATTGCCGACCTGCTCAGCCGATTGTTTCCACAAACACAAGAGTCGAGCGTCTTCAGTGTGGAAATCGAAAACACAAAACTAAACGGTGAGATGGCAGTCACACCACAGACACTTCAAAAACTGGTGAAAGAAACTGCAAACAATCCAGTGCTTGCAGAGTATATAAAGACAAATAAATTACCACCAGAATATAAGTCTGTAAATAATGAAATAAGCACTTAACAAGGGTTGGTATTTAAGTCGGAAAGATTGGTAATTCCTTTTTCAATGCGGAAAGTTTTGCATGAAAGACACAAAGGAATTGGATCTACTCGTAGACTGGCACAAGAATCTGTATATTGGCCAGGTATTAGTTCCGACATCAAGGATACTGTTGGAAACTGTCGAATATGTGCATCAATTCAACTTTCACAAGCCAAGGAGCCGATGCAACCGCAAGATGTCCCAAGCGGACCATGGCAAAAAGTAGGAATGGACTACTTTGAACTTGACAATAAGCCACATATTGTCATGGTAGATTATTACTCGAATTGGATTGAAATTGATCCTGTATCATCAATGTCAGTGAACACATTGATTACTGTTTGTAGAAAACATTTCTGCCGACGTGGTATTCCACTAATAGTCATGTCAGACTCAGGAAGTCAATTCAAATCCTCCCAATTCAGAGAATTTGCAAACAAATAGGATTTTCAGCTTGCAACGTCTTCGCCTTTCCACCAGCAATGCAATGGAAAAGCAGAATCAGCAGTGAAAATTGCCAAAACCCTATTGAAGAAATGCAAATTGGATGGATCAGATCCAAACCTTGCTTTATTAAAATGGAGAAATACACCTCTTGAACATATCAGTGCTTCTCCAGCCCAACTAATGTTTAACCGCAGAACCAGAACTCGTCTACCAATGTTGCAAACAAAACTCACATGCAACATCCAAACAAACATCGATGAAAAGAGGAAGAATAGACAAGAAAAGCAAATGAAATATTATGACGCCTCTAGGTATCTTGACGATAACCTAACGAGACATGTGGGATGATTATTTTGATTACAGCTTAAAAGCAGGCTCAAGAGAAAGAAGAGGAAGAGGCCAACGTAGAAGGGTGCATTCGTCAGCACCTCTGTCCACTGACTGGCAAGCATTTTTGAGATTGGATGAAAATAAGAAGGAGCTTTTCTCCTTTCTGTCTATGGAAGCTGGAGACCTTAAAACAGGAGGGAAAGAGCTGATTGTTACCCTGAAAAAGGGGTCGTTTGTCATCCAACAAGAGAAACACACATGCTTGCACCATGCTCACACGAGGAAGCGGGCACGAGAATGATGGTACATGTTGCAGATGCTGCTGCATCAGGTTACAGTTCAATCCTGATACGAACCTGGACACTGACGTTGTTTTACTTGCGGTTGATGAAGTTGAAGTTTCAGAACTCTGGATCATGTTTGGAACGGGAAAGAATCAAAGGATTCTACCGATTCATAAATTTCCAAGAAGCTCGGGAAGGAAAAGTCGCAGAGTTTACTCCTATTTCACGCTTTAACAGGATGTGACACAACGTCTTTCTTCCTTGGTCATGGCAAAAAGAGGGCTTAGACAACGTGGGAAAATTTTCCAGATCTGACCATAAAGAAAGCGAAGTGCCTGCGCAATGCATTCAAATAATTGAAAGATTCATCGTTCTGCTCTATGATCGGACAAGTATGTTGTCAAGTATGTACAGTTGAACTTAGCAATTACCCAGATGTTAGATAGATGTTGAAATACGGTTAAATCCTAATTGATGACCAGAATCGAGAACATTTCGACCTCTATGTATCGACATGTGCCAGCTAGGTAAGCCAAAAAATAATTTAAACTTTTTGGATATTGAACAAACTTAAGCAGAAGCTTTCCTCTCGGATAAATATTTTATTTTCCTTCAGGTTAATGAGCTGCGACATCATCTGTTTACAAAGAAAGGGAAAATGCCAGAAAACATCCCCCTACATCAAGTTCTCTGCTGCAACACATGCGTAGAGCAATCTTCCAAGGTGTGTTTATTTGGAGCAAAGCAACAGAGGTTTCACAAAATTTACCTGATGCACAGAGATGGGGATGGGAAAAAGTAGGAGACAATTTTTTACCATGATGGATGACTATCCCTGAAGCAGCAAAAATTTGCACAGAGCTGATTCATTGTGGCTACGCAAAAGGTTGTGCTGCTCGCTGCAAATGTTTCCGTGCTGATTTAGCATATGTTTCTGTGATGGGGATTGCGGAAATAACGACTGACATTGCAAAATTGATCGGGGGATGCTACTGTACATGTGTGCCAAGTTTCATGCTTGCATCCAAAAGTGCAGGAGTATATATCTAAATAGTAAAATTGCCTCCACTAGTTATTGGGGAGTCTTTGTGGAATATATTTTTGGAAAATATAATTATTTCAATCGTTTTTCCATTTATTTCTTTTTGTAGCACTTACATAAGGCGACGTTAGATATAGATTAGAATAATCAACGATTCCAGCCGAGTTTGAGCTGAAATGTAATGCAAGTTTTTCTTTTTTATCTGACTGAGATACTAATGCCAAAGTTAAGAGAATGAATTTATCTTTATTAATATATATGATGACGATATGATAGCTCCATGATAACAGTAATCCGTCAGTTATGAGATATATATTTTATATTTTCACCAGCTTTACGTGGCTATGGTTATCTTTATCAATATATATGATGACGATATGATAGCTCCATGATAACAGTGATCCGTCAGTTATGTTTTATATTTTCACCAGCTTTACGTGGCTATGAGTTTGAAAGTATACCATTGGCGATGGCAGTTGATTGAGCACAAAAGGAATTACACTTTGAATGTGAAGTTAGCTCTATTTGTGATCCATGACAATAACAGAAAATACAGGTTGTGCGACTTATAGCCGTGTTTGGTCGATAACGATGCCTCGTTTCCATGGTAACAGGTATTCTGTTATCAAGGGAAATTGTCAAAATGCATTTCTGTTCATAACCTTTACTTCTTATCTACACATCGGTATACTTATCTTGAAAATATCCTCTCCTAAAGTAATGTTTATTTCCCTTTAATAGCAATACGGATGATGCCTCGTTTCCATGGCGACGAGGTCATTTCTTGGATGGCACCATATCCAAAATTGATCAGGGGATGCTACTGTACATGTGTGCCAAGTTTCATGCTTGCATCCAAAAGTGCATGATTTTACCTCTTATCCGCTGGACTACTAGAGGGACGGTAAACCGTACTTCACTGCTTCGCTTGGTGTGAATATATTTGTAGACTGTGGTCTAGAGTCTAGACTAGAGGTACGGTAAACCGTACTTCACTGCTTCGCTTGGTGTGAATATATTTGTAGACTGGTCTAAAGTTACGGTAAACCGTACCGGTACTGTACTGCTTCGCTTGGTGTGAATATATTTTTAGACTGTGGTCGAAATGCTTCGCTTGGTGTGAATATATTTGTAGACTGTGGTATCTGCTGTTATAATACCGTGATAAATTGAATAAGTTGGTTTTGCAAAGAAGAAGTGTCTGGCATTACAGGTAGGAGGGGGAATAGGGGGGTGCGCATTTCCAATACGTCGATAATATCTTTGTCAACCAATTTGTGACCACCGTTTTTTTGTCTGTTTGATTGCTGTGATGTGGTGCTTTGTTTGTAATTTGACGAGTTTTGTTCGAAATAACCGCGTTCTTAAATTATTGTCACGCCTTTTGATAGCCCGGAATCTATATAGACGAGACACAATGAAAACGTATCAAACGCGCCACTCTCAGCCCCTTTGTCCACAAACAAGACACATGCATAAATCAGCTTCTTCTTTATACACTTGGCAAAGAACCATACACTTGGCAAAGAACAGCGGTTTTCTTAAATGAATAAAACACAATTGATTAAGTCACAAAGCATATAAACAACGGAAGGCAAAATTCTCACCAAACGTTTTCCGATCCGGGTGGCTAATACAATTACAATATATATATATCACAGATAAGTAAACAGTCAACAATACGGACAAACATCTGCGGCTCTTTCACGACGAATACGTGATGCGAAAATGACCGAAAGGAAAACGCTAAACCAGACAAAAGATAAAATTACTAATTTACGCTACAAACAAAGGGGAAAAAGGGTAATAATGGGTCTACAATGATTGGATACAAGGCAGCGCACGATGCACTGCATACAGTGGCAAAATGTACGATAAATTGTAAACAACGTACGTTTACAACGTAACAAATATATGACGGTCAGAAATGCAATTAGAAGCCCAGATAGAGAAGTTCTGGTACCGTAACACAGCGCGGTGACACTGAACTAACTCGTAGCTGTCAAAAGCTTGAAAATCCATACAAATATAAGAGATAAAAAGATGAAACTTGGCAGGTGGTTAGAGTTGTGTTTCTTTTAACCATCTTTGCAAGTTTCGCGTTTCTACATTTAAAGGAGGGGGAATAGGGGGGTGCGCATTTCCAACAAGTCGATAATATCTTTGTCAACCAATCTGCGACCACCGTGTTTTTGTCTGTTTGATTGATGTGATGTGGTGCTTTGTTTATAATTTGACGAGTTTTGTTTGAAATAACCGTGTTCTTGAAATATATGACGGTCAGAAATGCAATTAGAAGCCCAATGTTTTTAGAGATAGAGAAGTTCTGGTACCGTAACATAGCGCGGTGACACTGAACTAACTCGTAGATGTCGAAAGCTTGAAAATCCATACAAATATAAGAGATAAAAAGATGAAACTTGCCAGGTGGGTAGAGTTGTGTTTCCTTTACCCATCTTTGAAGGTTTCGCGTTTTTACATTTAAAAGAGGGGGGATAGGGGGTGCGCATTTCCAATACGTCTATAATATCTTTGTCAACCAATTTGCGACCACCGTGTTTTGTCTGTTTGATTGCTGTGATGTGGTGCTTTGTTTGTAATTTGACGAGTTTTGTTCGAAATAACCGCGTTCTTAAAATATTGTCACGCCTTTTGATAGCCCGGAATCTATATAGACGAGACACAATGAAAACGTATCAAACGCGCCACTCTCAGCCCCTTTGTCCACAAACAAGACACATGCATAAATCAGCTTCTTCTTTATACACTTGGCAAAGAACAATACACTTGGCAAAGAACAGCGGTTTTCTTAAATGAATAAAACACAATTGATTAAGTCACAAAGCATATAAACAACGGAAGGCAAAATTCTCACCAAACGTTTTCCGATCCGGGTGGCTAATACAATTACAATATATATATATCACAGATAAGTAAACAGTCAACAATACGGACAAACATCTGCGGCTCTTTCACGACGAATACGTGATGCGAAAATGACCGAAAGGAAAACGCTAAACCAGACAAAAGATAAAATTACTAATTTACGCTACAAACAAAGGGGGAAAAGAGTAATAATGGGTCTACAATGATTGGATACAAGGCAGCGCACGATGCACTGCATACAGTGGCAAAATGTACGATAAATTGTAAACAACGTACGTTTACAACGTAACAAATATATGACGGTCAGAAATGCAATTAGAAGCCCAGATAGAGAAGTTCTGGTACCGTAACACAGCGCGGTGACACTGAACTAACTCGTAGCTGTCAAAAGCTTGAAAATCCATACAAATATAAGAGATAAAAAGATGAAACTTGGCAGGTGGTTAGAGTTGTGTTTCTTTTAACCATCTTTGCAAGTTTCGCGTTTCTACATTTAAAGGAGGGGGAATAGGGGGGTGCGCATTTCCAACAAGTCGATAATATCTTTGTCAACCAATCTGCGACCACCGTGTTTTTGTCTGTTTGATTGATGTGATGTGGTGCTTTGTTCATAATTTGACGAGTTTTGTTTGAAATAACCGTGTTCTTGAAATATATGACGGTCAGAAATGCAATTAGAAGCCCAATGTTTTTAGAGATAGAGAAGTTCTGGTACCGTAACATAGCGCGGTGACACTGAACTAACTCGTAGGTGTCGAAAGCTTGAAAATCCATACAAATATAAGAGATAAAAAGATGAAACTTGCCAGGTGGGTAGAGTTGTGTTTCCTTTACCCATCTTTGAAGGTTTCGCGTTTTTACATTTAAAAGAGGGGGGATAGGGGGTGCGCATTTCCAATACGTCTATAATATCTTTGTCAACCAATTTGCGACCACCGTGTTTTGTCTGTTTGATTGCTGTGATGTGGTGCTTTGTTTGTAATTTGACGAGTTTTGTTCGAAATAACCGCGTTCTTAAAATATTGTCACGCCTTTTGATAGCCCGGAATCTATATAGACGAGACACAATGAAAACGTATCAAACGCGCCACTCTCAGCCCCTTTGTCCACAAACAAGACACATGCATAAATCAGCTTCTTCTTTATACACTTGGCAAAGAACAATACACTTGGCAAAGAACAGCGGTTTTCTTAAATGAATAAAACACAATTAAGTCACAAAGCATATAAACAACAGAAGGCAAAATTCTCACCAAACGTTTTCCGATCCGGGTGGCTAATACAATTACAATATATATATATCACAGATAAGTAAACAGTCAACAATACGGACAAACATCTGCGGCTCTTTCACGACGAATACGTGATGCGAAAATGACCGAAAGGAAAACGCTAAACCAGACAAAAGATAAAATTACTAATTTACGCTACAAACAAAGGGGGAAAAGAGTAATAATGGGTCTACAATGATTGGATACAAGGCAGCGCACGATGCACTGCATACAGTGGCAAAATGTACGATAAATTGTAAACAACGTACGTTTACAACGTAACAAATATATGACGGTCAGAAATGCAATTAGAAGCCCAGATAGAGAAGTTCTGGTACCGTAACACAGCGCGGTGACACTGAACTAACTCGTAGCTGTCAAAAGCTTGGAAATCCATACAAATATAAGAGATAAAAAGATGAAACTTGGCAGGTGGTTAGAGTTGTGTTTCTTTTAACCATCTTTGCAAGTTTCGCGTTTCTACATTTAAAGGAGGGGGAATAGGGGGGTGCGCATTTCCAACAAGTCGATAATATCTTTGTCAACCAATCTGCGACCACCGTGTTTTTGTCTGTTTGATTGATGTGATGTGGTGCTTTGTTTATAATTTGACGAGTTTTGTTTGAAATAACCGTGTTCTTGAAATATATGACGGTCAGAAATGCAATTAGAAGCCCAATGTTTTTAGAGATAGAGAAGTTCTGGTACCGTAACATAGCGCGGTGACACTGAACTAACTCGTAGGTGTCGAAAGCTTGAAAATCCATACAAATATAAGAGATAAAAAGATGAAACTTGCCAGGTGGGTAGAGTTGTGTTTCCTTTACCCATCTTTGAAGGTTTCGCGTTTTTACATTTAAAAGAGGGGGGATAGGGGGTGCGCATTTCCAATACGTCTATAATATCTTTGTCAACCAATTTGCGACCACCGTGTTTTGTCTGTTTGATTGCTGTGATGTGGTGCTTTGTTTGTAATTTGACGAGTTTTGTTCGAAATAACCGCGTTCTTAAAATATTGTCACGCCTTTTGATAGCCCGGAATCTATATAGACGAGACACAATGAAAACGTATCAAACGCGCCACTCTCAGCCCCTTTGTCCACAAACAAGACACATGCATAAATCAGCTTCTTCTTTATACACTTGGCAAAGAACAATACACTTGGCAAAGAACAGCGGTTTTCTTAAATGAATAAAACACAATTGATTAAGTCACAAAGCATATAAACAACGGAAGGCAAAATTCTCACCAAACGTTTTCCGATCCGGGTGGCTAATACAATTACAATATATATATATCACAGATAAGTAAACAGTCAACAATACGGACAAACATCTGCGGCTCTTTCACGACGAATACGTGATGCGAAAATGACCGAAAGGAAAACGCTAAACCAGACAAAAGATAAAATTACTAATTTACGCTACAAACAAAGGGGGAAAAGAGTAATAATGGGTCTACAATGATTGGATACAAGGCAGCGCACGATGCACTGCATACAGTGGCAAAATGTACGATAAATTGTAAACAACGTACGTTTACAACGTAACAAATATATGACGGTCAGAAATGCAATTAGAAGCCCAGATAGAGAAGTTCTGGTACCGTAACACAGCGCGGTGACACTGAACTAACTCGTAGCTGTCAAAAGCTTGAAAATCCATACAAATATAAGAGATAAAAAGATGAAACTTGGCAGGTGGTTAGAGTTGTGTTTCTTTTAACCATCTTTGCAAGTTTCGCGTTTCTACATTTAAAGGAGGGGGAATAGGGGGTGCGCATTTCCAACAAGTCGATAATATCTTTGTCAACCAATCTGCGACCACCGTGTTTTTGTCTGTTTGATTGATGTGATGTGGTGCTTTGTTCATAATTTGACGAGTTTTGTTTGAAATAACCGTGTTCTTGAAATATATGACGGTCAGAAATGCAATTAGAAGCCCAATGTTTTTAGAGATAGAGAAGTTCTGGTACCGTAACATAGCGCGGTGACACTGAACTAACTCGTAGGTGTCGAAAGCTTGAAAATCCATACAAATATAAGAGATAAAAAGATGAAACTTGCCAGGTGGGTAGAGTTGTGTTTCCTTTACCCATCTTTGAAGGTTTCGCGTTTTTACATTTAAAAGAGGGGGGATAGGGGGTGCGCATTTCCAATACGTCTATAATATCTTTGTCAACCAATTTGCGACCACCGTGTTTTGTCTGTTTGATTGCTGTGATGTGGTGCTTTGTTTGTAATTTGACGAGTTTTGTTCGAAATAACCGCGTTCTTAAAATATTGTCACGCCTTTTGATAGCCCGGAATCTATATAGACGAGACACAATGAAAACGTATCAAACGCGCCACTCTCAGCCCCTTTGTCCACAAACAAGACACATGCATAAATCAGCTTCTTCTTTATACACTTGGCAAAGAACAATACACTTGGCAAAGAACAGCGGTTTTCTTAAATGAATAAAACACAATTGATTAAGTCACAAAGCATATAAACAACAAAAGGCAAAATTCTCACCAAACGTTTTCCGATCCGGGTGGCTAATACAATTACAATATATATATATCACAGATAAGTAAACAGTCAACAATACGGACAAACATCTGCGGCTCTTTCACGACGAATACGTGATGCGAAAATGACCGAAAGGAAAACGCTAAACCAGACAAAAGATAAAATTACTAATTTACGCTACAAACAAAGGGGAAAAAGGGTAATAATGGGTCTACAATGATTGGATACAAGGCAGCGCACGATGCACTGCATACAGTGGCAAAATGTACGATAAATTGTAAACAACGTACGTTTACAACGTAACAAATATATGACGGTCAGAAATGCAATTAGAAGCCCAGATAGAGAAGTTCTGGTACCGTAACACAGCGCGGTGACACTGAACTAACTCGTAGCTGTCAAAAGCTTGAAAATCCATACAAATATAAGAGATAAAAAGATGAAACTTGGCAGGTGGTTAGAGTTGTGTTTCTTTTAACCATCTTTGCAAGTTTCGCGTTTCTACATTTAAAGGAGGGGGAATAGGGGGGTGCGCATTTCCAACAAGTCGATAATATCTTTGTCAACCAATCTGCGACCACCGTGTTTTTGTCTGTTTGATTGATGTGATGTGGTGCTTTGTTTATAATTTGACGAGTTTTGTTTGAAATAACCGTGTTCTTGAAATATATGACGGTCAGAAATGCAATTAGAAGCCCAATGTTTTTAGAGATAGAGAAGTTCTGGTACCGTAACATAGCGCGGTGACACTGAACTAACTCGTAGGTGTCGAAAGCTTGAAAATCCATACAAATATAAGAGATAAAAAGATGAAACTTGCCAGGTGGGTAGAGTTGTGTTTCCTTTACCCATCTTTGAAGGTTTCGCGTTTTTACATTTAAAAGAGGGGGGATAGGGGGTGCGCATTTCCAATACGTCTATAATATCTTTGTCAACCAATTTGCGACCACCGTGTTTTGTCTGTTTGATTGCTGTGATGTGGTGCTTTGTTTATACAGGTACTGGTAAGTCACCGCATATGATTTTTGGGAATTGTTCTGCGTGTCCATATATTTGAGCATTGCTCTCTTGTTTTATAGATGAATTCAACCAAGTCAATGATTGCAAAAGTAAGAAGGAAATGTTGTCAGCACCGACCGTTTTTTTTTATTGCAAGTATAGTGTTGAAAACCTCATTAGCAGTAGCCTAATAGCTCAAAAGTCAATGGACTCCTTGGTTGCGGGAGAGAAGAAAATCTTCAAAACTTTTATTTGAAGGTGGCACACTGCTAATAAGGTTCTTATCGATACATGTGAAAAAATGTCTAAGTTCGTTATTAATGACAATTCGAGTACGATTTTATATTCATAATATTCTTTATTGTCTGCCAAGTGTGGCTTATATCCCCCTTGTTATATTGTACTTTTGTAAAATAATAATTCTGTTTGGAGCTATTTACAATGTCAGCTCGACTAGATTCCTTCTATGATTTTTGTAATTCGTTCGATGACTTGGGGTGCTGAGTATGTAATGCTTTATATGCATAGATTTTTTGTTCCTTATTCATCCATGGCTTGTTGGCCAGCCTATTCATTTTGCGTGAGCATTTTCCCATGGACGCATTCTTATCGAGTATGCATTTTAATATGTTTATAAAAGAGTTGAACTTCTGATTAAAGTTGGTATTTGATAGTTTTGTATTGATGAGATTGCCAGAGGCGTTTTCAATATCGAGGCTAAAATTTTCTTTACTAAAGTTTGACATTTTACGTTCAGTGCAAGCCTTATCAATTCTATTAGCTACATTAATATTGGGAATGTAACATAATATGATATAGGAAAGCGGTCAGAGATATCGTCTACTTTAATAGAATGTAATAGGAGCATCATGATCTATAGTATTTGTGTATATGTGATCCATTAATGTGTGGGATGTGGAGGTCTTCCTCTTATCCATAAAGATATAGCTACAAAGACGTTGGTGTTGTTGGCAAAACATTTTCGCGTCTTTGAGGTGAATATTGGTCTTCAACGGCAGATTTCAGTAATTCTGAATTTCCTACTCTTGGCTCCGACACTATTCAATCACGTTAGACACAGACGAACTCAACCAACTGTTTTTCAAACGCAATATATCAGCGTGTTTCGTGCCCATTCAATCTATTGTGCTTGTGTGCTTAGAACTTCTGGTGTAGGTGGTTAAATGATCCCAACCGCTACTTGAAGGGCCTCCTTCGCGGAGGGCAAGATAGGCTACGGCAGCTACACAAGACGAGTACTGACATTGATACAACACTGTAAGTTTCATCTTTGAAGCCTTCCTTCTTAGTGACTTTGTAATCAAGTTCATATCAACTCCGAACACTGCTTTAAATTCCGGGCATTTATATCTTTTAACCATAACAAATATATTTTCTCCGCACACTATACCTATACGTGAAACGTACACATGTTGGACGGATTTGTTTTATGATGGCCCGAGGGCGCCCTTGTCATATCGAAGATGCAGTCGTGCAGTTCAATGTCGTCAACCAGATAACGACACGATTTGCGAAACTGTCAAAAAAGGGCATTTTTCCAAGAACACGGAATATTTTATTTTGAGAAAGTACTCAGCACTAGATAAGATATATGTGATGTTCAAGAGGTCTGGTCAGGTCGCAAACAAGGTAGGTATGTCAAGTTTAGTTTGTTGCTCTGCAACAATTAAACTGAATGAATTCTTTCGGCGAGGAAATATGAAAGGAAAAGAAAATGTTTTTGCTTTGATTCCGGGAAAAGATTTCAGAATGAATTTGAAAATAAGAATTTCAGGAGTAGCTGTAGATTGAGCGAGTTCAATGCCAATGAACCAAACCACTTCCACAGACAATCGCTCACTTGAAATGAGCATTGTACACATCTTAACCAATGATCAATCTTAAAAAAGGAACAGATAATGAAAATATGAGTTTGAATGATGTCATCTGCTACAACCGCGCCCACTTCGTCGTAGCTTCGTGATTTACACACCACGTAAAAAACCCATCGGCAATTGTTATTCGCTGTGCGTGCATTTAGCGAATAATTGGGACCTCCTGAAGTATGCGCACCAAGATGGCGCACAACCTGAACTCATGTTGTGTACCAGGTTAGGGTTCAGGTTATGCGACAATTTGGTGCGCATACTTCAGGAGTACTAATAATTGTTTTGAATTTCCGTAAAATTTTTCATTAAAGTAATTCGCTGCAAGATATTTAAACGCAATGATCACGTTACATAAATGTTAAACCACATCAACGTAAATAATCACAAATGCGAGAAAATTTGCTGAATAACGATTTTAATTAATGACGTTTCGTTTTATCATTAAAATCTTGTGTAACCCGATGCCCTCAAGCAAAATCAAGTTCAATTTAGACCTTGAAATATACAGGTTTTTTCTCTGAAGAATCTGTGAATAAATAGATAGGATATTGCGAGTAATAATTCTATGAATTTGATTGGCAATACAGCGCGTCCCAGCTCTTCCAAAAATAGTAGCCTCACGCGTTTTTGCGGCTTTTTTACAAAGATTTATTCGAAGTGAACACATGAAAATAACTCTACACATCTAAGTTAAAACGGTTATCACTGCGTAATGAAAGAAAACAAGATGAAAGAAAACACTCGGAAAACCTATCACACATAATATACATAGAGAAATAAATGTAGATATTTCTGGATCTAGCTTATTTGTCTAGGGAACACCTAAATAGCCGAAATTTGTTCTCATTTTGAATTAGTTGAATATTTGCTGGCGGTGAATTTTGTTTTCAATTCTTCAATGTGACGTCGAGAAATACGTGTTTTACAATAGATTCATGTGTCACCCTGATGGATTTTTATGGCGCAGACAATACAGTTTCAAGCGTCGCATTGTTCAATATCTCACTTAGGGTTTTTTGACTTTCCTTCTTACTGTTTCTTGGATAGGCCTTATCTAGCGCGGAATTTTAGGTAGTATGTTGCTATGCATTCGATTTTTACTTGGACGTGGATTAAAGCGGTTTTGAGACCACTGTGTTATAGTAAAAAAGTATTCCTAGAGTATAATCTATTTCTCTAGCCTAGATCCAACGATGTATATGAGCAAATATACATATTTTCAAAAAATTTGACAGATCAAGTTTAATTCTACTTTTTCATATTTCCACCGGTTTATCGAATTGAAATGGTATTTCTTGTGATTTACAATCAAATTAGCATTTCAGATATATTACGAATTCACTTTTGTAGTAGTTGGCTAGCAACAATTTAATTATTCAGCAATCTAAATCCGGTTGCTGTACCATAGTTCTGTTTCTATTTACTTGTTCAAACGCCAGTTAATTGCTAGTTAAACTATTTCATTCCATCGTTTTATCCTCTTGATATTGAAAGCTATCTAGCGATGTCTCGTGTTTGCGAAACTGAATAGTAGAAGTATCAGCCCAGACCGGCTTTTCCGTGATATGTATTTCCGCGACGCAGTGTAGTAAACACTCAATACTTACAATGTAATGTGAAGAATTCTGACAATTCTTATCAATATACTAGACTTTTGAATTGCGATATGTTGCGTTTTGATTTCTTCATTCATTATTGCAGTCGTGTCAGGCACGTGCTATACTTATGAAAATAATGTAAATTCGTCGATGATTTGTAGTAAATATAGTCGAATCAAATAATCTAGTTACACACACACGAGATGTTGAGTTACATTTGTTAAAGTGCATTTTTTGCGCAAATTCGATAGAAATGACTATTAGTTTCAAAGTAACGGCATTTTGCGTTACTCAGGAGATGCTTTCACTCGTGATAGTAGGTTAGTTTGCAGGATTTCATGTTAGGTGACGTAAACGACACTCCATTAAATATTATGTAATTTTGGCTCTTTCATGTTGTACTGTTTACTATATATCGTGAAATAAGTGCAACTCATGTGTGGTAGCATACATTGTGGTAGTTTCGACGGAATACATTTCCTCAGCTTTCAGCATATTCAGTTCAGTTGATATTATAACCTGATGCTGGGATCTGTGACGGGACAGGCAGTAGTTAAGTCAGCTGTTTCTCTGCCCTACCTGATTGGACAGTAAGCATCGATTGGTACAGGACAGTCTTACTCGTGTGGTGTTTCTTCACTAAGATATTTGTAGTTGTGCAATATTTCTGAATAAATTGCTATGTTTATTAAGTCTTGAATTTGAATCAATTTAACACTTGAGTTTAGTTGATGTTCACAAAGTATTATATTAGTTTGTGAGATTTTTATGACACGACTAAACAAATTTGGACTGCTTTTTATGATGTGACACCAGTCCAAATTTCAACAATGGACTTAGATCGGGGTTATGCAACATTTTTGTCGGTGGGCTATATAACCAACTTCAGATATCTAGCTGGGCCCTCAATAAAATTCGAGGGAAGGGTAAGAAATTAGAATGTGCTGGCTATCGCTCAGCCTTACAGTAATGAATGCACCAGGCAAACGGCGAAAGATTTGAAGCAACGACAAGAGAAAATGAGCGCATTTATCACATGAGCGCCTTTTCAAACATAAACTGTCGGATTAGGAATTTCTGTTTGATGGGGAAAAATCTGAGTTTAGAGAAGGACCACACTAAATGACTGGGCGGTCCGGGTTGTGGCCCGCGGAACGCCCGTTGCACACCCCTGGATTAGGTATTACGTTACGATGGGCACATAATTATTATTTTTATGTGTTTACACATAATCTGGTAACTGTTTTATTATTTACCTGTTTAAAAAAGTTGTACCTCTCCGATCCCGTTCTTGTGATATCACCGAGTTTAGATGATGTCTTATTTTCTCGGTAAAATAATCGGAACACTAAGTACAGGCGTTCCAAGTTCAGCCCAAACATTCGCTATCCAATGTGGAGGAACCAACCCCATTTATATTAGTTGAAATGACGGCGAAGTAAAATGATTATTTTATTCGTGCTATGTTTTTGTTTTGGTACTTTATGGAATACTAAATTAACTGTATAGACATATACTCCAATGTAATTTGATGAGTAATACATTTTAACAGTCCAGTGTGATGTTTTAAAAATGCATCTCAATGTACTAGGTGTGTGTGATGCACATGACTGATGCGTGATCAATTCATTAAAACACATGTGGAAGCATAGTTGGTTGTTTCATGAAGGTTGTTCTCGGAAACTAGTTTAAAAATTGCATACACAGTCATGGTCATGGTAGATTTTGAATTGTTTTTTCCAAGCATTATATAATAAAAAATTTATATACATATACTTCATTTAGTTATATTTATTCAAATTACGTGACGTAGCATTATAAAACTGACGTAGTCACGAGTACCTGTATTTACTCTTACGTATATTCACGTGCTGTTTGCTATTAGTTATTTATTAATTAATCTGCCTCATTTTTTTTACGTCGATTGGATGTCAACGTTGTTCTACAAGTATAAAATATAATGAAATGTCACGAATATTGGTAGACTGGGAGGATACCTATACGAAGTCCTTTTCTGGCTCCCATTGGTTATATAAAACTTCTTGTCGTCTATGAAAAATAATGTGTGCAGTAGACGATAGCGTACCTAGCTCTGCAATACATTACTCTCTGATATCTAGCAACCATTGCCTAATGTCCTTTCTTTTCATTCTATGTTTCGCAGACTATTTTCTATGAATCGATTTTTTTAAATAAAACAACATCATATATAAAATGAAGATCATTTGTGCGGGCCTTCCGAAAACCGGGACGAAGTCTTTGGTAATGGCCTTGCGTCAATTAGGATACACAGTATATGACAGTCCAGAACATGCTCTTTTTCACAATGAAGAATGGGGCAGAATACTGGATGGCAAAACAACTTCGGAAGCGTTTTTAGAAATGTACGATGATGTAGATGCGGTGGCAGATACTCCAGCTTGTGCAATGTGGGATCATATACTGGAAGCTTATCCCGATGCAAAGGTATGTTATGTATTTATATGTAATTTGAGTGTAACTCAGCATGTAATATTGCAACTTGAAAGTACGCGAACTCTCATACTTCATCTTGAAAGCATTGACTTAGTGATAAGCGCGAACTCCCGTTAAAAACCAATCGACCAATTTAGGAGAGTTCAATGTAGAATGAATTTGAAGGTTAATCAGACTACTTGAATATTTTGTTCTCCGTTTTTACCCTCACAATAAGTTTTATGCTAAAAAATTGAAAACATTGTCATTAGTTTTCCGCCCACTTTTTTGTATTTTTCAATTGATTTGATCAACTGGTACAAAGTACAGTGACCTGAGAAAGATGCCTAGTGTTTGACAAACGTGACGTATGTTGAATATATCTGGTTCATATCAGGTCGTGAGTCAAAGTAACCTCTGGTTTTGGCGCAGCGGTGTCGTAACATTGTTAGTTTAAAAAAGCCGTATTCTTTGCTCATCAAATGCGACCAAATAGCTGAAAACATTCCAATGAAATGTCAAACAAGAATACTGAAAGTTACATTAAGAAAAAATATGACCCGTCCCACCCTTCTCAAACGATTTAGAAAAGAAATAGCGGAAATAACTCAAATTATGTTGAAGACGTTTCTGTCAGTAGTGCCTAAACGTGGACGAAATGCACAGTTGTCCAGCGTCATTTAGACTTTTATCACATGTCGCTGCTCGATAACCGACATTGTTTTTTCGCGTCACCCTTCACCGGAAAATGTCATTTTCATGTTTTTTTTTTTTTCATGTTTTTGTTTCCATGAAGTGTATGTTCATTTTGGTGAAAAATAAACTACTGACCCACTCATAGCATAGTTTCTGAAGCGCCGAGTCCGGCCCAACATCTACAGGGCACCTAGGTGAAAGTTTATGCAGTATCATGTGACTCTTAGTGCGTCTAGTATGTTGGTAACTCGTGATCTTAATTTCATTCTTAGGAAGTTAAATACATCAATTTATAAAACTATCAATATTCTTGAGTTGTAAAAGGAAAATCAATCAGATTGAAAAGGGTCGTCGACCTATCTTCGCGTGCGGTCAAACGCACGAAACGTTGCGTCACTTCGATGGACAGCATGACTTGTACTACTATATCGTTAGGCCATGTGTCACAGAACATATTATAGAAATTCTCAATACTAACCACGCCCTGCAATAAATTTTATGGAATTAATAATTAACTCTGGCTCTTGTTAACCTTACTGTCGATCGTTACACGTATGCGCGCCCAAACGGATTCGAATTGATTAGAGACTTATATCATTGATAAACTGAATTTATTTAACATGAAACTTTTTAGTTAGAATAGAGTGTTACAATGAGTTTTCAAGCCTCATTAAACATGATTGATTTTTCTTTCCTATAGTTGTTATTTAAACTGTATTCCTCTGGCATGAACTAACGCAGTTTTGGATATAAAAGAGGTTTATGTTGCGGTAGAAGTTCACGTTCGTATGATGGGTATTTGGTTTTAGGAACAAATGGGGATCAGCATGTTATGCTATCCATAACGCAACTATCGCCATCTCCGCTATGCCAAATAGGTATAAAGGTTAATGTCCTAGAGCGCTCGTGATGTAGTCGTTTCGCCATCTGCCATTTTCGCAAAGAATGGTGTTCGCAAACACATCCTACAGTTTGGACAAACGTTGATCGTCATTACGAGGTTGTATGAATTATTATTATCCCAAATAATAATAATACTATTTAACAATAAATGAGAAATGTAGCATTTGTTTTCCGTTGTTAGTGGTCCAGAATATATAGGATCGAAAAATAAATATTACGTCATAACTGCCGCACCCATTTTCTTCGCTAATATTTGGTAAAGCTTATAACACATAAATTCAAGTCTTTTTAGCGTTGCAAATCATTATTTCATTCTCGACAAGGCTGGAACTAACACATTTATCATAATGGCAAAAATATGGTTCATATAGATATTTAGTCTGGCTGAAAATAAATTCCTACAATACCCATAAGTTCGGTGAACACGATCATTTGAAGATTATTATTTTCAATTTTTTTTTTATTTCAAAATGTTTTCCGAGTCTAATCTAATTCATCGTGCCCACGACATATTAATTCTAATTTAATTTGTAACAGAATTTGTTAATTCCTGTTAAAAACCTAACTGGTAATATTAACATAACAGGTAATATTAACAGTTCGGGACAACGAAGACACTTGGTATGATAGTTTCAGACGACATTTCAAAAAGTACGGCGAAGTCTATCCTCTGTCAAAAAATTCTGAGCGACTCGAAATCATTACAAGACTCGCTTCGTCAAGTTTAAATCGACACTGGAAAACGATTAACAATGGATTGATTGCCTGTTTTGGTTTCCAGGTTTGCTCAGACAACACAAACCAAATGCTTGCCAAGTATGTATATTTTTTTCAATAATGACGGCGTTATTCATATATTTGTAAATATTGTCCATCAAATACGATTAATTTTGCACCAACTCACAAAAATGATTAGAAGATTAGATGAATGATCTAAAAAAGGAAAACGCAATGTAACACTTCGGCTATTTTCTGCAGGGTGACCCATTTAAAACAGAACCCATATCATTTGGAGCACGAACAGAAGTTCCAGTGCTAAACAGTCTTTTTCTTCCTTTTCGTAGAAGGAATTAAGAAATGTATGGTTCTGTTTTGGGGTCACCCTGTAAGTGCTCGTGCTCAAAGTGACACGTTTTCGTGTCAAATTCATCCAATATACTTGGAACTTATTTGTTTTTAATTTTAGTTGGTAACTGAATGCAAATATTGAACAAAGTTCAGTTGAAACCAGAAACTGTTATAAAAGCTTAACACTGCAATTGACGAATGCAGGGGGTTGTATTCGCCTTGAATAAGAATTCCCACCGCGTCCTGGGAATTCGAAGTCCGTATGTAAAACTATCTAACAAAAGGTTTCAGATTTATAAACCTCTGTGTTTCATTATATTTTTCAATCATTTCATTTGCAAATCAACAATATGCTTTATTTTCTTACTTGAAAATTGTACAAAAAAATAGAGCACTGTACAACAAATCACCTATCAGTATTACTCATGTATTCATATTACACAGGTCAGCGTACCGTAGACACAATGCTTACGTCGAAGGTCGTTGCCGATCTGATCAGTTACTCGTGTTTAACGTGAAATCCGGTTGGAAACCGTTATGTGAATTTCTTGGTCATGATTTGTCGGATCGAGGACCTTTTCCACACGTGAACAAGAACGGCGAAATCATACCAGACAACCTCGGGTTTGAAAATTTGGCAACACTTAAAAAGACATTAGTTAACCAATTAATCTCGGGATTGTTTATGAAATTTGTATTTGTTTGTCTATTGGTTGGTGTATTTATCATGATTTGATCAGTTTACTTTCAATTTGAGCATTTTCAATTCATTCCATACCGATTCTGACCTATGTGAAATCCACTGACCTCGTACTCGGATTTTTAATAATTCCTCATTTGCATGCCCTACTTCAGCATATGATGAAGTAAATGATGAAGTGCGGTCTGTTCTCAATTAATTACAGATAACTCGGTTTCATTGAAAAATGGTGGAGGAGTTACGGAAATATCATAAATAAAATATTTTTATTATTCGTCGCATCCTTTAATTATGTCCTAGTTAATTCTGCCACAAATATACCGAAGTTTATTTTGTTACAATATTTATTAAAACAAGAACATAAGATGCGTGAAGTACATGAATATGTCTATGAATTCCTGCTTGTCAAAAATGTTCTGACTTTGTTACTTAGTTTTCTTACTTATTTCTTTATACATTAACTATCATTATAATATGCAATGATATTGAAAATGATGTGTCGTGTATATGAAAGTCATAAATACTTTGCAGATTGATAAATTTCTCGTGTCACTGGCACTAATTGTAAATGGGATAACTCTCGTTTCTTCCTTTTTCTTCGAATTTAACGAGTAAACATGCCTAACGGCTAAACGTGAAGTTTCTATACAATGCCACGCATTTTTGTGGCTTTTAGAAAGACAGTACTACCTACTTAAGTCGCAGCAATCTACAAACGTAAACAATAAACTAGATATATGCTGATGAAATGATGTCATATTGAAGGATCGTCAAAACACATCTATTTCAATTTTGATACAAAATTATTAACAATCTATAATTTTGATTGTAAATTTTCATAGATCATCTTTATATTGTTTATTATTTGAAAATTTGAATAATTTTGGATTTCAACGAAATACTATATACTACTATGTATTGATAACATATCGAAAGTCCGATTTACTTTTGGGTGAAATGAAGGCTTTTCGGCGATTTTTTTTCCTACAATCGATATAACTGATTAATATTTTATGATTAGTCTTAGTGGAAAATAAAATTTATTACATTTTTCTAAATACTCTTTTCAAATCCTCCCATACCAACAAATAAGTAATTATGTTTTGCAAATTTGTATATTCTTATAATCAATTTTGAGGGAACAATATTATAAAATTCATTTATAGCGAAAAATAAGGTTCAATTTTGTGCCTTCAAACAGAATTGATGTATTTTGACAGAATTAGTTTATATTCGTAAGTTGAATGAAGCCCGAAACAGCAACAGTGCAACTGTAAACCCAGTAATAACTCTGTAACTTAGTCAAAACTCAGTGCTTCACCTTTCGGCAGAGGGAGGAGACGTGCGTCATAAACGAGGAATTAAAATATAACTAACAATTGATCGATTGTGACTGAATAAAAAAGCAACCATGTTTTCTATTTTGATGTTTTTGCCAGCCAATGCAATGTTTTATAACGATATATGTATTTGATTCAACATTGTGAAATATTGTGTTGAAATTACATTAATTTATTTGTCATACATGTAGAAGTTGATCATTATTAATTGGGCTGGAGGATTATTATATTACTATTTGCTATTACGAGGTGCATTGACGGTCTGGTCTACAAGTAGGTTAAATTATGGCAATGGCATACAATGATATGCATTTTCACCGTGCAGTAATTCATTGAGCGCGTCTCCAGTTTACGCAAGTTCATACAGAATCATACATCTATATCCATTGTTGAAATTTTAACTAAATATGCGCAAATTACAACGAATTTATAAAAATTGAAATACTTGTCAACCATGATGATCACACATGCACTGATAAGTATAACTTAAATTATGCTATATCATGCAATTAAGCACCAGTAAGTATAAAAAGCCTAAATTATACTATATTATGCAATTTTGTCGTACAATTGATCACGCGTATGTCATGTGATATGACGCATCGTTCATGTTCATTGTCGATATTTGAGAGGAAAAAAATGGCCTTCCGAATGATGGTTGTTTGTCACATGATAAGCGTGTAATGTCGTCGTAGGCAAATTGTGTTACCAACTATTACCAACAGCAATAGATATTTCGACAACAGAAATTGCTCCTCAGGATTGCAGTAACGACGCCTCGAGAACGTCCCCTCTAAGCTGCGCGGCCGCGCAACTGGCCGAGGATCCCCGCGAAGTACTTTCGTCCTGCCGCGCACTGCATACGTATTAAAATGTTGGGTTCTATTTTTCTAATTTTCCGCGCAGCCTTTTTTTTTAAGCTCACATCAGTCACATGGCCTTCTATTCCGCGCAACTAAGCAAGCTCTTAGAGAGAACGTTGCTCGTGAATATTCGCAAGTGTGCAGATAGTTGAGTAGTATAATAAAAGCAAACACATTTACGTGACAGCATGATGATGTAAAAATATTTCATATAAATCAAGTTTTCAGTTAAGAGAATATTCTGTAACATTTGTTGTTCATTTCTTCAAAAATATACAAGCAAAGTTATGTAAAGGCTGTTGAATCGTGACCTTGAGGCTTGGGGCTTAAAAAACTGACAAGGGATTTCGAACCACATTTTGTTATTGTATTTTTGTTTCAATACACACAATATCACTTGAAACCGATTTTTCGTGGACGTAAATTCTATACTTGCGTACATTTGCGCTATTACAAGGAAAAGAACAATTAGCCTGAATATATTCATTTTGTTTCGCCACTGACTTATTTGCTCTGAAAACATTCCACGTATAGGAATCAAAAATTATTTTCAACATATTCTGCTTGAAACATGAAGTCTTAACTTAAACAGTCAAGCACAATATAATTCAACTTGCGATATTGGTATTTGTTTAGCGGGAGATCTGTCAAATATGCAGACAAATGATGTCTCATATAGTATTGCACTGGTACAGAAATGTCAAACAGTCGAATCGAACACAGCTGCCTGTTTGGCCCCTCTGCGGCTAATTCATAATCTACATCGCAATTCACGAAACTAAATCGGCAAAAATACGAATGATTTATAACTGTTATTGAATGTATCTTGTTTGTTGTTGGCTTTCTGATAACAAATCGAGTCAGAAACAAGTGCTACACTACGATGAAGAATTATTGTGAATTCGAAATCGTTGATAACTTACAACTTGAAAATACATGAGCTATTAGATACTTTCAGTAATATCTCTCACCTCTTTAAGATAATATTTAAGTTCGTATTGACTAGGGCAGGATTTGACACAGATATCCGGTACATGAGTGAGAGCTCGAAAACAAGATCATTCTCCTTCAGATAACAAGTTTGGAGACTCGGTATTATCTGATGAAATTTTATGAACTTCATCTCAGGCAAATCCAGTACCAACTTAGTTGCGGCCAGTTTTGAAGTTTCAAAGGTAATTGCTCGATATAGAAAATCACCTAGTGATGGAGATTATATTTAGGTAGCTTGGTTACAATATGCACCACTTTTTGACAAATTTTCAGAAAAAAAAGATTATTCAGCGCATTAAAAATTTGTCTCTAAGTAGGAAGACAGTAAGTAAAAGATAGAATAATTAAGATGGAGAGTTATACTGCTCAGCGGTTGACACAAGATTTCCCCGCAGGCAAGTATTTTTCTATTTGTGTTGATGATAGTACAGAAGCTATATCATCAGCTATAGCCTGGCAATATTTTCTCGATTTTGTGAAGGGAACGAAATATGTGAAGAGATGGTTGCCCTTCTAACATTACCTGAACGTGCTACTGGATCCGAAATATGTAATAATGTAATATGTAAATAAGTTTGTTCACAAAAGATGTTAGTAATCCAGCTATACGATTTCATTGTATCATACATGAGGTGGCATTATGTGCAAAAGCCGGCATGAAAAACCAATAACTTGCAAGTTGCAACCCTTATTTTTGGCCCGCGAGCGACAAAAGGTTGCCGACCCCTGATCTAAATGAATTGAATGTTAAATTACAGGAAAGGGGTAAAGCACTTGCTGTCACCTTTAGATCCATAGAGGCTTTTGAAAAAAAGTCTTTAAGAAACGTATTGGATATAAAAATTTAAATACTTTCCAAACTTCAAGATGCATATATATTAATTATCTCCAAAATAATGACAGAACAGATCTTCAAAGCTGCCGGTGGTATTTATAAACATTATCGAGTCAGTTGGTGAGCAGTTCTTCACAAGATTTTCGAAATTGAGAGAACTTGGAGTGACAGCAAATTCACGTTGATTTCCAGACAATATTAAAATGGCGAAAGTTAACCTACATAAATTTTGATTAGACATTGATGAATTTGAAATGCAGTTTATTGAATTTCAGAGTAGCTCGATTTGGACGCAAAAATTTATTGGCCTTAGAATTAAGTTGGAAAATATTGAAAAATGCGATTAGAGAATACAAGAGAAAAGTGCAACAAACGAGATATCGCGGGCTTGAAATGCCATTCCAGAAAGTGTATCATGTTTTCATCTACTTAATATGCTTGTGAATCTTTGTTCTGAGGTATGAACGTTATCAGGTCTCGCAATAGAAGTATCCTAAATGATGATGCCAGTAGTTTGTGTAGCTCGATTTGAACGCAAAAATTTATTGGCCTTAGAATTAAGTTGGAAAATATTGAAAAATGCGATTAGAGAATACAAGAGTAAAGTGCAACAAACGAGATATCGCGGGCTTGAAATGCCATTCCAGAAAGTGTTTCATGTTTTCATCTACCTAATATGCTTGTGAATCTTTGTTCTGAGTTATGAACGTTATCAGGTCTCGCAATAGAAGTATCCTAAATGATGATGCCAGTAGTTTGTGTATTTTTCGATGGTTACAAAATATAAACCCGATGTTAATTCTCTATCATATTATGTCAGAGCTCGTCACATATACTTTAAGAATGTCAGTAGTATGTTCTCAAAAATTGCGGTCGGCAAGCGGAAGAATTTTGTCATTGAATTTAGCCGATTTTGGCAAGCGAGCCTAAAAAGGTTGCCCACCCCTGAACTAGTTTGTTGCCGCACCTGTACGACAACTACTCTGAGTATATGAAACTGTTCCTCCGCTCCATACCCGTATATTTTAGATCAAGTATTAAAGTGGAATAGAGTGAAAAATGGAGAATTATGATCTAAAACGAAAGGCGAAATTATTTACCTAGTATTACTTCAATGCGCAATTGCCTTCTTACCCTCCATATATATAAAGGCCTCAGTTAAAGACATCGATAAAGTAGCACAACACATCATCGCTAATTGTAATCAAAGTATCTTTGTTCCTAAAATTGATTATAAGCATCTAATTGATCATTACCTATCATCCTTAAACGGTAATCGTCCCAGTTAGATCATGAAAACGATGTTACCGGTGATAATTGATAAGTTCCCACTCCCAGGCAATCACATTGAAATTTCGTGTGCCACAGACGCTTGTATAGACAGTCAGAGTTTGGAATGGAAGTGTTCTTGATACAGTTTCCGCTATCATCCAGAATAAAGCTCGCGCTTAACAACCATTCCGCTACAATGCGCGAGTATCGTATAAACATTATATAGTAGACAGTGATATGAAACTCGGTCGAATAAATATGTATAAGTATAAGATTTTCATAAACCAAACGGTTTCATGTGTAAGACACGAATACTCAGTTGAAATGTGAAAGATTATTGATACAAGAATTCTTAGCAAGCTTTGTTGAACGGGTCGCTGCATACGATGTAGTAGACATCAATGAAATGGGGAATCTTTAATAAAAACCATCTACGCTAGAGATAAAGCGAAACTATGCATTTACATCCACGTTTATTGTTTTCCAATTATTCATATACATTACTCTTCTAAATTTGGTCGAAAATTTTAATTTTATTCGCAACAGAATTTCCGTTTTCTTACGAAACTGTAATGGTCGCTTCACAAAACGTCTGATTACAAAACCCCAAATCTAAACGCTCAAATCGGCGACGGGTTTTAGCGCAGATGAAGAGGTGCGTCACTTACAATTAAATATGAAAATTCAGAAACAGCATAAAAATGCAGCAATATAAATGTAATATTCAAAGAGCTAAATATGATAAACTGCAATAACGATAACAAAAAAGGTATAATCAACAGTTTTTGACAATGTGAACTGTCAAGTTGTAAGTTGTTAATTTCATGGTTGTTATATTTTTTGTTCGGAAAAATTATTCACAAAATTTGATTGAGTCCAATTGACATTTGATACTTCAAAAATTATAATATAGAAATATTCTGACGATCAACAAAATTTGGGCTTAAAACTGCTAAAATTCAAGCTATTAGATTTGGCAAGTATCAAAGTGTATTTCAACTCTTCTATTTCACATACATAGAAAGTTTACCGTATTTGCTGCATATATCAACAGTCTGATGAAATAAAATAACTTTAGCATCACTTCTGAATATAAGTGTTAATTGATTGCATGTGAAACAAATGCAACAACGCAAGAGATAACGGCACAAACCGCTCCGAACCATCCCAAGAAGAATGACATTCCTGGTTCAGCATTCCTGTAGGCAGCACTATTCGGTCCAATGGCAGAACTTTGATTTGACATAAATGCCGAATAGCATCCCATACCGGAGATCGCACAAAGAGCTAGAAATATTTATTACATAATTAATAATAAAAATAAATAATTTTTAGTACACAAACTATTGTATAATATATTGCATTTAATATTGGGAGTAAGATGCAGCCATGAATAAACATTATTGTTAGTTAAACTTTCAAAAATTGAGTGGGAAGTTCAAATGTCAACATGTAATTTCTTTGCTTGAAGTATTTCAGTATTTGAAGTCGAATTTCTTCTAATTTGTAGGGTCCATTACGACAAATTCAGTTTATCTGAAAAACTCAGTAGTAGTAGTATCTACTAGATATGTAGATTAAAATCGAGCGTTGTCAACATAAACCGAATCCATCTCGAAGTTTAGTCCATGTTTTGATGCTCCGGACGATACTGGATTTGCTTACCTGCTACTAGAAATATAGCGCCCGGTATAATGGCGCTATTTCGTCTTATATTTTTCCGAAGACCAAAATAAATTGCTGCAATAATTCCAGGCAAATGAAGAATTATACTGATAACCATCAGAGAACGTGTGGCTTGCTCTAGTACGTCAATACCTGTAACAAAAATATTTGAATGAAAATACTAGATGTAAACTAAATAATAATGCAAAGAAACTCTATTAAACTAATGAACACTGGGAACCATTAAAGATATTTATAACAACAGTGCCCAAACATTGTATATATGTGTAGGCGTTAGCATCACCCCAGACTGAGAAATTTGTTTAAAACGTTTTGGTGGGCATGGGGAATGATATTTGCGCTATATGATAACTATATATTAAAACCACTATCGAAGTTTACCTACTGCTTCTTCTTCACGTGTGTTGCAAACTATTGTAGATGTTGCCGAAGTAGCTAAGTTGTTGACTTGATTCTTACAAACGGAAAATAAGCCGTACGTCAACACCTAGAATTAAGAACGTAAATATTTCATTCAAGCAGGGTTTAATCGACCCTATCACTATTCCGAGCACCCTGTTTTGTCATTGCATATGTAATTGAACATCGCAGTTTTTCAGGTACTCCCGAAGTATGTGAACTAATATGGTGGACACCGGAACGTAGTATGTGTACCATGCCAGGGTTAGGCCATAATTTTATCCCAATTTTAGTTCTATTACTAACTCGGGGACTAGCCAAGTGACTTCCGTAGTATTTGTACCTGAAATTATGGCCTAGCCGTAACCTGGTACACATACTACGTTCCAGTGTCCGCCATCTTGGTTCACATACTTCGGCAGTACCGTCAAACTAATTTTTATTAGGTGTTACAACTAAACAGAATACTTTTGGATATGTTGAAAAAAGTTCACTGGTTATGATGTACAACAGTGGTACCCAACCTTTTATGGCTCGAATTCCCCTTCCGGACTTTTGGCACTCATGGACCCCTTGTTTATCATTAAAGTGGTATTTAAAGTGTCATTTTGATTGGCAGATTCCAAATCCCATTATGTTCAAACAATTTATGCTAAACAAAGTGAAAACACCATGTGAAATAACCATATTATATCGAGCAATGAAACTTGGAAGCACGGGGAATTTCTTTGTAATGTGAAAAGAAAAATCAGTTTTGCGGCTATAGCACTGTGGCCCCTCCCATTGATCTGTGGTCCCATTACCGGGCCACGACGTTCGACGAGAACGTGATTAAAAGAACAAAAAAGAATAGTGCCAGCATAAAAACAAATCCATTAAGTGTCAAAAAACGAATCCCATAGCGCTATCAGGAATATTTGAAACAAATGGAAGTAATAGCTTTCTCAAAAAAATGTTTTATTTTCAACCACTAAAAATTTCAGAGCAATTGGTCCAGGAATCAAAGAGAAAAGCAACTTTCTAGGTTTTCCACTAGGTGTCCAAAACGTGTCAAATAACAAGAAAAACATAATATTGAAACGATCCATAGGTCCACTAACGTGTCCAATTATGCTATAACAATAGTAATAAGTAAGTAATTATATCCAACCTGAAACGACGTAGATGTCACATTGCTAATCGCAAGCCAGCTAGACGTTGCAATGGCTGCGACCAATAGACACAAACCAATTATCCCAGGTATCATTGCAAGGAATGATGAGATAATTCTGGATTGCATTTCTTCGCCCCCTGTTCGATACTTCATCCTAACATCCATGATCAACAAAATTCCAAGGGGTTATATCTGTTCTCAAATATTGTCCGATACAGTAACAAGCAGATCAAAAAAAGGCCACTCAAGCACCAACTAATATAGCATAAAAGATAGATAATATAATATTACAGATATAAGGTCAGGCTACAGTGATTTTACCAAAGCTTATTTTTTTTATATATTCATCTTGAGATGCATTACATTTTTTTGTCAAACGTAGACGCTCCATCACTTGAAACTAAACCCTCATCGAAGAAGTGTTTCTGGCTGGGATAAATTTTACATTGTTTACATGTATTGCGAATTCTAAAATTACGGAACACCTTATCTCTTTTGACTGCTTACAATTCATTATAACGTGATCGATCCAGAATCCAAAAGTAGCAAATGCTCTAGTCTAGACATCCGAAACTTTGTCTGACCTATATCGTTTGCTCCTGAACAATGCATGTTCTACCACAATTTAAAAGTGCTGAAACAAATCATTGAGCACTGTACTACTTTTAGGAGCAGATAATATATTTCTGAGAACGTGAACTAGAGATCAACACTGGAGTTTATAAATATAGGCTCCTGCAAACTACATATCGAATGGCAAGTAGAGTCAATTTTATGTAGTTGGAAAGATCACACTCTAAGACGTCGTCCCTTTCGGCATTCTTTGAAATAAATGAAGGATTTTCGATATTACTCTGTTTGTTAATGATAATACACTGTAATTATATATAGCGATTGCTCAACCTCGAAAATTTAAGGGGCAGGTGGCGAATTTTTCAAAGCAAATAATTTTGGTTCTAATCTTCTAACTCCATAATCTAAGCCGGGATCTTTTTATACAGGTTACAAGGGCTGCCATCGCACCTTCGTTCGTGGTACTTTGATAGCAACTCAGTTGGTACTCAATTTACAAAGGTAAGTATATAATATTAATGTTGGTTGACTCAAAAATCATAATCTGTACGCGGAATTATAATCTCATATATAATATAAAACCTCACAATAAATAAACAAAATCTGTGAACTTTCTTCTCGTGAATTCTCGAAACTAGGTGAATACTGAATCGAACTTTCACTTCTTTATTTCCGCGTCTGAAACGCCTCAAATAGTTTGTTAACCGATTTGTATTCATGCTTCAGCTCTCCCGTTGTCGCTGCCTTTTGGCTTTTGTTATCACAAGAAAGGTGCGTCAAAGGCTATTAAAATATATAGCTCGTTCCGAATCAGTCGCTGAATTCACGCGTCACTGCGCGTTCCATTCCATGTAAGAAGAAACCTGAAGCCTTTCAAGTACTTCGAAGACATTCGCATCATCGGCATCGTAGATTATGGCTGATGTACATCCATGTTATTCGCCAAAGGTCAGACGCGATTTTGGTGAAAGCGTTCTTCGATTTAAGACGCACTCACGAAAAATCCTAAAGTATTGTTAATTGCTGAATGAAGTGCAACAATTGGCAATGGATCTGCTGAGAAATGCTTTCTGCAATATAAAATGTATTTCTCATTCAAACTATGATACCACTGGTATAGTGGAAAAAACGAATGTGTACATTCGAGTCCAACCGCATACAAATATAGGACATGTAACTCGACTAAATAATAACGAAAAATTCATGAATAGTAAATCTCATTGAAGACAAAACTATACTCCTTCTGATGAAATTAGAAACTTAATTGTAGATTATGTAGCCTACGTGCTAATATACAAGTTGAAAACCCAAAACTACAAGTGAAGATTGAATATTTCGTTTCGACTCTTTATGCGGTAAATGAGTAAAGATATATCAAAAGAGATATATCAAAATTATTCGGAGTATACTTTCCTTTTCTTGCTAAATACAGGAGACGAATTATTTATTTCAGAAGACACAGCGCCCGAAACCTGGACTACTTTATTTTAAGAATCTCTTACCAACATCAGAGGTGTGAAATAATACCTAACATTCTTGGACATATATGTGCACGTCTTTTAGTTAGACATATTAAATAGTCCTCAAAAGCAGAAGGAAGAAGGCCATTTTTGTCGATCAATAAACTCCGCGCGATTTTCTAGAGTGTGTATTCCAACAACTAGTTTATACTCCGAAACCCGAAAACAAATACACCTTAGTATAGTTAATTCTGTACAATTGAATTGACTGTAATGAAGATATCGCCCGACTAGAATTACATGCCGCAATCGTGAGTGAAACAAATAATGATAATCTACATACACTTAGCAAAGTTTTCGAGTTCAAAATAATCAAATCCATTCGTTCAGAAGACGGCTTAACCATATGGCGAACCACGGCCTCTCGTCCGGTTACCATTCCATGTCGGGTATGGCATTAGTTAGTTCTTTGTTTTCCGAAGCATGGACTTGATGGTGGAGGAAGTCGGACTCGAAGTCTGTTGTTGGTTTTTGCCGGAATTTTTCTGAAGACCTATAACAGGGGTGGGCAACCTTTTTCGGCTCGCGTGCCGAAATTGGCTACCGCGTGCCGACCAAAATTGAAAACAATGCTTTGCCACTTTCAAAACAGAGAAGCACAATAATAAACCTTTTAAACGGAGACCGTACATTTGAACCCATGTACATTTGAACCCATGCGTATATCCACGGGTTCAATCTATATGCGGGTGCTAAAACCCATGGGTTAGGGTTAGTATGGGTTTAACTATCCGTAAAAACAAAAAAAATTCCATAGGTGCAATAGCATACAGGTGCAATTGTCATGGGTTCAAATGTACGTGGGTTCAAATGTAATGGAACCCTTTTAAACATGTACAGACAGAATTATTAATCGCGAAAAAATCACTCCAACAAATGGATTTGATTACTTTTCTTATTCGATATCAGAGAGACCTCTGCTGCTGCATTACCGCTGATAGAGATTTCACATCGGGTATATTTTATAACTTTCAGAAAAATACACGAACTATGGTTTCATATTTCAGGCTACTCCTATAAAGTTCAAAACTGAGAATTAAGCTTCACAAGCATATGTAGACGGAAACATGTAAAGAAATGGAGTCGCAAAGTTTTTAAGACACGAAAAATTTTCGGGAATGGCATCCCAATTACGCAACAGTTCGTTGTTTTCTGGACTCCTCTCTTGTATTACCTTCCATAGTCGCTTATATTTCTTTCGAAATCAATTTATAACAGTAACTTAGCAAGTAATTCTAGCTAACATGAGCTTTACAACTTCATAAATCAAGAAGAAATGAAGAAAAGGGATTGAACAGACGAACTATATTATGTAGCAAAATGAATGCAGCGCTCTTCTCAAAAGCTCACTCATTTGGTACGTCATAATATATTTCGTTGTAGCCATACATCATTAAGGGACAAAAAGAGTTTAAATAACGGATTGTTAATAAATCATGATGAATAAACGAACACCGAGTTTCATTAGATAATTCTTGAAACTTTTTATCTGAAGGAAAATGATCTCGTTTTCAATGCCTCGCTCGCGTGCCGAATAAATGAGCTTCTGTGCCAAGTTTGGCACGCGTGCCAGGGGTTGCCCACCCCTGACCTAGAATAAACGACCATTATAGCTCACAGCAAAATACACAAATTTCGTTCATAAAAATCATCACAATTAATTGCAAATACAGTAGTCAAATTTTGTAACATTATGTCTGTAGGGTTTTTCACGAGGCTGAAGTTTGCTATGACATACATTTTATTATTTTGTGTCATTCAGTGAAAACATGAGTCTTACATGCCGTCCTATCGTCTTCCTTTCCCCCGGGATAAATATGTAAATCCTAGCCTATTGAATACGACCAGATCGCTTGAATTATAAAATTCTTGACTTTTCAATCTTGTGCTCATATAAAAAGATATCAACAATTTCAACACAATTTTGTTTATTTTTTAAGCCATTTTCACACGCTTTGAACCATTTAATTCAGTGGAATCTTTGGTTTTATTCCTCAATTTCAGTCTTTCTTTTTTCTTCAATTGATAGGATTCATAAACTTCTCCCTCACAGCGAGCTTTGAACAAACTGACATACAAGTCTTTCAGCTCATGGTCAATGGCGTTCAACTGAGAACTGATACAGTTTACTGGTTCTAACCGCTTAGATTGAAATCTTTCACTCTCATAAGTAAATGTATGCAAGCTTAAGTAGTCTTCACTTTCGGAAATTATCAGTGCATACAATATGACACAAGTCTTGTCATTCCCAAATTTTAAATCTTGTACACTGATGCAATTTGGAATTTGTAAATCGCATAAGTAAATAAAGCAACATTTTTTAGCATCCAGCTTGAACACTGACAAGTTTTTCATGTTTGTTTGAGAAGATGCAACTGCGAAATATCCACCATCAGCGGATATAGTTATAATAGATGGCACATATTGAAATTGTGAAGATGCATTTTCATTCCCTTGATTACTAACAGATTGATCCTCAAAAATATGCTTACACAATTCTTTACCAGCAACAGCATCCCATAACCGTACAGATCGATCGCCCGAAGATGATATAAACAAAGTTCTGGATGCGTGAGGAACAGGTTCAACTTTGCAAACAAACTCCGTATGACCTAGGCAAAATTCTTCAATAATGTAAGGATTCTTAACTTCACTAACTCTTATTTTTTCATCACGATCAGCAGAAATAATGTATTTGCCATCACAACTAACTTTCACGTCTAATAGCATGGAAACATGACCAAGAATAGGTTCAATTTCTTTGGTTTCAAAATCCATACTTTTCTGTTCAGTCTGCAGATCATATTTGTATAAATCACCCGATTTGTCTGCTATGAATAAGACATTCCCACTGTGGTCAAAGCACATAGCAGTAGGACGTCTTCTAACTTTAATTTCTTTGGCAGATTCCCATTCAGTTGGGTCCAAGACCACAATTCGCTTATCGGAGTACATTGCACAAATATATTTTCCATCGCTTGTACAACACAAGTCTTCAAGTCTATCATCCAATGGTTTATTATTTCCATCTGTGACTGAGTTGTCAAATTCATGTGTATATGTGTACAAACACTGTCCTTTTTCCAAGGAAAATACTTTTAGGAGGTCTTTTGATGCGACTGATAAAAATGATTCTGAGCAACAAATTTTAGCCATTTTCAAACTTGTTACATGTTACTCTTAGTTTCCCACTTTTTCTTGGTTTCAAACCTGAACATAAATATCTTATTAATAGCAAATATCTTATTATTACCACTATTGAAGTAGAACATCACACTGTTGTAGAATTTTAAAGGAATGTGAACAACATGTAAAGCAAGTGTTATCTCTAGGAAGTACTCTGCCTCTTTATGAGTCAGGGTTACCAATGCTGCTTTTAGACAAAATATCGTCATTCATGAACATGAGTTAGTTACACTGAATCAGATATCAGTTTTTCACATGAAAACAAAAGTATATCTTTCCCCATCTTGAATTTACTTACCTAAAGATCAAATCACACAGAACAACTTGGAACTGAATCTTTGAAAAAGTCAAAATTTGGAAGCAAGCTTTATATACTGGCTATATAAACGTACCCCCAAGCAAGTTTCTTTTTCTTTCTTCTTGCTTTGTCTTCCTCTTTTGCACACTTTCTTTTTAAGTAATCTCTTGCAACAACAGCTTTAATTTCACGAAGTTGAAGCTCAGTTTGGCTCAATTGATCACTCAACTTATCAGCCTCAGTTACATTCCCTTGTCTTAGACATTGGTTCAACTTTTTCTTCAAAACCAACTAGCAATTGAAAACAAAACGTCGAATTGAACCATTTTAGTTAATATTCCTGTTATTTGGTATAGATCCAAAAGAGTTGGGTGTAACCAGATATTATTAACAAAAAATATATAGATTCTTATGCATATCATTGCTTGAAAGTATCCTATGCTCCGTTACACATGAATCTCACAAATTTAAAAAAGTATAACTTACTTGCTGATTTTTTAGGTCTCCCTCAGAGTGAGAAAATGTAGAAGTAGAACTTGATGACTCTCTAAAGATAAATGTGAATTAGCATTATGATAATAATTTCATGAGTTATTTGAAAGGGCTAAGTTGATATATATAACCTTATGTAAGGATTGACAGGTATCCCTACTACAAGGTAAATGTAATATACCAGTCACTGCTACTAAATGAACTTTGATTTTTTGAAGTAGGAACAAATTTTACAGAATTTTCATAAAGCAAAACTTGAAAATAATAATTTGAGAATTCTCCATGACACTTAATAATGACAGTACCGCAGTATGAAACAAAATTTATTTATACCTCAGAAGTTGGGTCAGAACTAGAGAAAAACCTGATACAATGAAACTAACATGTAATATCTAATTTTCATCCAAATTATATACATGAACCTACATTAATTTGACTCCGGATGAAGATGTTTCCCTCTCAACATATACTTGATCTATTAACTTTTCAAGACCCTGTATCAAATATATATAATGACATCATTAAACAAACTCTAGCCCAAAAAAGAGTTTGATATAATCAATGTTTTTATAGTCACTTATGGTTATTATAATATGAATTTTACAGATATTAATGATCATGTCAAACTTTCATTGGAAAATTACCACATGCTTGAATATTTCATGAATGCATGGTTAGTTACTCATGCGAAATAATCTCTAAAATAGAAGCATTTTATACAGAAAAATTGAAGTGTCGCCAAACCTCTTCTTTATTTAGTTGTTCCCTCAATTTTAGTACCCTGGCAGTGAGAGTACCAGGGAGTGATTTGGAAGAAGTGTCTTTATCTTCGATAATCGAACTATCGCTATCAGATGAATCAATTTCTTCAAGATCTTTAAACATTTAGTACTAATTCTCTATAAAAACAAAAAATAAGCAAATCCAAATATTTTAACATTTATCATAGACCAAAATACAAATCGAAATTATATTACTGTAATATAAGAACAAGATATCATCAGAAATTAATAAAACAATTATTAAATAAAAAAATCAGTATTTTGAAATGATGTTTGGCAGTTGCCAAATGCTTCACTACTATATACTAATCTGTTTAAACAATTTCAACAATATTAACATTTTATTACAAATGTCGAATCAATTTTGAAAATGCAGAACAAACCATTAACAAACATATTATAGGTATTTTAGAAATCTCTGAAGACACCCCATGTCTAACGTTAGAAAAGATGGAGCATGACTTCGATTCACGATGGATGAATCACCAAATTTCAAGTAATCAAGTCGTCCTAGAGCAGTTCACTGTTTCATAATTCCCAGCAAGCCAATTCAAAAATACACCAAGATATGAAATAGATCTCAAACTTCTTCATTAATAGGTTCATAATTTAATGGGGGTTGTTCAAATCGTTCAGATTTCTCCTCATTTTTACAATGCTTTTGCAAAAGTTGCATAATTTCATTATCAAATTCTCTTGGGATAGATCTCGCACCAGTCATCCAATAGTACATATCCCAGTCATTATCGGCCGTGTTCAATAATTTATCATACATAATCAACTGATCTGCTGTTAAGTCATTTAGATACTTATCAGCAAAAGTACTGAAAAGTAAACAGTTTTCAGCAATTCCCCTCTTTCTACTTTGCCATGTGAGTCTTGCTCTTTTCTTTACCAGAGATTCTTGTGAATCTTTAGGCTTGTACGTCGGATAAGAAATATTTCGCAGATTGCTATCTTCGGCTGGGACGGTATCTTTGCTCGTAAATCTTTGAATAACAGTGTGTAAGGCACCTCTACTTCTGTGTACCAACAAGGAATAAGCACACTGCATTGCAAATCCACTCAAAGCAACAGTAAAAATTATATTCAATTTAGCAAATGATACAACTTCTAACGTTCATTCAGTAATTGGCAGACTACGGTATACCAGAATATTGTCAGACTGTAATGTAATGGGAAAAAATGCTCAGCATAGGTAATTAGGCCTAAGAATGTAACGGTAGCCAAATCTGGACGGTAGCCAAATGGGGTGGAGGCTAACCCGTTAACCGCCGTCGCATGGCGAGTGGTCCATGGCGAGTTAGCCCTCATGGCGAGTTAGCCGTCAGCCGCTAAATGGAATCAATTTTGGGAAGGCAGAAAGGCATTTTTTCATCCTGGCATTTGTAAGATGTACGGTAGTCTAACTAAAACATACCTTCAAGTAGGCTCTTAAAGTGCTCTGTGAGAGAAAACTAAGGGCTCCGTTAGCTATTCACCTAGATATTTAACGCCCGAATTATCTTTCGTGTCTTTTTCTAAATTTATTAATGTGTTGTTTGGGGTAAATGGGCACGTGCATCATCACGTCTTAAATCTTTTTGGGATTTTGCCCACTTTCCTGATTTTCCGTATATTTGTTTGTTTTGCCATGTATTGCATCATTGTTTTGTTGTAACGGAAATAAACTAGCTTACTTACACTTACTATTCGTTTACTTAATAAACTGCTGACTCGGCTAATTTTGTATCTGTCCAAAGAACCAATAACGGCAATAATAAAAGTTGACAACGGTAGCATTGAACTGTGGCAATTACCGTAAATATGACGGCGGTAATTCAAATATGACATCAGATTATAATATGACATTTCGAAATCGAATCAAACAGTAACACTTACCAAGGACTAACATACCGCACTTACTTATCATATTCAGTTACTAAATGATAATTCACTTTCCTAGAATACGGTATTTATTATAAAGGATGAAATCGTTTTCCAATACGCCGATCAATACAAGATTATGGCATTTCAATGATACACAATAGTACAGTGGCAATAAAGAAACATTAAAATGTGCACAATGAATGAAATTGTAATAAATGAAATTGAGTATTACACTCTTCTCCCCCCAGTTGAAATGTCCATAATGTGAGGGGTTTGGAAAAGGATGATGGTACCTGCAATATACACACATAATATAAGATGGTTAGTTATCTCCCCCCCCCCCCCCCGGGGGCAAGTTTTATTGGGTATATATAAAACTGAGTGTTGGGTGATATATTGCACCATAGTTAAGCCGGTTAGTTAGAAAAGCCCAGTGGCGTCTTTCACTCAAAAAGCATATCATGGAACATAGCCACTACCTATTTACATCTCTTTAAGACCAGGCTTATTATATGGCTGTAGTCTTGCAAGGGCGCGTGGAATCTTAGGCTTTCCAAGACCTGGTAAGTTATCTTTTGATCTATCCTTGTTTGTAAAATCTTGAGGGGTGAAATCCAACGATCTTGAACTTGTGGGATTTGGTATCCGCCTTGGTGTGTCAGAAAGGTCATCCGGAACAGACTTATCCAATGGTGTCCTGGCATTTTGTCGTATCTGTACTTCATCCATAGGTTTTGAATTCTGTGTAGGAGGCCTATTGACAAGCCTAGGTGTCCCAATATCCGGCCTCGTATGAAATTCAACAGGCCTCATGGCTACCAAAGCTGGGTCAACTGCCACTCCTCCTGTGGGTGACTTCCTGAATGGGATGAATTTCCGTAAATGCTGTCGATTACGGATTGTTACTCTCCCAGACCCATCGATTTTGACGACATACTGGTGATATTGGCGCACTTCAACTATTGTCCCGGTTCGTTCCCATTTCTTTGGGTGGTTACCCAATAAGTTCTGGAGGTAGACATGATCCCCAACTTGAAGAGGTGGCAACAGTCGCGTGTGAGCTTTCCATCTTTCATGTTCCATGCAATGCCTTCGGGCAAGGGCCTTTTCACGATGACCCATTAGCTCCCTCCAAGTCTCATGGGGTGAATATCTGCCGAGGGGAATTGGGATTAAGTCACGTATAGGTCGGCCAAATATGATTATGGCAGGGGATACTCTGGTCTCTGGGTCAATGGAGTTTCTATATAACAGCATGGCGCGCTGAAACTTGTCAACGTCCAAAAAGCCCGATGGGCCAACATTGTTTGACAACATTCGCTTGACTGTTTTGACTCCCAACTCTGCCCTGCAATTTGCATGGGGGTTTGCGACTGACGTGATCCTATGTCGTACTCCCCATGACTTGAGAAACTCTTGTGTTATCCCGGAAGTGAACTGAGGACCTCCATCAGACGTCATTTCCTCTGGTATGCCAAATGTTACAAATGACTCCCTAAGTCGCTTGACTAAGCCATGGGCGCCGGACTCGGATCGGAATACCATCGGCCAGTTAGAGTACCTGTCGACAATGACCACATAATCTTTACCACGATATGTGAAATAGTCACTGCAAATCTTTTGGAATGGGTAATCAGGTGGAGTTATGTCTGCAGGGGGTTGCATAGCGTTGGACTTTGCCATTCGATGACAATGCCCACAACTGTCTCGGATTCGCGATATGTCAATTGATATATTAGGCCAATAGACAGAATCAACAGCTCTGGCACGCATAGCGCTGACTCCTTGGTGAGCGGAGTGGAGAGCTTCCAATATTGGCTCACGCAGTGCTGCAGGAATGACGATTCTGTGTCCCATCAGTATAACACCATCAACTATGCTTAAGCTATTGGCAAATTTCTGGAATGGGCGGACCTCTGCTGGCACGCTTCTGCAGTCCTCTGGGAATCCGTCTTGTATATGCTCAATAAGCATTCTGGATACTCTATCAGAGGCAGTCTCTACTCGTACCATGTCCCATGTGATAACTGGCGACACTGAGTTGATGGTTGCGGCTGCAGCAGAACTGAGAGATGTATCGTTGGCCATGTCGTCATCAACTGTGTGTTGACTGAGACTTAACAGGGTTGTGCGACGGAGCTCGCTTCGGCTGTAGAAATCTTTGAGTTCCTCTGGTTCACCTGGCAGTGGCATCAGGTCACCTTTTCCAACGGGGTGTCTGGAGGCAGCATCAGGTCCCAAATTCTTCTTGCCGGCTACATGTACAATGGTGAATTTAAATCGCAACATCTTCTCTTTTAAGTTCAATAGTCTTCTATTGCTAATATCGGCTAGGGACCGATCGTTGAGAACCTGGATCAACGGTTTATGGTCGGTGGCAACTATCAGATCTTCGCACCCCAAAATGTAAAACGTGTCTGATGAAGTGCATATGCCACAGCTAAGGCCTCCCCTTCAATAGGAGCGTACCTGCTCTCAGCTGGATGTGTGAACCGGCTCCCCACTAAACATAATTTCCAGCCATCAGGACAACATGTGGGTGTGCGAGCTTTGCAATAGCAATACTTCTGCATCATGAAGAACCCAATGCCATCAATTGACCAATCTGTAGCAGACATGTTGGCCTACCAGGATCGAACAGTCTAACTCCGTCCATCATCCCCTTGATGATGATATCCTTTGACTGATGGAAAAGGTTGTCAAGTTCGTCAGTCCATGTGAACTTTACTGAGGGTTTCAGTAAGTTCCTGAATGGTTTCATCCGTCTGGCCATTGCAAATGCATAAGCTCCTTGATTTACCAATCCAAACCACGCTCGAGCCCCAGTGATATCCTTAGGAGTTGGGAAGTTCCTAATGGCATCCAAGAATTTCGCAATAGGACGAATATTTGTTGGGGTAATTGCTAGTCCAGCGAAATCAACAGTCTCTTGTGCAAATTGAAATTTTTTAGGGTTAAGGGTAATGCCATTGCGAGCACACAGGTCGAGCCACTGACATGTCTGGAAAAATGAATCCTCTATCGAGTACGCCCACATACATGTATCATCAACGCATTTGACTTTGTTCGGGAAGTCTGATATGATTGCGTCGTACCGCTGATTGTATGCGTCACCACTAACCAGGAAACCCTGTGGTGCAACTTTATACCGGAACCGACCCCATGGTGTTATGAACGTAGTAATATGACGATCTTCTTCACGGATTGGCACAGAGTGGTAACCGTTCCATGCATCTGTGACCGTTTTAATGGTTCCTTGAGGCACACGGTCTGCTAGATGGAAGGGTGTGGGAACATGATGAGTTTGTCGAACAGAGGCTCGATTTTGTGGTTGGAGGTCAACTGTACGTCGCGGGGATCCGTCGGATTTACCAGTCACTACCATGCGTGAGCACCATGTCGTAGGTGTGTTTGTGCTGACTCGTTCCAGTACACCAATGCGCACATCTCTCTCCAGATCTGACTTGACTTTTTCTTGCCAATGAACAGGTACCAAGGCAGGCTTGTGGACTGCCACTGGTTTTGCACTCGGATCTACATGTAAGTGTAATGGCTCACAATTCATCAATGGCAGGGGCTGATGTTCACATACGTTAAAAGTGGTAGAACCGTAGTAATTGATTAGCCATTCCTTCAGGGCGTCGACGTCCTCCCTTGTGGCTGAGAGGCCTTCTGGTAAATTCTTCGGTATAGGTGGCGGTTTGCTGGTTCTCTTTGGGCAAGAACACGCAACTCCATCAACATGTTCGCTCACATCTTCGTGTCCTGTGGCTGTATTAATATTCATTATATGGTCTGCAGCAGGTACTGATGGGAAATCACATGGGATTGCACCTATATCTACCAATGCCTCCCTACAAAGGAATGCTTTTTGCATAATATCAGACACGTAGTTTGTCCAATGTCGTCCTTAATTGAAACTCCTACGATGATCGCCCCGATAACACCAAGGTTCTCTTTGATAGCTCCATGCATTACCAGTTTCACAGGCAACAAATCACTGCGGCTGAATCCCATAGCGAATGCTGAGGCTGACGGAATGATCGTGCTCTGGCATCCGGTGTCTGCTACCATAGGCATCATTGTTGCTTTCAAATTTTTGGTGCACTTAATTTCATGCCCAAATTTAGCATGTTCAGAAGGTAGTGGTGTTAGTTTTGCCTGAATCATGGGGTGTGGTTTCGATGGACGAGGAATCCAAGAACCCTGGAAAACATGGTGGTCAAGACATCTTTTTGCTGTGTGCCCAGTTTTTGACTGGCCTAATGCAGTACACAGTGTGTCAAAAGTTCCGGATGTCTCATTGTGATATGGGGATGGAGAGCGCTTTCCATCAGACGAACTGTCATTTTTGAACTGCTTGTGTCTTCTGCCGAGTGAGCAATTTCTTGACGAGCGGTTCCTGTGACCCCAAGAATCACAATGGATGCATTTGCTGCACATTGCTGTATAATGACCCTCATTGCCACATTTAGCACATACTGATGACCAAGCCTGGCATTTCTTGGATCTGGTACTTATGTCATTACGTGGTCCATGAGCTGCATTCCCACATGCCCAACATTTTGACCACTTTCTTTTGCTTGTCGGTGACGGGTTGGCACCGCTAGACATGTTACCAGCTGATTCACCAACAGCGAACTTGGTAATTTTCCCCTGTTCTTTTTGAGCTATGAACGAGACAGTTTCATCAAGAGTCCTGTCAGTCTTGGAGTCTCCCAACAAGTCTGCTAAGATCTCATGGTCGGCGATTCCTCTCACCAAGTTGTCCTTGATAATCTCATTGCTATAGTCGAAAGTATGATCACAACCAGGTTGTCTGCATTTTGCTATATAATTGCATAAAGCAGCTTGCCCTCGAAGATTGGCCAGAAAGATGCGAATGCTAGTTCCAGGTGATTGAATCATCTTGCTCAATTTTATCCTGTGAACAAGTGTGCTTTCGTCTTTCACAGCGAGGCGCTTAATTGCAGATAGCAGATTGTCTTCCGTCATTCGAGCCACATTCTCTTGTATGTCTCTCATGATGTCCGACCTCAGTTCCTGGTCGCAGCAATGAAACAACGCTGTAGGGATCATGTTATCTGTGATACACATCCCAATCTTGTACATATCCCATTGTCTTTTGAATGTAGACCATTGTTCTGGGTCACACCCTGTAGATAGTATGGGTGGATCCAACTTGAGCTTCGGAGTAGGTGTTGCTGCCATTAGTGGGCTGTGGGCTGTCCTGCCATGTAGTTGGAGAGCGGCGGTTAGGGCATCCGCTAAAGCTGCATCCAAGTCCTGTGACATCCATTCACACCCATCAACTGGGCACTCTACTCTCGGCATCGTTGATTTTCAATAAATAAAATGTTGTAAGATGATGAAATATTTAATCCACAAAAGGTTCCATCATAAATGATAATTCACTTTCCTAGAATACGGTATTTATTATAAAGGATGATGGTACCTGCAATATACACACATAATATAAGATGGTTAGTTAGTTACCGCTTTGTTGCCACATTTCAACACTACTTAAGTTGAAATCTTTGTCCAGAGTCAAATTTTCAGCGTTAATATAATTTATATGTGGAATTTAATTTTATTTCTAGCTTGTATCAACCCTATTAAGAACGGTTTAGTATTTAAATTCTTTATATTTTTCATTCTATACATACAAAAATTTGATGAATGAACGATGATTAATTTAAATGTGGCTTGTCCCTTGTAGCTCTTTTCGGTTGGAAGCATCTGGCAACTGATCAATTTATCATTCACGCATGTTAGTTAGTGTCTTCGATCTGTTCCTGCTCTCTCTTTCTTTGCCGGAATGACCATCACTGACCAACCGCGGCACTCTTCATGAATCATTGTCTCCAGTCCTGCGCCATTCTGAGCAACTCAGCCATTCTAATGTCCACCCAAGGTGTCTGACATTCTTGGTCTTCCACGTCTTTTTTGCCCACAGTTGTACTAAAGAGCATATCTTTTGTTACGCCATCTGTTCTGGCCACGTGTTAAGAAATCATAATTTCCTCTCGTTGATGTTGTCCAGCAGTCTTTGCCATGGTCCAATCTTCTTCGGCACCCATTCGTGTGTCCACCCAGTCTACATTTTATGATTTATTTATTAGACTTTAGCTCAGGTGTCCTACAGGGGTGGTGATTCCTCTACGGCCCATGGGCCGGGGCCACGGCCCATCTAATTGGGCAACATGGGCCGTGGCACATCAAGCTATGGGCCGTGGCCCCATCAAGAAAAGTTCAATTATCTTACCAAAATTTTCAATTTTCACAAAATTGTAAATATTCAAACCAAAAAAAAATCGTGGGATGCCACCAATTTTTTTTTCTTACGATAAGCCTTCATCTAAAAAGAAAGCAAAATACTAGGCTACAGAAAAGGATACTCCCGTAGTCTGTGTACCAGATTAGGGTTAGGACGAAATTTTGTTCAGATTTTTCACATTATAGTTCTATTATGAGTTCGGGGACTGTGAATAGTCCCTTTGACAACTTGATGGGCCACGGCCCGTAGCCTGATGGGCGAGGCCCATTTCGATGGGCCGTGGCCCCGGCCCATAGAGGAGTCACCACTTCCACTCCAGGTGTCGCCGCTCAATAACCAATTTTGGTTTTCGCGACTTCTTTCACCTCGAATTATCCGTTTTTGCTTCCTTTTACATTCTGTATGCATTTAGTGTATTTCATGTGAGGTGAAAAAATAAACTACTGATTACATGAAGAAGTCTATGGTAGCACCACAATTTAAAAGCAGCAATTTTCCTCCTGTCGACATTTTCCTGTTCCTCTTGCAAGGTCGTATATCTGTTGCATTTTCAGTAACTAGTTTAATTTTCGTAGATCGTGTCTAACAGCGTAGGCATAGATATATGAAAAAATTGCAAATATTGTTTTTACCCTTTACAATATGAAAATCGTAAAGATAAACGAAAACAAGTCAACTGCAAATGACTCATGTGTAACTTCTACAGTGGTATCGTGTTCGCAATCGAACTTTAACAATAAGAAAACTATTGAAGATTTTAAGAAAATAAAATATAATGAAAATTAATTTTTGGCTTCATATGGACGGATGATGAGGAAGAGTTAAATGGGCTTTGTGTAAAATGTGGAACTGTTTTTTCAAACGGCATTCAGGAACAAATCACTCTCAGCTTAAAAATAGAAACATCGGTTTTATTTAAAAATGAAGAACCAAAAACCAAATGAAGGGGAAAATATGTTTCTAATGTTTGTCTGTGAAGATCACAAAAACGGACTCATTCTTTTTTATAATTAGTTTTCGAATAACACAACAAAGAGAGGCTCACACAATAGCTGAAAACTTGATAAAATCGTGTGCAAAAGATTTAGTTGAGAGCATGATAAGCAAAAATTATGTTCGCAAAATAGAGGCCGTACCTCTTTTAAACAGTACAGTTTCCAGGCAGTTTTTCTCCTCAAATGGACAAAGGATTTAGCTATAGGTCTATTAACTTGGCTAACACAGACAGTCCCCGAACTCATAATAGAACTATAATGTGAAAAATCTGAACAAAATCTTTGTCCTAACTCTAACCTGGTACACATACTACAGGAGTATCCTTTTCTATAGCTTGGTATTTTGCTTTATTTTTATATGAAGGCTTATCGTAAGAAAAAAACTTGGTGGCATCCCACGATTTTTTTTTGGTTCGAATATTTACAATTTTGTGAAAATTGAAAATTTTGGTAAGATAATTGAATTTTTCCTGATGGGGCCGTGGCCCATTATGCTATGGGCCGCGGTCCCATCAGGAAAAATTCAATTATCATTCATTCATGTGGCCCAATTGGATGGGCCGTAGACGAATCACCACCCCTGTAGTGGTTATGAGTCAGCCATGGAGCTTGTTTAAAAAGCACCGAGGTCTCATTGAAAAATTTAGTGGTTTCACCGTAGAAACTCTTCTTTACACGTTTTGGTATTCAGCTAGGAACAGAGAACTGGGTACAGCAACTCTTTTTTAAGTATTACATTCCCCGCATAGCTAAAACGCAGTCAAGGGGGAGCCATGGAGTCGGTTTGAAAAGCGGGTTGATCTTATCGGAGAATTTGATGGCTTACACCGTGGAAACTCTTCTTTCCACGTCTACTTATCCGGCATTTACCGGATGTTGAGTTTGACGTTTTGGTGTTGATGTTAGGGGCATTGCCCATTCAAATAAATCACAACCTAGTTGTGACGTTGCTTAATGCGAGGAGCTTTAACATAATCAACTACTTTCTTTTTACTCCAGGAAATCAACGCAAACCTATTCCCGACATTTTAAAATCATATTCATAGTATTTATAAATTTTGAATAATAAAAGTGATGCAGAAAATTAATTTCCAATGAACTATGAAAACTTTTCAAATATTAATTTTAACATTGTTTTTGTCAAGTTTGCCCAGGTCTTGTTGTGGGGAAGAATGCACCTAATTATTGCAACCAGTGGCGTATCTAGGGTGTGGCAGCCATGGCTCGTGCCATGGGCGCCGTTTGAACAGGGGCGCAAAACAGGCGAAAAGTATTTTTCATAAAAGGTTATAATAAAATAATTTCAAATGGGGAATAACTGAAACTCGTATTTTTAATCAAATAATAACGTACACGTATCTCAATCCAATAATAGTCATTATAAATTGTCAAACAACTATCAAGGAGGCGCATTTTTAAACTTTGCAATGTACTGCATCTGTAAAGCCTAGAAGAAGAAACCGACCTAGAAGTACAAGATCATCGTGGTAAATAATACATTATTCATTCCAACTGCTTTCATTACCGTAGTAATGTAAATTGTATAATTTAATACTCATTTGCATTTCAATCACATTTGTAAACAAGAGAGCTATGCTCAAATATATGGACACGTTACGCTGTTTGAAATTGATAAAAGTAATAGCATTCTAGAAAAAAATTCCAGCTTTACCTACTGAAAATTCCAAAGCAATTGGCCCAGTAATCAAAGAGAAAAGCGATTTTTTTAAAACGTGTCAAAGAACAAGGATAAGAACAAGTTAGCTATGCTCGAATATGTGGACACGTAGCGCCACAAAATTCTGATGATGTCATAGCAAAAAATAAAAGTGATAGCTTTCTGGAGGAAAATTCCATCTTTAACCACTGAAAATTTCAAAGCAATTAGACCAGTAATCAAAGGGAAATTCGATTTCTTCAAAACGATACAAAGAACAAGAACAACACAGCAACAAAACGATCGTTATGTCAACTACGTGTCCAACAAGAACAACAACATAATATTGAAACAATCGTTATGTACACTGACGAGTCCAAAAAAACATTTGCGAACCTTACAAGATAAGTAACTAATTTTCACGATTGAACTGTCCGTTTTGGGTTTGTAATAACTTGCTGTTGAATATTCAATAAATAGGATTCGTGGTGGATACCGACTATCAACCTAGGACGAGCACTCTGTTTCAAATATCTCAGTTATGTATCGAAAAGTATGAGATAGATTCTCTTTCGCCTACCGAAAGTATGACATATCTGTTTCAATGGTGCGAGCACGTACCAACACTTTGTGTATATAATCAAGTTATTCATGATCAAATCCCGAATGCAACACTTCTTTTATTTCAATTACCTGAGGGTTGAGGTCCTTGTGATTTATACTGCGACGCCTTTCGTTTTGATCAAACTCATAGAAAATAACGGTGCCTTCCGAATACACGTGATCAGTTTGTTCCTGCCCAACTTTGTCTGTACTTAAAATAGTTTTGCATTTCGAATGCGCCCGTTTTATGTGGCGTTTGACATATGCTTCTACGGCAAATCTATTTCCACATATCTTACATGCATACGGCTTTTTGTTTGAGTGTATTGTGTGCAAATGAGTATTCAGACTATGTTGTTGACTAAATGTACTTCCACATAATTTGCAGGTAAACGGTTTTTCACCTGTGTGTGTACGCATATGTAAGTTCAGTTCGCATTGTTGCACCTTGATGACGCCACATATCTCACATTTGAATTGATATTCATCAGTATGTCTTCTCATATGCAACTTTAAATTCCCTTTGCGTTGCAAATAACTTATTGCAAACGGTGCACTCATATCTTCTTTCTTTTGTATGAGTGAGCGTATGACTATGAAGGTGAGGCTTGCATCCGAAGGACCGTCCACAGATTTCACAGACAAATTTCTTTGTATGTCGATTCATATGTTTTCTCAAATTACTGCTGTCGCAGAATCCTTTACCACATTCATTGCATTTGTACGGTCTTTCCCCTGTATGCTGTCTCATGTGAATTGTCTTACTCTTCACATCGCCGAGCACTTTTCCGCAAACTTCGCATTTTTGTCGATTTTGTGGATTATCGGGAAAGTGCAATCGTAAATGGCTTTTTAGGTGACCATTTTGAGTATATGTCTTGCCACAAATTTCACATGTATGCGGTCGTTCTCCGGTGTGTGTCATTTGATGGTCTATTAAATTTCTAGCACATCGACAACTTTTACCACAGATGTCGCATTCGTGCAACTTACTTGGTTCAACCTTTTCCATTTTAGTCAATGGTATCTGGTATGTATCTGAAAGTATTTGTTCAGTGCACTGAGTAAAGCGCCTAACCAATTTATAAATATACGACTGGATAAAACCTCATCTACAATATCAATGGTTAGCGATAAGCCAACAATGATAAAAACGCAGAGAGTAAAATTTCAAAGCAAAGTTGATTGCTTGAGATAAGACGCTGGAGCAAAGTTTCATATCAGCAGCCTCTTCTCTTCTTAAGGCTCAAAGTTTATCTTTCATGGAGCTAGACTCTGTGTAAACGCGATTGATCTAAAGGTTTTCGTCATTTTTTCTTTAAGATTACAGATAGCATTGTATTCCACGGTAATCAAATTTTGAGGTTTTCTTGAATTTTGTACGAAATTGAGGAAATCAATGATCAGAATAACCACAACCTGGGGTAAACGGACCACTGAGTCACCGCTATTTAATACTTTAAATCAAGTTAAGTTTCATTTTGCAACCATATACAATATTATCACAAAGTTCTACTGGCGCTATTTCACCCGTGTGTGTCAAGTCAAAATTAGTTTTTTTTTTCAACCTCCATTGTTAGTATGTTCTTTTGCATTAATTCGTGACTTGATGGGTCACTGAAAAACGCGGTGGATGACTATGTGACCAACAGGTCAGCGGTTCGCTGTCCATGTTATAGATACTCTGCTTTGACTGGGTAATTCCAACAGCCCTGTCCAAAACAACCTCTTTACACCCGTAGTACATGATGATTTCTATGCTGCTCGTACATCAGTCTAAATATGTACTAAAGCAGTGGTCGGCAACCCTTTTTTTTTTATGACGGACCGGTTTAGCCTGGCCAAAATTTTGACGGACCACCTTTATATAAACGAACTTACGTAATGAATTCAAACGCGTTAGAAAATTTATGTTGACAATATACACAAAGACGAAGGTGATGATATTTATCGCGAGATCGGCATTTGTGCTATTGTTTCCAATCCTGAGATTGTATGAAACATCGATATTTACCATCTTTTTTGAACCGCGCAACACTTTTTAGATTATGAATTTTTCGCGAAACAACAAACGAAAATTTCTAAATTTTGTGGAAACTATCCGAATAAGCAATAATCACTGTCAGGTTTCGGGTAGGAATGAAATTACAACAAGACCAATGACTCAAGTTGTAAAAAGACGTAACAAATTCATTACTTCAGAGAACAAAAGTACACTGTAGTACCAATGATAAATATTTAAAACTGGCTGTCCGTAGCCGTTAATAGCAATGCAATTTTAATATAATATATGACCTTGTTTAGATGAGCACGCATCGTTTATTTTGGTCTGAATTTAGGAAAGTTCTGCTTCAATGTTCGTTTTTCTGGCGTCAAAAATCCTACTTGTACTTCTACTATTAAATGAATTTATTGCTTCTTTAAGGGTATTCTACGAGTCGGGTTTCAAATTTTCCCAGCTTTTAGCAACTTTTATCATTTACATTACGAAAACGAGTCAATGGTCCCGAACATGATTGAAAATGGGGTTTGAGCGATGATTAAAGTTAAATTGTTACGTTTCCGTTTACATTTAGCTGTTTAGTTATTGTTTCAACTTTCCGAAATCAGTGCAAACATTTATCACAAGAAACCAAATCTTCTTGAAAACTGTCATAAAATATGCCAAAATATATAAAAGAATTTGAAAACGACAACACGGAACACCAGCTTTCAGTCGTAGTGTTTGTAGATATTAGAGTGTATATATGTTATCAGGGCCTTGTCTGTTTATAGGTCATCTTTCTGCAGACCGGTAGTGACCTTTCCGCGGACCGGTGATGGACCGCGGCCCGGTGGTTGCCGACCACTGTACTAAGGTACTAGGTTAGTGGTTGCAACCTTTACAACGTCATGAACCTCGTACGATTTTTTCTTTTTACATCGCTTGGCACATTTTCCAAATCTATTAATTCTTTTAAATACGAGGGAGTAAAAATATTGAGCGCAATATCAGGGGAGTTGTAAAGCATGCCTCCCCAGATATTTAAATCAGAGTTGAAAAAATATTTTTTATCAGGATATATACCATAGATTGAGAATTTTAATACCACTGGCTGAATTTCCTCAGCCATTGATTGGAAAAAATAGACTCGACTTTATCTGTTTGTTGAAATGAAACTACCCAATACTGATATGCACAAATAGTTCATACTAAAAACAATGAGTCTACATGAACCATTCGGTTATATTGGCAAAATTGCAGAGTTGCTTGTAGAGTAGACCTCTTAGTTTGTCTCCTGTCTTGTGCGAGATATAGCACAATGACGAGTAGTTTCATTTTGCTATTTTGTTTCTATATTATGCATGCAAAGCTCAACAACTCGAAAATCATCTGTGCAGTGGAGTATCTACAGCGTGGCAGCCATGGCTTGTGCTATGGGTGCCGTTTGAAAAGGGGCGCAAAACAGGCGAAAAGTATTAATCATAAAAGGTTATAATAAAATAATTTCAAATTGGTAATATTTTTACTCAAATAATAACGTACCTCAATTCAATAAAGTATCTCAATTCAATAATAGTCATTATAAATTGTCAAACAACTATCAAGGGGGCGCATTTTTAAACTTTGCCATGGGCGCCATTTTACGTAGATACGCCACTGATTGCAACCATTGCAATTAGTCAGCATTGGTGTCCTAAATTCGAGTGTGGCGCTTCGCAAGGTTCTGGTACACGTTACTGATGACACGTTAATTCGAATAGCTGTCTGAGGCCGTTGGAATTGTAACCAGGCTCAATAACTACGTTTCAAAAACCGAAACGTTTGCTCCATATTTAACTGATTGCAGTAGACTAGACAATATTTATATAAATGTATGACGCGTTGGACAAAAGTCCAGCGGTGCGACTTTACCGGAATATGTGCTTGCCACTAATAATTAGTTTAGGAGATCCCGTGTGCTGCAAAGCCACACAAATAGCTTCGGAGTTCACGATGCTCTAAACAAAGTTTAAACAGTGTAAAACACGGCGATTAAAGCAGATACAATTAGAAAGACAAAATACGAAGCTGACTTAGCGACAGCGAATGCAAGAAGGGGGGCGCTGCGAACAAAAGCACAGCTCACGCATGCAGTGGTGGTTGGAGTCGAGCAACAGTCTCCGGGCGAATTAAGACCCAGTCTCCACACGCCAATGCATATGCAATAACTCGACAAGAAATATAAAGAAAATATGAAACAAAAAAAATAGAATAACTGCTGTCTCGCCACAATAGTTTGCCTTTGCTAGAATGGAATATATAACAAATGACGGTATGACCTCCGCGGTATTGTACCGGCGGTAGACAGGCATGCATCCGTGTATAGACTGTCGGTGTCTTCCAAGCATTGGTAATTTACAATTTGTTTACAAAATCAGTACCGGTATACGATCTTATTGGACACGTCAGAGTACATAACGATCATTTCAATATTATTGTGTTGTTCTTGTTGAAATTCTTCTTTTTCGTTACCATAAAATCGCTTTTCTCTTCGAATACTGGAACAATTGCTTTGAAATTTCCAGAGGTCAAAGATTGATTTTTTTCGCCAGAAGGCTATTACTTTCACTTATTTCACAAATTCTTGTGGACTTCAAGAGATTCGTTTTTTAGGTGTCAAAATAAAAAATAGCGACACCTTGTGACGTGTTCATATATTTGAGCAAAGCTCTCTTGTTTTATTGGGGTTTTTAATCATTTCAGCAGTTAATTTGCCAACATTAGTAAAACATATTTTTCTGCATTTTTTTTATTTTATGGACGTTTCCCCGACCCTTGCCCCTGGAAGCTTCTTTCTATACTTTATCATTTCAAAAAATTTAATGCTGATTTAGAGACTGTTTCGGGGAGTTCGTTCTTAGAAACTGGCTCACATGTTCAAACTATCATTTTTATGCAAAACAATGAACCTCGTGCCGCTTAAAGCTATGCTAGCTAATTTCAGGCTAGTGTATCGCTGAATATCACGGTATCAACTTTTGATTATTGTAACTAAACCGAATGTCATCTGAAAACACAATGACAACTAAATTATTTGAATTACAATCATTCTTGGAAACACAACTAGAAACTGTTGAATAACACGCAAAGCTACCAAAAAGGGCAATATCTACAACCACGCTTGAATATTTGTCTGAGCGAAAGAAGTGTCTCACCGGCAGCATAAATTCTAATTGTTACGTCTTTGTTAACTTATTGCTGATTTGTACTTGTTACGAAAATAAATAAGGAAATGGATTCTCGGGGAAACATCCATTGTCGCGCCTCGCTGCTGTTTCCCTACGCTTGACTGTCGAAGCTCGGTCGCGGCCTCTGCTTCTGTCGTTACTCGATATTCCAGTACACTGTACAGTATTCTGTATTCGAAGAGGATGATGTATCGACTATGAAACATAGATGGCGAATGGGAGAAACCCAATATGAAAGCGTGGATTTTTCCATATTCTCTGTCTAATTTTAATTTTTGTATTCTTCATGCTAACTAAAAAAAAAAACTGATTACCTGTAAATTAAAATTATATTCAACTAACTGCTGAGTGAATTACATGTGGATTAACTCAACTTTTTTGGACATATATTGGATTATATTAAATTAATGACATCATGGTAATGGTATGAATTTTGTCTTTATTTTGATTTTTACTTTTCATATGTATTGGGGGGAATGGGATTAAATTAGAAAACGACAAACAAAAACATGGAAAAAAAAAACTATCTATTTATAATAAAATGATTTGATACCAAAATATTAATACGAAAATTCTGTTTGGCATTGGAATTTATTTGGCACAAAAAAAAAAAAAAGTGTTCTGAAGCGTGTAGTCAATTAATATTTACTCGTACCCTGCCACAAAAATAAAATTATATGTGTCTTGTACCGTGGGAATGGCGGCGTGCCTGTCCCGGCTTGGTTAAAAGTTCCTGACCTTGGTTTAAAGAAAACGTACTCAACAAAGGGTTCACATATTCCCACTGTAAATAGGAGAGTAATAGACCAATCAGCAAAATGACACAATGCAACAAACATTAAAATTGATTTATTGAATAATTTCAGTATTTATGCATATGTCGTTGCAAATTTTATTTATCAGATTTCTTAGAAGTTCAGCATCGAGCCGCCGAAATCCATCAATCAGAAAAACATTTGAAGGATCACCCGCTAGAACGTAGAATCTATCCATTGACAGAGAGCCGTATCGTGGTGCGATTGCAATCACAATAATCTGAAAAATTATTTAGGTTGTTATCGGAGATAAAGACAAAAATCTATGCTTTTATGAGGCGCAGCTAAAAATGACACGTTTACATGGATACCTAAATGAGATAATAGTGTAACTAACCGTTCTTCCCATTCCCCTGATAATTTTTGCCGGATTCTCCGCATTATCGATGGGGTTTCCATCAGTTAGCAAAATGACAAGATCTCGTGCATCTGGCCGATTTGCTGTTGATCTCAATATTTTGTTTTCTGCATAACGTAGAGCCATTCCGGTCCTAGTTTCTGTGTACAAGTATTATTAATATATGTCTATGCGGGCATCACTTTCCTAAAAGCATCATTTAAAATATATAAATGAGATGCAAGTAATCGGGCTTGGTTCATAAATAGTGTTTTATTTTGATAGTGTGTATATGCCGAAAACAATTGCAATGCTCAAGAAATTTTTAGGTTTATTTTTATTAATAAATTAAAAAATATATATCTACATGGAAAGTATTTGTTCTCTGCAATTTGTTCCAAACTAGGTTAAACAAGGTGGGTTGATATCGCGCCAGAAGTCAGAGTATGATTTTTGTTTGACCGGTGAGGGTGCTGATTTAACTAAATGTTGTGGATAATATTGAGTAGCGAATACTCTATTCCCACAGTGGAGGATAAACAAACCTCAATGGGTCTATATTTCAAATAGTCACAATTTTTCTAATATGATCATTACTTCCTGCTGGAAAACCTATTTTCTTCATGTTATACAGTAATCCGTCTAGCAATCGGTCATAATTTTCCAGGCGAGTGGCAGATACTTCGTCAACCCAAGTGTGATACCGAAACATGGCAAACCGCGTTAAATTCCGAGATATTGGAAATGCTCTGGAAGATATGGAAAAAATCTGCAAGACTCTACAAAAATTTTTTGAGATCAATTTTGATTGAATTTAATGTTGAGTTATAAAGTCTAGAACAGGGGTCACCAACGCGTTGCCAGCGCGAACCACATGAGTCGCCCCCAAGTTTGTTCTAAATTTGCTCAAATAATTGCGTTTACCAGTTGGCTGCATCTATCAATTTTATTTTTGTTATTCTTATTATCGTTATTCTTATTCGCACACTGGGTCTCTGGGTGTCATTCAACTATGTACAACTATGCTTTCATTGTTAACATGGACAGTGGACATATTTGGTCGACAGCATGCAATGCCAGGTAACTGACGAGAAAATGGACCGGATTTAGTCCCGGTTGAAATTTGAATATTCATAATTGTTAAATATGTTTGTAAAATGTAACATTTGATAGCACAACTGCTAAGTCAACTTTATCTTAGTTTTGTGTTGGGTATTTGTTATAAATGCAGGTAGCCCACATTGTCATTTCCTTGGCTGTTGTGGAAGTGATCATTTTAAAAAGTTCAATTTGAAAAACACTAACTTTGAAAATATAAAGGGTATTGATATTACTGTATTTCCTATATTGTTATGATTGTGATAATTTCATGAAAAATCTTAAACATTATCAGTGTCGCCAGTGGCCAAATATACCTCTAATAGTAATTGTAATAGTTAGAGCTTGATAGAGCAAATTGGTTTTTCAGAAATATGCATCCAACTGGTAGCCCTTAGCCTAATCGGTACCCAGGAAGTGGCCATCGGCTTCATAAAAGTTGGTGACCCCTGGTCTAGAATAATCTCTCATCAATCCACAGCAACAAACATTTAAAACAGTAACTAAAAATCCGATTTGTGTCGCGATTAGTCAAAAGTATATTATAATAACCCACAATTACTAGAGAGAAGCTTGACATGAGTAAATCAACAAATTATTCACCATACCTAATCAATGATTGAACAAAGGTGAACATGATTTCCCAATTGTTGGCTACCCCCACCGAGCCAGACGAATCCATTATGATAACAGCATCCATCTTGGCACTGGATGGACAAGGTGCTACATCAAACAAATGAATGCAGGTTTAGAGGAATCAATGTGTGCTCGTTTGACTTGTGTAAAGTAAGACTCAAATTGTAAATAGTTATTCAAGTTTGTTAAATAAATAAATACATTGCTATATATATATTTGTAATTTCTTCCGGTAGGAATGTCTGCCTCACGACCAGTCGAGATCAAATAGTATTTTATGTTAAGATACGATAAGATTTGTAATTATTTGGCTAATTATTAAGACAATGGATGACTCAATGCATTCTCTCTTTTTTTTTGCTTAGTTGTAAACTTTTTATTTCGGATAGAACAATTTTCATCCATCCATGTCCCAATATAATTAGATCACCCACGCCACACTGCAATACACCATGCCATCGATATACACAGACATAAGTTTCCAAATGAGAGTTGTTATTAACATAATTAACTTGTATAAAGATGGTTCTTAACATTTAATAAATTGGGAGTGACTTTTCTGTTTGTCATATCAATGAACAAAACTGGGCGTTTACTAACCTTGACAGCATGGTGGTTTCACATCCCATTTCTTCGAAGGTAAACAGCGATTTGTATTTTTCATTCCCGAGAACATGCTAGTACCGGGCGATGTGCATTTGTAGTGACAACTGACAAACTGATCTCACTTTGTTTCCATGAGAGCACGTGACCACTCCATTCGGTAGTGAATTTATCTCTGGTTCACAGTGGTCAGCTATGACAAAACAGGAACCCTTGTGCATAACGGCGAATAATATATATTTTTCAGTTCTTATTTTGTTGTAGCAAATATTAACATGAAATAAAATAAAGTTTTTGATTAAATTTACTTTACCTGCTACGAATAAGCATTTTGTTTCATGAACTTACGTTTGCATTCAAGGTTCGCTTTTGTCCAACTTGTCTCGTTGATCGTTTCAACACATACACTCTTATTTGTACCAACCAATGTATGATATGGTTCACATGCGAACATGCACATAGAATTTGGATTGTTTGAATCATTGCACCAAACCTTTCCGTTATCAGGGATGGGTGGTGATTCTGGTTGACATAGACTGTCGATGGAACTCTAAAATGATGATTTAAATTTTTAAATACATGAAGCAGGTCTTTGTTGTTGAAAAAAATACTTCTAAAATAATAAGTTCGATAGTTTACGCCAGTAAAGAATCTTATTATTCATCACGGATTGAACAAAGCATGAAAACACAATCAATAAAACAACAGGCAAACCAGATAAGGATGGTATACTACTGAGCTGGTTCACGTGAAAAAATGACGAAAGTACAAGGGTCAAAATCTGGTTGCAATATAAAAGCTGCTGTTTTTAGAAGAAATCTACTTTTAAATAGGATAAAAATTCAAAACATAATTTCTCGAAGAACATGTAACACAAGGAAAGATATTGCTTATACATTTCAAGTAAAAATTACGGTGTGAAATCAGTTACAAAGTAATTGCTCAAAATACCACATGAAAGAGAAATCAGAACGAAATTCCTAAATAAGCTTAACTCAACAAAAAAACACAACCATCGCAAGCAATCAATCAATAGGGAAACTAAAAGTCGTTTTAACACAGTTTTCAGTGCCATTGTTGATATTTCAATCGGAATAACAGAAAGCACAAAAAAAATTTTCACAAAGATACCTCACGTTTCGAATCCTGGCGCTTACTTTTATATTATATATGTACAAAAACTTAGGTATATTTGCTGGTTGACAGTGAACGACTGACCAAAAGCTCTCGTGTAAATTTCAGTGTAATTACGCAAGCTTTTTCCACACTGATTTGAAATATGATCTTAATACGTCCAGACAAACTTCTGATAAACTATTGATACCACGTATGTTTCTACCCCTTTTTAAACAGTTTACCAACCTTTGCCATTAGAATATATAGAAGCCAGAAATAACACACAAAAACATATATTCTGTTTCATCTTGTATAGTGTCGTTTTATATAATTTGCCTCGATATTTCCCAATTGGATCAATCAGCACCTAAGTCACATGACTATTGATCAGGAAATGCGGTGACATGACATATCGCTGATGTCAAGCCTAGACGGGTTAAAGAAAACAAAAGGCTATGTCCGCAAAAAGCGGGAATCACCGTATTTTACAAACTTTTTGCATTAGCGCCAGTTTATTTCCCTCACATTATTACATGTAACACCCTAATCAACTCGCTCATGCGTGTAACCTTTTTTCCCGTCGCACTCTTCGAGCGCGTAATGCTATTTCTAATCATTCCATGTTAAGATGTCTTAAGAGTCTGTTGTTGTTTACATTTAATATTATTTGTCACTAAGGACTTGTGTGTTGTATTCGGGGTGAAGGATTGTGGCAGGATCCATTAATATACGTCCCTACTGGCGTGGTGGCAGCGATACGGAGAGAATCTATTGCCTTCAATATTCGGCTAATGCCCGAAGATATCAATAAAGTAATTCATCTATCCTGAAACGGGCGAATACAACGATAGTCCATATTAGTTACTACAATGGCGTCAACAAAGGCACCGAAACAATGGTGCTTGACTACGAACGAAACAATAAATTCTTTCGAAAGTTGGCGCCAAAACCTATTATATACTTTGTCGCTGGACAGCAATTTCAGTCTATTTCTCAAGCCAGAATACAAATGGGGAAAGAAATCCAAATTCACCCCTATGAGAGGTTTTGAAGACGACGCGGAATCTGTTCCAACACAATCAAGACAATCAGCGATTCAAAAACTTACATCGCTGGAATTGATGCTCGGGCAAATTGCTAATTATTGTCCTGTAATTGCCAGAAATACAATTGTAAACCACTCAACTTGTCTGGAAAATATTTGGCAGTCAATACGTCTGCATTTTGGATTTCAATCTACTGGAGCTCATTTTCTTGACTTAGTCGATATTAAGTTAGAACACGATGAAAGACCGGAGGATTTATTCCAACGGCTGACAGCGTTTTTTGATGATAATCTGCTGAAACAATCGGGCAATGTGTCTCATCATGGATTGAACATTTCAGAAGACGAGGAAATTTCTCCAACAATTGAAAATACGATTGTATTACAATGGCTTCGCCTAATCCATAACGATTTACCACAACTCGTCAAACAGAGATATGGTACTGAATTGAGATCTCGCACTTTGGCTTCTATAAAACCGGAAATATCTCTTGCCCTGGACTCACTGGTGAACGAACTCAGTTGCAGAGATGAATCCAGATTTTTACGTTCCATAACTCACAAGTCTCGATACCCTATTAAGAAGTTACACCAACACGAAGGTTTTCGTGCGACGGATGATAAGTCGTGTCCATTATGTACAACAGCTCGCCGTGCTAAAACACGCCACTTCTTGAGTAACTGTCCTTTTCTACCAGAAGCTGATCGAAGATATCTGAAAAGTATTAGAACACGCACTATGAAAAGCTCTGACGTGGAACAACCAGACATGGACCATGATGATGAAAGTCCTAATGATGAAGGTATGACTATTTTGAATAATCCATCATTTACTCGCTACGTAGAAGTAAAACGCTGTCCATATTTTGATACGAATATCCGTAATAATAAAGTGAGAGTCACTATTGATTCGGGTGCTCAAACCAATTTAGTCAATTCTTCAATAGCCAAATTACTAAATGCCGATATAAGACAAAGTCACCAAAGAGCTGTACAGGCGGATGGGAAGTCGCCATTAGGCGTAATTGGAGAAACCACTCTAACTTTGCCACGAGGTAACAAGAACATGCGTTTCAACGCTCTTGTGGTCAAAAACCTCGATGCTGAGATCTTGGCTGGAATACCGTTTTTAGAAAATCATGATATAACCCTCCGTCCATTTAAAAACGAAATAAGATTTCGCGATGGATCTGTTTATCACTACGGTAATCGATGTCAAGCTTCAGTTACCAAAGTTCTACGCATCACCGATCGTACCCTAACTATTTGGCCAGGGGATCCCTAATGAATTTTTAGCGGAGACTGCCGTGGTGATAGAACCTCACCACAATATGCATAAATCCGGTATGAAATGGCCCTCGCCAGACATATTGGAGGTAAATGACGATAGTGTAAGTTTATAAAATGAAACAAACCAACCCATTATTTTACATAAGCACGATCACTTTTGCCGAATCTCAAAGGTTTGTTTTGATAATTTACTTGAACGACATTTCGCTGAAGATTTTAGTCCACATAGTTCTCGAGTTCGTCAGTCCAAATCTGATCTTGTACTGCATTCGTCGACCATCTCTGTTAACCCAGACCAAATTATGGATAGAAACATAACAGACGCATTTATAGAGCTTCATAAAGAATACGACTCTGTGTTTGATCCAACCCCGTATGGTTATAATGGCGCTGTTGGGCCGTTTGAAGCTGTTGTAAATATGGGTCCTGTACAACCGCCTCAGCGTAAAGGACATATTCCCCAATATTCCAGAGATAGACTAGGGGAACTTCAAGATAAATTCGATAAGCTGGAAGCAGTTGGGGTTTTTAGGAAACCAGAAGCTATTGGCGTCATTGTTGAATATCTCAATCCCTCATTTTTGGTTCGAAAGTCGAACAGCGGATTTCGCTTAGTTACTGCGTTTTCAGAGGTTGGGAGATATAGCAAACCTCAGCCGTCACTGATGCCTGATGTTAATAACACATTGCGAAACATTGCACGCTGGAAGTACATCATATTAACAGATTTGACAAACGCATTTTATCAAATACCACTTTCTAAGGCATCAATGAAATATTGCGGAGTTGTTACCCCATATCGTGGCGTACGAGTTTATACAAGAACCGCCATGGGTATGCCGGGATCTGAAACGGCTTTGGAAGAATTAATGTCTCGCATATTAGGAGATTTCCTTTATAAAGGTACCGTCTGCAAGATTGCAGACGATTTATACTGCGGTGGAAATTCCGTTGAGGAACTTTATCAAAATTGGTCAGACGTTTTGAAAGCACTAAAAGCTTGTCGCATTTCACTATCGGCGAAAAAGACTATCATTGCACCAAAAGGAGCCCCCATCGAATCGCAACTCTATCAACATGCGATCCACCCACAACGGTTAAAGGTATGCGTTCATTTCTTGGCGCATATAAAGTTTTGAGCCGCGTAATCCCAAATTGCGCATGTATGCTAGATGAGTTGCAGAAAACGACGGACGGACGCTTATCTAAGGAAAAATTGGTTTGGGACGATACTTTACTAGATTCTTTTCGCACTTGCCAAAAACATTTGTCGAATCATAAAGTGATAACTTTACCAACTGAAGACGATCGCTTGTGGATAGTAACCGATGGGTCGGTGAAAAACTATGGAATAGGTGCAACCTTATATGTATCCCGTAATGGTAAAACTTTACTCGCCGGGTTCTATAGCACCAAGCTGCGCAAGAGGCAACATACCTGGATCCCATGCGAAATTGAAGCGTTATGTATTGCGTCTGCCGTGAAACATTTTTCACCCTATATAATTCAGTCAAAATATAAAGCATTTGTTTTAACTGATAGTAAGCCGTGTGTGCAGGCATTTGGGAAGTTGTGCCGTGGAGAATTCAGTAGCAGCGCCAGAGTGTATACATTCCTTTCCGTTGTTAGCCAATTCCAATGCAATATTTTACATCTCGCTGGCTCTGAAAACCTGCCTAGCGATTTTTCAATTCGTAATGCACCCACCTGTCATGAACCACATTGCCAAATTTGCGTATTTGTAAACCAAATAGAGGACTCACCTGTTTTGTCTTCCATTAATATTGAAGATATTGTGTCGGGATCAAGTAGATTACCGTATACCAATAGGCCCACCTGGAAAGTTATACAAATGGAATGCCAAGAGTTACGCAGAGTTCATTCACATTTGACACAGGGAACCCGTCCATCAAAAAAATTAACCAACGTCAAGAACGTTAAACGATATTTACAAGTCGCTTCCATATCCAGAGACGGATTACTTGTAGTCAAACATTCTCAACCCTTTCGTTCCACAAAAGAACGAATCGTGGTTCCGATCAATATATTACCGGGATTATTAACTTCACTTCATTTAAAGTTAGATCATCCAACATTCCATCAACTACGAAAAGCCTTTAATCGATACTTTTTCGCGTTAAATGCAGACAAAATCATAAAAACGGTGACTGAATCCTGTCACCAGTGCGCATCGTTGAAGAAATTTCCTTCTTTCATAATTCCACAATCAACTAATGACCCTCCTGCAATTGGAATTAAATTTGCCGCCGACGTTTTCCGTTTTAACAAACAATATTTTTTTGTGATGAGAGAATCTGTTTCATCATACACCAAAGCCTGTATTATAGAAAATGAGCGGGCGAGTACTTTACGCGACGCTATTTTAAAACTTGGTTCGGACATGCGTCCATTAGATGGACCATTGGCAGTTATACGAACTGACCCTGCCCCGGGATTCCTTGCTCTAACCAATGACAATATTTTGAAGAATTTTAGATTTTCCGTACAAATTGGAAGAACTAAAAACGTGAACAAAAACCCAATTGCCGAAAAAGCTATCCAAGAAGTCCAAAATGAAATATCACGCCAAGATCCCATGAGATATGGAATTTCTGATGTAACACTTTCTATTGTCATTTCGCGGCTAAATTCTAGACTTCGTAACCAGGGGTTATCTGCAAGGGAAATATGGACACATCGTGATCAATTTACAAATTTACAACTACCAATAGACTATCGCAAATTGATAATCCTGCAGCACAATAACCGCACAGAAAACCACCCGTACAGTGAAAAGACGAAGGCTCCCAGCGGAAGACTGCCTAAAGAGGCCCCAATTCAAATCGGAGATCTGGTATACCTTATAACAGATGGACGTAAAGCATGTTCGAGGGATCGCTATCTAGTAACCGCTGTTGACAACGATTGGTGCTCGGTTCGTAAATTTGTTGGATCACAACTGAGACAAAATTCTTACAAAGTTAGACGAAGTGAATGCTACAAAGTAGCAAATGATTGGTATACAACGGAAAATGTCCAACCTAATTCAAGTGACGACGAAGAATCAGAAATAGAGCATTACACGCGTGGCCACGAACATCAACCCCTCACTTGTGAACCCGCAATGGAGGACAAGCCTACAATTATTCCCGATGAGCCACCAGATCTCGTGCCTGCATCTTCGCGTGATATACCTGAAGAAATCAACAAACACAATGAATTGCAAGACGTAGATCCAAACCTACAACCAGCAATAGCAGAATTCCCCGGTCAAGATGAAGTACATCTTCCACTCCGAAGATCAACCAGAACAAAAAGAAAACCGTCTCGTTTGAAAGATTTTATACTTAGTTAGAATGTCTGAGATCATAAGGGTCAGAATAATACCCGATCAAGACATCTAGATGTGGGCAGTCTACTCACTCTAGCAGTTAGATATTAGTGTGTTTTTTCATAATGATATATTATATTGTGTAATATATTAAAATATATTATTTGTTTCTCGACAAAGAGAAAGTGGTAACGCCAGTTTATTTCCCTCACATTATTACATGTAACACCCTAATCAACTCGCTCATGCGTGTAACCTTTTTTCCCGTCGCACTCTTCGAGCGCGTAATGCTATTTCTAATCATTCCATGATTCAGATAATTCAGATAATCATGTTAAGATGTCTTAAGAGTCTGTTGTTAAGGACTTGTGTGTTGTATTCGGGGTGAAGGATTGTGGCAGGATCCATTAATATACCGTACGTCCTTACTGGCGTAGAATAGGAAAAGCACTCCCTTCTGCATAAATTCTGTTTGTTCTAATATCGAGTAAATGAATTCCACAACTATTTATCTGTATATTAACCGGAAAGTTTGTGATATTATGTATTGTGATTTGTGAGTGGCACAACAGCCAGTGTTCGCATGTATGAATTTACATTTTATCTTCAGATTTTCGTATCGTACATTTTTTGCTGCTGGAACCACGAAGGCAATGGCAATGAATTACAATGATCAAAAATCAGACCTACCTGAACCTGTACAGTACACATTCAACAAATAGGCCAATGACAGTTTTTTTTTTACAATTTATCAATACCACAATGTTTTTCCCAGATACTCGTGTTGCCCGATGATCAAATCCAATTCTGCGCCAAACGTAAATTTTCCTGTTCTTTTATTATACCTTTGTAGCCTATACGTAGTGTAACGTGTTCACTAATCCTGTAATCATAGACCATAAGGCGTTTTTTATTTGTGCTTTCTGAACTGTGCATCAGTGCGATGGAGACCAAACTTACTTTCAAAGAGCTTGGACTGAGTGAATGGATTTTAAATCATTTGAAAAGTTTGGGATTTAACAAGCCAACACCAGTGCAGAGAAATTGCATAACACCAATATTGTCAGGTGATTTAAATTTATTAACACACACTTTCACATACAGACATGTCATCATGCAGTCATTTGTATTTATCTGGCTAGAAAGACAATTCATAATGTGATTTATCCATTTTATGACCAGGACAAATCGGCAATTATTGACTTCAACAACCCAATTCATACAGGACACACCGGTACTGACATAACTGCATACAGGCAGGCATAAGGAGATGTGTAAATTTGATCACACACTTTGGCAACACTTGCCACCTACTGCTTTAGGAACTTGCTTGTATTGCATTTTTCTCTTTGCCTAAGTGGCATATTTATGTATGAAGATGTCAGGATATAGATAAGATTGGAATAGCATTATAATCAAGCTTTCTTGGTAGTTTATCATGTATTAATGGAAGATTTTCTTTGCAAAAATAAATAAACATCATATTTGCTTATTTATGATATCCTATACAGCATACATATTTATTTTAGTTTCCTCAACTTTTCTTCTTGCAGGTGAAGGATGTATGGGTTGTTCAAAAACGGGGACAGGAAAAACTGCAGCATTTGCCCTTCCAATTCTACAAAAGTTATCTGAAGATCCATATGGAATATATTGTCTTGTGCTTACGCCAACCAGAGAACTGGCTTACCAAATATCAGAACAGTTTGCATTATTAGGAAAACCAATTAATGTCAGAACAACAGTCGTTGTTGGAGGAATGGGTGAGATTATCTCAAGTTTTTAAATGAGCACACCAAAACAAACAAAGAGATTAATGCAAACTTTATAAAAAATGAATCAAACCAGTAGACTGATCATATAGTGAACAGTGATTTTTTGATAAGATGGATGAGTTACAATCTTAAATCACCCAGTTTGCTGACGGAAAGGTGATTTATTTGCTTTAAAAGCAACCTCATCTAACAAGTTCAGTCTATGATATAATGTCTCTAACTGAACTAAATTAACTTCTCAGCAGCAAGTGTAACTTAGTCCTTCTGTCAAAAAGGATACCAGCAAGTTGTAAATCATTTGTTATACATCACAATTGGGCCAGGTTACTAACTAGTTCACCCACTTTAAATCACTGCTCTAGACAAGACAGGTCATTGCCTTTCAATTCGAGGGACTTTTTTTGTCATTGGCCGAATGGCCAAATTGTTGATGCAATTGTCAGTTATGGAATGGAAGAGGGGAGACCTCAAGTTAACAGCTTAGATTTATTTACATGATTACTTCCATAATGACAACAAGAATATAAAATTCGCCTGGATAAGCCAGTATTATTGTATAAAAATCGATCGAAACCATTGCGCATATTCATTCCAATCTTGTTGTACATGGTTTATTGGAAAATTTCTCAAACTCGACAGTAATTTTTGCATCTCTGTAAGATCCAGGCAAAACAAAAATTTTAGTTCATAGGTCCAAAATCCTTATTGTGCCTGGTAGATTTGATTTGAAATAAACAATCTTCTGAAACCTGATCGTCATTCAGCATTTTCCTTTGTCTTGGTGTGAATTTATATTCATTCTCGAAATAATTTAATGTCCCTTTTTCAGATTCTCTTGAACAAGCCGCAGAGTTGAAAAGGAAACCTCATATTGTGATTGCAACACCGGGAAGGCTTGCTGACCATATTAGAAATTCTGAAAATGGAGTAAATTTTAGGAAAATAAAGTAAATATTGTTTTTATATCGTTTAATCAACATGGACAATATTCATTCAACTAAATTATCTACGGTAAGACAATTAAGAGATGGGTCTGAGATAGGGATGGGCAATGTAGAATAATTTACTATTCTAGAATATTCTAGAATAGTTAAATCGAATCCAGAATACCGAATCCTATTCTATTTTTATACTTATTCAAATAGTGGGAATTTCTACATTGCTGGATTTAGATGGTAAAAAATTGCAAATGTATTCTTACTATAAATGTATTATCTAATAATAAATACAAAATAGACATGTAACGGCGTTAAATCATTATTAATGTAAGTCTGCCGAGTATACTAAAACATACCCGCTGAGAACCAGCGTGTGGCCACTGCAACCTATGCGCCGTTGTAAAATATTAAATTTAACCACTATCAATTAAAATCAACCATTTATTCTGTGAGAGCAAGACACGTAAAACCAAGTTCCCGTAAACGAGATTTCGTACTTAGTTATTAGGTAATAACATCTGAAGACGAACTCATTTTCTATGATTATCGTTACATATCATTATCTACCCAGACTTGGCCCTACTCAAATTCAATACGTCACTATCTTCGCCAGATGCGGCAACTTTTTTCAAAATTCATCGGCGACTAAAATACTACAGACTTCTGATCAAACGTGCGTCTATCTTGAACGATGGAAATGTTATCATTAATCATTATCTACCCAGACTTAGCCCTACTTAAATTCAATACGTCACTCTCTTCGCCAGATGCGGCAACTTTTTTCAAAATTTATCGGCGACTAAAATACTACAGACACTCGATCAAACGTGCGCCTATCTTGTACGATAGAAATGTTATCATTAATCATTATCTACCCAGCCTTAGCCCTACTCAAATTCAATACGTCATTATCTTCGCCAGATGCGGCAATTTTTTTCAAAATTTATCGGCGACTAAAATCAAACGTGCGTCTATCTTGAACGATAGAAACGGACCGAAAAATATGTAATCTTATGTGAGTGAAATTTAAATGTGACAGTTGTTCGCGTTTTGCGATATAACTTTGTATTTCGGAAAATGGTATAATAAAATTATTCGTAAATAATATTTGATCTAAATTAATGGCGAGTAATGTCATAACATTTAACGCCCGGCTTTTGGTTTACGTGCATCATTTTTTTGGGAAAACTCGTAGGTCGCGAAAAATCATTTAATTTAAAATGAGGCAAGGCACGTCTGTAAACAATTAAAGATTGTTGCATTCAGATTATCGGAATATCACCAGTAAGTAACGTTAAGATTATCGGAATATCACCAGTAAATAACGCTAGCTAGATAGCAAAGAAGGAAAACGCAAAAATGGTGCAATAACGAGTCCTCGGCGTGAGGTTATATTGCCGACTTCTTGTCCTGAATATGCCGATTGAAATTACAGTGTCTGATGTTTACCGATTTACGGGTTCTTTGCGAGCAGACGCAAGTTTAATTAAACGAGAGAGATTTCCACGCGAGAAAAACGCTCGTCTATAATTGATAAATTAGAAACCCGAAATACAAAAATTGACTCTTGGCGCCGGAGAGGCGGAAACCGAATCCTGTTATCGGATCCCGTTGGATTCGAATACTTTGGGATTCGAATCCTCCGGATTCGGTATTCTATATTGCCCATCCCTAGTCTGAGATATGAAATATTGTTAAAACATCCTTATCGTATTTCAAACTCCAGTATGCATTCAAGTCTGATTTAACATCTATTGTCTCAGTGGGCAGTGGCTCAGTTTGATTAAAAAATCTCCAGGGTTATTGAGCCATAATAGATGTCAAACACGATTTAGGGTGTGGCTTATGATTCCCATGATCAAAAAATATTTTGCTAGATCATACAATGAAACTATAACATCTAGGACAAAATTTATCAATAATCTAAAAACATAAATGAAAAAATCTTAAATTTTTTTTTTTATTGTTTTAGATTTTTAGTTCTTGATGAAGCTGATCGGTTATTGGATAGACTAGATGGAGATTTTGGAGATGATTTAGATGTTATTTTCAATATTCTTCCAAAGAAAAGGTTTGTGATGTCAAAGTATTGAAATATTCAATGTTTCTATTTTCAAATTTTATAACTATTTTTCCACACTGAAATCGAAGATATACTTTTTGTTTTGCCATTACAGTTTAGATTTGAACATTCACAAAAGGTGTTTTTTCTTGCATGCAGGCAGACATTACTATTCAGTGCTACATTAACAGATACCCTGAAAGAAGTTCAAGATCTCAACGCAAAGAAACCATTTGTTTGGAGTGAACCGAAAACGTAAGGTTTTTGCCAAGTATCTTATCTATGATACTCTTTTAAACTTTCCTATTTATTCTGCACTTGCACTTCTGCACAGCATTGCGGGCTTGGGGCTAACTTAGGGCTGTCCAAAATCGAATAATTTTTTGATTCGAATCGAATATTTTCGCCGAATCGAACCGAATAATCGAATATTATTGCGCAATAGTAAATCTGTCTCTATTATACAATAAACGCCTGCCCTTCGATGTTGTGGTAACGTATGTGCAGTTACATCAAAGGAGATCACACGCTGGTATGAACTGAAAAATTGGAGAACTCCAAAATTTGGGTCTCGAAAACTGTTTGAGTGTAGTAGGACATATAAAGCCTGTAGATGCTATTTTAATCCTATTCACTAGTCTTTATGTTTTTTTGTGTAAATTTCAGCAAAATAATAACAACCATCAATATAGATAAAACTGTTGCTCAAGTTCAAAATTGCATTTCAAAATTCCAAGCTAGTTTGATGACAATATTATTTGAGGACTATAATATTGTTAGTGTACAACAGCCATCAAAATGCAAGAGTGCAATTATTTGTCTTGGTATATAGATGGATAATACAGTAATGCCATCATGAGAAATTACAAATTCCATTTAAAGAAGGTATTGCCATCATAAGGATCCCAAAACACCTGTTTCAGCTTTGAGTTGCCTGTACCATGTCCTTGATAACTAACTCAACAGCTTCAAATCGATTCTATTTATAGAACTATCGTTTTCTAAATTGTCTCCTTTTTCTCCTTGTTTTCTCTCAAAAACGTCACGATCGATTATACCTTGTTATGATGACCATGCATGAAATGGCTAATCACGTGCCACCGGGCGGGCATTAGTAATGACATGTTTATCACAAAATGAAGGCGAGAGAAATATCGGGAAACCAATTAAGCAAGCCGGGAGCGAGAGTGGTCTGAGCTCGGAGCGCCGCCGCTTGCCCGATGAAAAACATCCCGTAAAGGTGGTTTCCGCTTTATGTACCGGTACCTAATTTTAGCGATTCGAAAATTAGCCGAAAAACGATTCGAATAATTTGCGATTCGATTCGATTTCGAATATTTGGTTCGCTTGGACAGCCCTAGGGCTAAGTATAAAAATAGACGTCCTTTTGTCCCCTAAGAATTAAAGCACATAATTAAATTAATCGGTCTTTTGTTTTATTCTATCTTAAAGATCTTAAATTGTCTTAATAATGATGTTTTCACTAAAGGTCAGTTTTGCCAGTACAAAACTTATTTAAGTTGTCAAAGAACAGTTCAACTAACTTTCTTGGATAACTTCATTTACATGTGTTGTTTGATTAATTGCAATTTGAAGCTATGAGTGATTACAGAAATACTTTTTAGAATAAATGATTGGAATTTTCGTAATCTGAGTTTGCTGTAGTTTTTGTATATGCTGTTCTTATTCTTAACTGCTACAGTTTTGTTAATTTTATTCAACAATATTTTTCAATAATCAGTAAGTAAAAGTGACTTGCCATTTGCTAATATGCTATATTCAATATTGTTAAGTTGAATCCAACAAGTCAAATTGATCTTCGTTTCGATTAGAAGCGGACAAACATACTTCTACTTTTAAACAAAGATGTTTCTCTTTAAAATATTTTTGCTATTCTAGAATCTCCAAGTTGTCTATCGTGATTCGTGAACATGATTCAAATGGCTAAAAAAAAATTTTTTCAATATAATTTATATTTAATTCAGTGTTTCAACTGTTGATGAACTTGACCAGAGATACGTACTTATACCAGAGCATGTCAAGGATGGATACCTTGTGTTTATATGTAACAGTATTCTTGAAAGCTCTCCGAATCATTCTATAATGATCTTCACAAAAACATGCAAGTAAGCATTGAGTAACGATGCAGAATGTTCCAATCATAATCGGTATATAATTTTTCGGGACTTTTTTGTAATTGTCTATTAACTTTGAGTGGCCAATAAAACAACTACTAAACTTTGTATTCTGCTTAGTGACTTTAGATTTATGACCTTGCACCTTTTTTATGAGTAAACATTTTTGTAAAGAATGTACCACTTATTGCATCCCATGACAAAAGTTAGGTTTTGTTGGAATGTTTTCTTTCCTGCCTACCCATAATCAGCTTATGGCCTGACATAAATGTCTAGTAATACTTGAGTGACTTTGCGTGTTGAGTTTTCTTTTAGATTAAATCAAGAATTTATCAACATTTCATACTTTATAGAAACTGCCAAATAATTGCAATGTTATTACGAAGTGCTGGATTTGATTGTACATCTTTACATTCCTTAATGAGTCAAAGAAGTCGCCTCGATTCTTTATCAAAGTTTAAATCCAGTGGGACACGTTTATTAATTGCTACTGATGTTGCTGCGAGAGGTTTAGACATTCCTTTGGTCCAGGTAAAATTATGATGTTATTGTGCCTTGGTGCTGTTGCTTGTCTAAATATTAATATATTCTTTGCTGTTGTCAAGATAAGGGAAATCTGTTTTTCAGACTGTTATAAACCATAACATACCAGGAGCACCAAAAACTTACATTCATAGGGTAGGTAGAACGGCTCGAGCAGGAAGAAGTGGAATGTCAATATCTCTTGTCACCCAATTTGATATTCATAGAGTACAAGCTATCGAAGAAGTTATCAGTAAGTTTAAAGTATTTGTTGCAAGAGCCATTCTAAATGTACTAGTTGTTCAAATTTTCATTTGTTGAAGTGTTGTCTATTCTAATTGGTTTTTGCAGACAAAACATTGCTAAACAAGTTTCAACCCTTTTACCCTTTTTACCCCATTGCTGCTAAACTACTGTTTAATTATTGCCAGTATACTATCAAGTATTTAACTTGATTACGTGGTCTTGAGTTGGCATAATGTTTTTATGGAATGTTGGAATGGAACACATTTCATCTTTTTTTTGCCAGACACAAAATTAAAAGATTATGAAGTTGCGGAAAATGCTGTGCTGAAAATTTTGACAAAAGTTAATGTAATGAGGCGCGAAATTGAAATTGTAAGTTTGTTATTATATTATGACTTTTCAGCAGAATTTTTTTCTACCATATGTTATCCCTTTTGTGTTTTGTTTAGAAATTAGAAGAAAATGATTTTGGAGAAAGAAGAAAGTTGAATAAACGAAAAGCAATAATGAGAGAAGGAAGGGTAGGTTATATTGCCAAGTGAAGTTTGGAAATCTTAGCCTTATGCTCTGAATAAAATGCTATATTTTGAATCAAAAATTTGAGTCCGACTATGACCCCGGGTTTGCAAAAGCCTTGATTCCGGCTCTCAACTTCGGTTATTTTGACTCCTGCTCTAGCCTTAAACTCTGAAACATGCTTTGAACTACGATTTTGAAAGCAAAAACTTTTTCTATGTAGGTCTTTTTCAATGGTGTGTTGACAATACTTAAAACTAAACAGGATGCTTATTGAGTATCTATCGGCGGTTTTGACTCCCAATTATCGCAATTCAGTCTGAAATTCCAACTGAGCCAAACAAAGAGTTTATAAATATGACCACTCTGTTCAGACTCCAATATCAGCAAAAACCTGTCAAACTAGATATTCCAACGTCACAGATTCCTCCAGATTTGTGTTTCAGTGCTATTATCATGTCTAATCAGTAAGGGGGGCAAAATTGGCGATAACCGTTATTGTTTTGTTTGAACCAGGACCCAGACGAAGAGAAGAAACAAGAAAAACGTTTGAAGTTTGAAAGAAGAAAACGTGAAAGGAAGTTACGAATGAAGCAAGGACCCAATAAAATGTCTTCTACATAGGATATATATTGACTTTCAGAAATAAAACTTGCGTTTGTTGAATTCTCTGAGAAGATCGCGTATTAAATGTCCGATCTTAGTTTAGAGTATTGAACAGGGGCATGAACATTTCTTGGGACATTGTGTTATTTTAGGGCTCTGTATAAAGTACTCACTTGGTCGGTGAAAAATTGTTGACCAGATAAGTGGAGCGTGTAGGGATTGATTCATTGGAGTACATGGTAACATCAAATAAGCTTGACTGCACGAAGGTTTTTGAGTGATAAACGAGGCTATTTGTTCACGATGGAACCTGGTTGTAATTCATTTAGTATTATGAACTAATTCAAATAAACTACATCTCTAGTAGTAAATTATCCAACATCATCGACTCCCCCTGGCGTCTTGGTGACACTGCTGCTTTTTCATCCAATTAAATGGAGATCCCATTGTACAGGAGTTGACAAGACCCACAATTTGGTACGTAACTTATTCAATGTTTCATGCCATGCGTGTTGCTGAACCTCATGCTGCAGAATATTTTTCGTAGCCAATGAAATACAGACCGGAATTATATACAGTGTATACAATCCCTCCAAAGTTACAGAAATGCCTGTTGAGTTGACAGCAATATTGTACGACAGTCTAATGGCGGAAACCAAGTACCGAAAGAGACTTTGAGTTATTATATATAGTCTTAATGAAAAACACATTGCTCTCATTAGGGCGTGAAGCTCGTCGATTTGTTTATTTTAAATTATTTGTGCTTTATTTTGATATTTAAATTTCCAATAACGAACATTCATTTTTATGTAAAAGTTTCGAAGTCCTATTTCAACTTTAAAAAACTCCCATGGTTCCGAGGATAAACAAGTTTGGGACAATTCATTCCTGTGAAAAATGATTATAATTGGTTTAAAAGCTACTTATCAGGAAGGAAACAAGTAGTAATATACAATGACGTAGCATCTAGCACATATTGTAATTTGACTGTAGGCACTTTACAAGGTTCTATTTTGGCTCCATTATGTTTTTCAAGCATTATTAACGACTTTCCAAATTCTCCTCATCACTCTGATATCATACTTTTTGCTGATGACTCAACGCCATATCTTCGAGGCAAAGACTTGCCTGAACTTTTGACCAAAGCAAATACTGACTTGGAAAATATTCAAGCTTGGTTGTCTGCGAACAAACTCACTATTAATTTAGAAAAAAACTAAATATATGGTATTTAGCGCGCAAAAGTGTCCAACACCGCAACAAAATCTGGAATTGAATGGATTAAATATATATAGTAAGGATTAACCAGACGCGCGTTTTGGGTGTAATAATTGATGATAAATTGTGTTGGGAACAGCACACAAACCTGATTCTATCTAAAATAAGGTCATCTCTGGGTGCTATTACGAAAATAGCCAACAATTTAAATACATCTTGTTTAATATCCCTATACCACTCACTAATAGAAAGCGCTTAAACTTATGTTCATCGCCAAACGTCCATTATCAAAAAAATTCAGAGTGTATGCGACCGTTTTATTAGAAACGTTATCAATAGAGAAAATCGAGAAAAAGTTGATGACTTATTTAAAGAGTATATATAAGCTGCTACGTGTTGAAAGTTTGGCTAAATTTGAACTATGCAGCATGATGTTCTCTAGCTACAACGGGCAACTTCCAGCCAGCCTGAACAGATTGTTCCGAACAAACCCAAATTCAAATAGCAGAAATAAACAAAAAAATTTCATTCCATTTGTTGCTAAAAGTACAAAAATCCATTGCAGTATGTGGACCAAAAGCTTGATATTCCCTACCTAATGGCTTAAAAATATCAAAATCAAACTCAGAATTTCGTTCCAAACTTATGCAACATTTGTTATCATCATATTAACCAAAATCTTTGTTTTGAACATATTACTGTTTCGGAGTTTATTTTTTCCAGGGAATTCGGTTACTAAGATGGGCTATTAGAGACCATTTGGATTGAAAGCACCAACAGGAAACTCCGGAGGATGTCAAATCACCACTCAGTAGATGGCGACTTCAAACTCCGCAGGCTACCTCAGCAGGATGCAATATGAAACAATGGACTGAATTAATATTTTAACTCACCCTTCTAATCTATTATCGTGCTTAATTAGACAAAGACAATAAAAACAGCAAATTAGGTTAAAGATAGTAAATTACAATTGCATCAATCAATTTGATTCCAGCCACCAATAGAAACAGTTCTCTTTGTCAAAGTAGCATGCTGGGCCCTTTCTTTCTCATATAGGTCATAGCACAGAATCAAAAATATACTTCCCTTCCCTCCCCCCATGAAACTATATTACTCTATTGTGATCCTAATACATTTAGGGCAATTCATGATATGGAAACAATGCTTCTTTTTATAAAATATTGGCCTTAATTAAATAGTACTTTTATACATTTATTTTCTTCTGGCAAAAATGCAATCATGACAGGTTTTGTTGGAATGCTTTTCATTAAGTTTATTTTTCCTTTAATTCTTACCACATTCGGCTTCAATTATATAAATAAAACAAGAATACCTAAGAATTTGACACACGAACTGAAGTATTTCACCAAAATCTGTATGGTTCACATTTTTGCTGAAATAGATATATTCCATCAAAGACTCTACTAGCACCCTTGAGTGACGCATACCATATAGGCACAAGAACCGCAAATTTATCTCTCATACTTCGCCCATTCATACTATATGGTCTCACCACTCAAAGGCACTGTATTTGCGCCTAAATTTCGATTTCATTGTTATGTATATGTTTATTTGGTGTTGTGTTGTCTCTATTTATATATATTGTCTTGTCTTATGACCTCCCCTGTATAAACATACTCCACCCTTACCCTTACTACATACTTTTGTATACTCCACCCTTACCACTTTCACCACACCAAACGACCCATTGCCCCACCTTGCACAACTGGGTATATAAGGGACCATATCATACATATATATTTAATCTAATGTTTTTTGTTTTATATTTGTCAAAAAGGGTGCATGGCGCATATTTGTGTTTTAGGCCAGTACGGTCTTGTGCATGCATCCCGTCTTAAATAATAATAATTGTTCATTTATTTATTCATCACTATTACGAGACGAATAAACATACATACATGATTTTTTGCTGCCGCCGCCACTATCTAGGCTACATAACTTGCGTGTCGTGATGTCCTATCTCGGGAGTGTTAAACTCGCGGCCCCAGGGAACTTCCAATGCGGCCCTCAAACGCTTAACAATAATTGTAATATTTTGTTAAGGTTTTTATCTATATGCAATACATTTTTCGAACGCTTCGAAGTGAAATTGATTATTCACATAGAAAACGACAATTTACAGAAAGTAGTTTTGAGAAATTACAAATATTTTAGTTCTCATTTTGACCCAATCATGAATACACCCCAAGCTAGCAAAAGAATACTTGAAAAACACTTCAAAGATTAATGAGAAACGCGAATTACATGAAAAAGGTCGCATTTTTAGGAAAAATAGGACTTGCAATATTTCTGTATTTCTCAAAATCCTAAAAGCACACTGTTTGTTTTGTTACATTTTCATCAGTACAATGAAAATATACAATATAAGTAGACATTATCAGAATAAGCACAGCTGTCAATATGACAAATTTGAAGATCAACTTCGAACCATGAAACTGTTGCAGATAAAAACTGCTTCTGCTGACTTTGAATATTTTTCTTTAGCAATTGATGAAACGAGTGATATATCAGGCACTACACAGTTTCTTACACGCGGTCTTTATCCGAGCTTGTGATGTTAAGTTACAAATAAGGGAGAAATTCTCGAAATTAATCAAACATTCTTAACGATCCAAATAATAATAACAAACATTAAGTTTATTCTGTATTGTTTTCAAATTTTAGGTCTATATATTAAGATTAAGTCATTTTAGTGTATGTATTATTCTTTTCTTATCAAACGTTTGTTCAAAAATGTTTTGATAGTTGTATATAATAATTTGATGAATTATAATGATTTTTTGTAATAAATGCAGTAAATTGCAATAACAGTGAAATGCAAGAAATTAATATGTAAATGGTGTTTGAACTTTGAGAAAATAACAAAACTTTATTCGGCTGTTCAATTGCATCACAATATATGTCACAAACTAAACCTATTTAAAAAATATGCTTTAGTGGTAGCCCCGAAGTAGGTGAACCAAGACGGCGGACACCGGAACGTAGTATGTGTACTAGGTTAGGGTTAGACGTTAGGTTAGAGTCCAGGGGTGGGCAATTACATTCACGAGTGGGACTGTTTTCAGACAATAGACTTGCTTACTGAGCCGGAGGCTCAATAAGAAACCATGAATAAAAACAATTTATTCCTAAAAAACGCATGCGTCCAAAAGCTTGTTCAAATCAGACCCGAAGCTGCTTGTGCTGTTCCTTGCTTAAACCGTTCGTAGGTTCGCATACGCTAGAGATCTGTTTTTTACTCATACTTCGGAACATTAATTCGGATAGGTGTATTTGGAGTATATCTGGTTCGTTTTGCACATTATATTGCAAATAATGCGTGATGATTTAGGTCAGCGGTCCCCAAACTTTTTGAACGTGCGGCGCCAAATTATCAGGAAAAATCTCACGCGCAATCACACGAAAAAAATGCTGCTTTCAAATAAAACTCAATTTTATGATCGATAATGTGTACTTTAAGCCTTTGAATGAATGAAGACAGAAGTCAATTTTTCTTTCTCGTTTCTGCCTGGCCACCCCTGGACCATAAGACCATACTTTTATTCCAATTTTCCTTTTTTTTTTCAGTTCTATTACGAGTTCGGGGCCTAGCCAAGTGACTCCCGTGGTATGTGTACCTGAACTTATGGCCTAACCTTAACCTGGTACACATACTACGTTCCAGTGTCCGCGATCTTGGTTCACATACTTCGGGAGTACCGCTTTAGGTGTACATTATCAATATACGTATATCAAAAACTGTTTACGGCCCTTGACAAAATTCCCCAAAAGCAATGTGGCCCTCGAAAGCTCATGAGTTTGACACCCTGTCCTATCTATCCCAGTGACGGTATTATAGGCTACCCAATATATCAATTGATGACAGATGAATGTATTTACGACAGGTGAAATGTTCCGGTTATTATAGGTGGTCACTGCCTGCGATCAATTTCCTATTACAAACATTTTGTGGATTTCCCGGCAGTGTTCAATCCTGAAATTAAATGTGCGTAAATATATATTTGTATTGGGAGAATGGTTGCTTGATTTTAATTAACTCTCGAACAAATAAAATGCCTTTCATTTTTTAAAATAGATTTATTTGGTAATTCATGTAAAAAGACTAATTAACGCGGCTTTTTCGTATCATGAAATTGGAGATTAAAATCCGTGATCCAAATTGCCGATTAAAATTTTCCTAATGTTTTTTTAAATGTTTTTACCATTGTGTTACAATTTCGCTATAGCCTATCGTCTAAATAATCATACCAATGAAACGCATGACGCAAAGAGTCATACAGTCGGTTATAGTTTTAACAAAGTACTCTCAAGTATTTATTTTACTTGGAATGGTAACCGGACGAGAGGCCGTGGTTCGCCATATGGATAAGCCGTCTTATCGGCTTTCCTCTCCCCGGGATAAATATGTAAATCCTATCCAATCCTATCCTAAATCCTACATATCCGAAAGATAAAAACAACAATTCTCAAATATATGGGTACGAAAGTCGCTCATCCCTACCGGTATGGAAAGCACTGAGTGCAAGCACCGAATTTGCTTGAAATATTGCCGTATAAACATTACAGAGGCGGTCGAGAAATAAAATATGTCACAGCTAAATTTTTGGTGGAATATCGAACCCCAATGGCCTCAGAGGAAAATAAAAACCCTCTATCGCCTCTTTCTATCTTTTTTCCTTAAAATTGAAATTGGTGAGTTCACACAAGTTGAACCTCAACAACAAGAAGTTAAAATTTAAACAACAACAACATAAATCTAATAAAACGACAGTTCCTGTCGGAAAACTTTTCCTAAAACAGACATTCAACGACATGCTTGGATAATCTATAGAAACTTGCTGTAGCGCACAACGGCGCATTACCATAGAAACGTCGCCTATCTTTCGATTTTTGTCCGTTCACTATTTCCAGATTTGCATAGATAATAAGCACAAAGTATAAAATTTGTTAGTATAGTTTTGCGTAATTTCTAAGATACGAGGTATATAATAAAGTAGTACCGTTGTCTTAAATAGACCAAGTGTGCCGGTAACTCAGTAATTTAAATTTGAAATTCGCTTTTAATTTGTTTTGCGGTTTTAGACAGTTTTTAAATGACAAGGTTTTTAAATTTGTTTCAAGATGCCGAAACCTCCAAAGTCTGTCAGGGTAAGATCAAATTATTGGTTACTGACTTTGATATAGTGATTAAGTTATTGTATACTGTAGTATTCTATTCTGTACTGGTAAAGGTACCGTAAAAGCGCCTAACTTCGGACAGTTCCTAACTTCGGACAAAACTTTTGAACGGCCATATCTTGGCTAAAACGCGCCGTATATTGCTAATTTTAATTATTATAGGTTGCGCTGTTATATCTACATCTATTCTCATCTTTTTTAATGTTGCATAATTATTTTTTTGGTAAAAAAACGGAAATTTTGCCGAAAATTGACTGCCCGGCATTCAACGGCGCAGAGCGTCGCTCCTACTGAAGCTATCATCGTCAAAATACCATCATTCGGTAGAGGGCGACAACAATGTATATAATTTATTTGAGTGATCGCAAGATGTCGTACGAGATTTAAATAAAACATAAAATTCTGAATTATAAATTCCGTAAGAATATTAAGATTTCACGCAGCGTCAAAAATTACGTCAACCTCGCGTAGATTATTTTTCGCTCACTTCCGACACGACGTCACACTGCGTCTCGGAAATGAATTTTGACGCCAGACACAACGCCGCCAATATGACAATTTCCGTTAAGATAAAGACGGCGTTCCAATGTAATATTTTTGTATTCTGTTCGGTCATGTATGAATATATGCCAAAATAACATTAATGAAAATACATGTCACACTTAATCGATGACGTTAAAAATCGAATATATAAAACTATGATAATTCCAACGTCCATATGGCACAGTGCACTGACTTAACCATTATTTTATGATTAGTAGTCGAAATGACAGTTATTGAATACGGCCTGGGTGAATTTTATTCACTCGAAATTAAAAATAAATTTGATCTCCAACAAATAAACGGGACCTACATGTTTACTAGATTAAGTTGAATTTTAAATTAAGCTTTACAATCGGATTTACCGTGTGTTTGATATAAATTATCATTTATAAAGATAACCGCGCAGAATAAAAAAAAGCTATCCGTCGAGAATATTAATACTTCAAAGACTTCGATAGAAGCCCGTTAAAATACTTCATTGTGGATTGAAACGGATTGCATCAGATATATTTACGTATGCATTTCCTGATTAAAATGACTAACGTGTTATTATACTCATCTGAAGTATCGAAAATAACGAACGAAAGATGTAAACATAGGACGACGGAAGTTTCAAATAATGCATTTTCGTCGTGACGTCAATGTTACGTTACGACGACGATCGAGCGTCTTATCTTCACGCAACGACGTGATTACGTCATCCGCATCGGAAGCCTCTTTCTCTCTGTGCGTCGCGGTTACGCAGTGAAGAAAATGACTGTCCGAAGTTAGGGCAGTGAAGGATAACGGTCAGATGGCAAGAAATATCGATTATTTCAATAGTAAAAATAGTCCTATTGAACCGAAATTTGCAGGGAATGTAAATTACCGCACGAATGTTTTACCAAGCAATTTTGGCATAATTTTTTGGACAATAAATGGCCGAGTTATTGACGAAAATATAGTAATTTTGTCCGAAGTTAGGCGCTTTTACGGTATTCATATGATATTTGATTTCTGGTAGCAAGTAGTAATTCTATTTTTTACACAATTTTTCCATAAAGGGACCTGGATCAACACTTGGAACAAAAGCCAGTAAAGGAGGAAAAGGAACAAGAACTCAAAGACTAAGGGTGAAATTTGTGATATTTTGAATTTAGATAATTCTGTTGTAGATAATTCTACACTATCTAATAAAATGACTACATTTTAGATCAATTTTCCAGATGGCAATTATCTGCTATTCATCCTGTGCTTTTTGAAGATTTGTTGTAATAAAAATTGTCATTTTTTAAAAAATTCAAGTTTTTTTTATAAAACAGGAAGATGATGATCTGACTGAATTGGGCGATTTAGGTGATGAATATGTTCAAGGTCGAACACTCGTTAAACCAGATGACCAATTGGAATTGTCAGAAGCAGAATTAAAAGAAGAATTCACAAGAATTTTGACTGCAAATAATCCTCATGCACCCCAAAATATTGTTCGATTTAATTTCAAGGTATGAATGTCATTCAACATGGAATTCAGAAAGTATAAACACAAAAATGTTATTAATTGTTAAACTTGATGTTGTTGGTGTCACAGATTACCCATGCACTCCACTCCTCACTCAGGGTGCAATAAATTGGGTAGGCAATGTGGAACCAAAAAAGTAGGTCCTTCAAAATCAGTGGCTGCTTGTATAGGGCCTTGTTCAGAGCAAAAGGCATGAATAGGTAAGCGTTGTTTAAAAAATTTATAAAATTTCAGTTTTAATGAAGTTATGCTACGTCACTCAAACAGTGATACAGTTTGATCAAACTAGTTGATCATTTTTGTGTAGTCAACATAATTAATTTTGAAGCTTTTTCAATTATTCTTTCAGCTTCAATGGATTTCTCAGCTATACAAATTTTCAACTTTAAAACAATGGAGTGCATGTGTTTTTAATTAATCTGAATATTATTTATTTTTTTCTACAGGAACGAACGTTTAAACAAACATCCAGTGTAGAGCAGATTGCAATTCATTTTGCATTAGATGGGAACATGCTTCATAAAGACAGTGACGAAGCAAGAAGACAAAGGGCAAAGGCAGGGGTTGGAGAAAGCACAAGGTGAATATTTTTTTGGAATTTTTTTATACAATGCTTATTCACTGTGGGTGAACGTGCCAAATGCCAAGAATACCGCTGAAACCCAACTATATGGTTTGATGAGGCTTCGTTGTTCATTTATTTTTATTGTTATAGATGCTTTTGTCGATTTCCAGACTCTCTTAAATCAGGGGCAAACAAAGTTTGCTTCAAGTTTGTTAATTACCAATCTTGCACATTTTAGTTTCTACACCCAGTTCGCACACACTTGTTGTTTATTTTTCTTTCAAATACTTGCTATTTTCTTCTGATTTCGATATTTTTACAATATTTCATTCTTTTATTTATTCATAAAAATATATTCCTCCTTCCTGTTGAAATTTTTAAACTGATTGAAATATAGGCAATGCTTTGTCTGTATTTGTGAATTTCAGCAGTTAATCCACAATTTAATTCTGCAGCGAGGCTGCATTGAGTGAGGTAGGAGAAGAAGCAGAAGTTGCTGCTGAAGGAGAAGAAGGAGAGAAAGAAGAAGCAGCAGAACAACAACCTCCTGCTAAGAAAGAAAGTTTAAGAAATCAATTCAACTTCAGTGAAAGAGCTTCACAGACATTTAATAATCCTTATAGAGTGAGTATAAATATCATTTGTGCTATCGATTGAGTTTCTACAAGATCAGCTACTTTTCTGTTTTCTATGCTTTTGCGTCGGTGGATCCGTATGCATATAATGCAAGGATGCTGTTTGAATTTTCAATTGGTAAGAGATGAAACTTTCTTCGAACTTTCAGTTTATTTATCATATTTATTTAAAAAAGTACCGGTATATACCATCTAATTCTTATCAATTAGACTTATATTTTCAATGATTCATGGAACAATGCTATTCAGTATTTTTTATGATACAACATCATACAATTTATTACTTATCGATCTTAAGATCGATAAGTATATTGATAGGTATTTGTCTGTATGTATGTCTGTCTGTCTGTCTGTGTGTGTGTCTGTTAGATGAATGCGATATCTCGCGAATGCGAGGTTGAATCTGCTCCAAATTTTGCATGTGCATACATCATATCTCGGACCAGAAGCCTATTGATTTTGGGTTGATTATGTCGTATATTTAGCGAGTTATTAATTAATTAGTGATGGGACACACGGTGTCACTATGGAGTAAGAGCGCTGTTTCGAGGGATCCCCTAACTTTCGATCGATAAGTCTTCGGTCTCTGACCGATATTCTCGTTTTATGGTTAGTAATGTTTTAATTCACATTTTGATTTTATAAATCCCCTCAAATTTTTTCAATTTAATTCCCATGATTTTTAAACTCATCAATGAATGATTGTGTAAAATTTCTTTTCAGAAACTGGATACAAAACTTTATTTTGTTTTACAGAATTTTAAATTGAAATTCAATAAATTGTATGCAAAATAATCCTATATTATCTACAGAAGAACATATCTAACATTATTTCCATATTTATTATTGCATTCTACTTGTTAAATGATGTCTGACCAGACATTCTATATATTTAGGTTTGAGTTCAAATACAATCTACATGCTCAAACACGGTGCAAATATTGGCAATTATTTCTCATAATTATGATTCAAATATTTTAGGAACGAGCAACTGCTACTGAACCACCACCAAGAGCAAACTTTTCAGCAACAGCAAATCAATGGGAAATTTATGATGCTTATCTGGAAGATATACAGAAACAGGTGCTACATTGGAGACATTAGGAGAAAATTATATTCCGTCAACTTAGAAATTATGTTGAAAATTTCAATGGCCGTATCATATATTAGCAAGTGACGTGCATAAATAACGGCATATTTATTGGATATTACATTTATTGTTTAATCAATCTTTATGAGTGTTCTTAGAAAACCTACAGTTAAATTATGTCTTTATTTGATAAATTATCATTTAAGAATAAGTTAAATCTTTATGAATCTTAAAGGAAAAGAGCAAAGAAAAAGCCAAACAACTTCCTACATACAAGAAAGATGATGAGAAAACGAAGAAGAAACTGACTGTCATTGAAACATCCAGTGATGATATTTCAAGAGTATCGAGAGCATCAAAGATAATCGGTAATCATTTGGAATTCATTGGGTTTGCATAGATTCGAACAAACCCAAAAAACCCGGGTCTCGGAAAATGGGATTGGGATGACGTGTTAATCAGTGAACCTGTTGTTGTTTTATTGGATGATCGCATGGGTATAGCATCCACTGCAGCTGACGACCAGCATTATATTTGGCATTTCGAAAGTTATGTATTAGATTTATTTGAAACCTGTCATGTTAATGTGGCCCACGTATCGAAACACATTTTTAAATGTGAGATACAGTTATAGTTCAGCATGGTTTACTGACATGAGGTAATCTGTTGGTACTGAGTTGATATAAAAGAGAATGCGCTCTTAAAATTTTGAATACCATCTGATAGGATTTTATATAAATATAACTGAAGAGTATTAGAGTATGAAAACTCTTCTTTCAAATTAATATAACAGTAGGAATGCTAATGTTTTGTAATATCTTATGTTTTTGTTCATTCAGAGAGAATGGTGAATCAGAATACATTTGATGACATTGCACAAGATTACAGTTATTTTGAAGATGCATCCGATGAATACAGAGATCAAGAGGGGACATTGCTTCCTCTTTGGAAGTTTTCATTTGACAAAGCAAAACGACTGGCAGTAACTTCATTATGTTGGTTAGAAAGCAATAATATATATTTGTCTATATAGTATATTCTGTAACTAGGAAATAGTTGATTACAAAAACGCAAGATAACAAAATTGATATTTGTGAATAATCAATCTGAAAGTCCATATTAATATCAATAGATGTCTATTTTTATTTAGTAAAGCACTTTTTTTTTGAACAGGGACCCAAAATACAACGACTTGTTTGCTGTTGGACACGGATCATATGATTTCACCAAACAAGGAAGAGGAATGTTGCTATTTTATTCATTGAAAAACCCATCATATCCAGAATATGTTTACTCTACAGAAAGTGGTGTAATGTGTCTTGACATTCATCCTGATTATCCGTAAGTATGCGATAGAAAATTTCTTATTTAATAAATACTTCAAATAATAAGCTTTTTCAAATTTTCCATGATGGTCTACTTGTAAAGCCAATCCAGAATAATACTTGTTATAGTAAACCATAACATGAAACATGAATTCTCTGTTCTATCAGATATTCCGAATTTTGATTTTTTGAAAAAATCAAATCACATACATAACTTTCAGTTTACAATAAAGTTTGATGCAATCATTGCTTCATTTTATGAATATTTGTTATATACTTTCTCAGGTACTTAATTTCAGTGGGATTCTATGATGGCAGCGTTGGTGTGTACAATGTGCAGGAGAAAGCTCGTGGTGCTATATACAAAAGTACCGCAAAAACTGGAAAGCACACAGACCCGGTTTGGCAGGTGAGCACTCTAAAAATTGTTTTTTGCATTTTTCTGTATCCATAAAAAATACATTTCGCATATTTTGAAATAATTTGGCTGGTCGCTAATAAGCTTGGATCAAAAGGTAATTTCATGCAGGCCTGAGATTAATCAACTCAAATGAAATATTGAAAAAAGTCGTTTAATTTGTTTTTTAGGTCAAATGGCAGAAAGATGACTTGGACAACAATCTCAACTTCTTTTCAGTATCATCTGATGGAAGAGTTGTATCATGGACTTTAGTTAAAGTGAATTAAGTTAAATTTTATGCTTTGAAGCTATATGACAGAACTCGAAATATATTCTTTTTGGATTGACTACGACCTTGACTGGCCCTGTGACATGGGTCATCAACAGTCATGCTCAAATTATAATACAATTCAATGAAAGTGACATTAAATTTTGTGGCATGTTAAATGTGCAATTGACATGCAGTGCGCAATATTAATTACAATATATTAATAACAGAGAAGATTCAAGGAAAAAATCTGAATTACGGTAATTTTCCAACTGCATATGAATAAATGTTTAAATTTGAGGGTACGAAATTGCATTGCACTCTGGTATAAAAATGCATTGATAAGGTAGAAAACGCTGTGCCATGTAAATCATGATGTCATTAAGTCCCATTGTATTAAAAATTATTTTGAATTCAGAATGAATTGATATTCACTGATGTCATAACACTGACAGTCAGCGATATTCCTGCTGAGGGACCAGATGGAACACAACTTCAGTTATTGGGTATGACATTAATTTTGTTCTTGTGATGGTAGTTACCTTCAAATAAATTTTAATTCATTACAATCTTCTCGTCAGGATGTGGTACTTCATTCGACTTCCACAAGAAAGTTGACTACCTGTTTTTGGTTGGCACTGAAGAAGGAAAGATTCATAAATGTTCGAAAGCATATTCGAGTCAATTCCTTGATACAATTAATGCTCATCATATGGCAGTTGATGCTGTGAGGTGGAATCCCTTTCATCCAGATATTTTTATCTCATGCTCAGCAGACTGGACTGTGAAAATCTGGGATCATAATTACAGGTTCGTCTTACGTAATCATAGAAAAATTGCTATTGTTGCCTATGTTATTGTATACTTGAATATGCATGTTGCTTGATTGAGAATTAAACCTTAAAGAATGTATTCCAAATAAGACATTTCTTTATAAAACGTTAATGAGACTCCACCCTTGCTCCAGCCAGAGAACTGTTCTAATAAGTTAACATGTAGTACATAGAAATATAATATGTGTTTCTAATCGAAACTAATCTCATTTTAGTACTACTATAATGTTCGCATAAGAAAAGATATTTTCAGCCTGTTGCACAACAGCTGTCCAAATAAGGACACCTAAATGAAACACTGGTTGCCCCAGAACCTATGAATTTCTTGATTACTTCTATGAAAAAACGCATTTTACAATTGGAACTTTGTGTATAATTGTAAGCAAAATTTCAAATTATGTTCCTCGAAAATATTTCGCAAATGACTTGGATTCTACTTCATTTCATCCCCCCTGTATATGCTGTCTTGGTTTCTGCTTTCTATAGTGAAAAAATGTTTGATGAAGTTCTATCATATCATTTTTTAGTTTGTTTCGAATGTCACTTTAGGGCAGTGGTTCTTAAACTTTTTCGAGCGCGACCCAAATCTGAGTTTTATGAATACTCGCGACCCAATCCTAAACAACGCAAAATGTGTTTTTAATGTTAGTACAGTTTGACTCAAATACAGACAACTATTTATTAGAAACAGTTCATTGACTCAGTGAGATTGATGAAACTGAAATTTCCTTTTCATTATATAATACACAGCTCTATTTTACTTAACGCAATACGCAAGTTGTCACGGGTATCGAGGCGATTGCGAGCTTAGTTTTGATAACCGTCAGTGCCAAATATCCTCGCTCGCACAAGTGCTTTGTCGCGAATTGTAGCAGAAAAGGCGTCCGCTGTCCGTCGCAAACACGACATCCTAGCTGGCTTTCGGTATCTCTCGCAATATACAACTTTTTACTCATCAAATGTGCACACACTGCTTCGTTCGCGGTAAATGGTGCCTCGAAATGAAGTCACATTTTCTCTAGATATTGAATAATCTAATGTCGAGAAGCGAGCTTTTTCATTGCGTCGTCTATTACAATTTACATTACCAAAAAGACACCCATTTTTGGTTATTTTAATCCACTAAGACGATATTCCACGCGGTCAACACAACGACAAGCGGCGTGCATGGTTAGCGATACCATAAAAGTAATACACGTGACTGGCATATCAGAATTGTGATGTAACAATGAGCTCAAGACAGTTCTTTCCGTGAATGAAACTTTATATTTCATTATTTTTAAATACCAGAGTTTAGAAGCTAAATTGAAACATTGGGAAAGCTGAAAATTCTTCCTTCTCCTCTTAGATTGCCCTTGCATTGACGACCTTGTCGCGACCCATTTTTAAACCTTCCAAACATGGGTCGCGACCCATACTTTAAGAACCACTGCTTTAGGGCATCAGCATATAACCTTCAACTAAAACTGAAGAGTCAAATGTCTGTGATATTAGTTATATATTCAAGCATTAGCTAATGCCATTCTTATATTTAGTGATCAACCAATGTTCACCTTCGATTTGAATAGTGCTGTGGGTGATGTTGCTTGGGCTCCTTATTCTTCAACCATATTTGGTGCCGTCACAGCTGACGGAAAGGTAAATAACTTATATATTATTATCTATCTAGTTTGCATTGATATTATTGATAACCTTGAAGAATCTGCTTGTTCTAGATCAGTTCAATGATAAGCTCAATAATGAGTCATTATACTGTGTATGTTTAGGTTCATGTGTATGATCTCAACACAAATAAATATGAGGCATTGTGTGAACAATCTGTAGTACAGAAGAAAAAGACTAAACTTACTCATATTGAATTCAACCCCAAACAAATGATTGTTATTGTTGGAGATGAACGTGGATATGTCACAAGTGCAAAACTATCACCAAATCTACGAAAAGTACCAAAGGTTTGCTTTTTATGAACATGTACATCTTGTAATAATTTAATATTTCAGAAATGCTATTTTACACAAAATCTGTATTACGTATAAAGTTTAGGTCATGCTGCCTTTCATATTTTCAATGATTTTCATATTTAATGAACTGTGCTGTTATGTAAATGGTTGCACAGCATAAACAGGTAATAAATCAGGTGTAGATTAAAATGCCTAGTTCCTCATAAACAATTGACATGTATTTTGGTATATGACAAGTATTTAAATGATAAATTAAATTCAAGCTAGGCATTGGAATTTGTTTACATTTCAATTTTTTACAGAAAAAGAAAGGTGAAGAAAACACACCAATCGATCCAGAAATTGAAGTTGCTAAATTGGATAAAATTCTTAGTCTTGTCAGAGAACCTGACAACAGAGATAACAAGTGAAAACAGTAACGAATAAAACAATTATTTTTCTTGATATAACAACTTGTTGACCAATGGACAAGGGCTTCGGTATTTGTTGATATGTAGATAAGGCACTTTTTATTAGCAATTTGTTACACTGTTTTAATAAAATATATATTTGTTCTAAATTTTATTTTGGAATTCAGTTTGCTATATACAGCCTAAGGGGGAATTGCCTGATTAAAAATATAGGTCATGTGCACTTACTCTACATAACCAGTCCGCAGCTTCAGATTCCTCATATATAATCCGAAAAATCACTCAAAGAAGAGTAGTTGAAAGCGATCACTATGTCATAAAAATTCACATATAGATCATGTGTGTTGCTTATATCAGTTCATGGAATGAACAAATTGTTTGCCTCCATTTAATGAATGAACAATAATGCTTTTGGACAGGGTGAAAATTTGAGACAAAGCATTTGCTGCAAATTTTAAGAGATATGCTGAGTGAAGCCATATTTTTTCAATGAGGAATAATTTATTATACTGAAGACTTGTTATTGAATAATATGGAAAAAATCTGTAGGTAAACATTCGCAAATAGTAATTTGTGAGAGTACAAGAAATATTGGTTTTGTTCTCAGTTGACCTTTTCACTTCAGCAGAATTGAAAGTCAACAATGAGAGTGTTTTGTTGCTTGACATTATTAATGCTCGATGTCAGATATAGCTTAAGTTGAGAGACTTTAAGAGTCGTATTGTAGAAATTCCCATCGAATGTAAACACCACCACACTCCAAAATGACTAGGTATAGGAAAATACACAACCCTATGCAATACTTCTAGCCCGCCACTGACTGAATATCATAAATCACATGTTAACCGGTCGGAAGAAAAGATTTTATTTTAAAAAAATGGTAAAAAAGAATGTATACAGGCACAGCAAAGTCACAACACAATAGCACCATAACCGTTGCTGTTTGAAAGATAAATGCTATGACAGCAGTTTGCTGACTGCCTCAAAATATTTGGGTTTCATAAGCTTCGAAAGTTCTTCTTTTGTTACCCACGCATAGTCTAAAATTTCACAATCTTCTTCTTGTGAACCTGCCATAACATGCTCCAATTGCTTAGAATTGAAGATATTTGTGTCCTTTAGTAATGCTGAATATATGAAGACTTTTGCCCCAATACCACAATTCTTCAATCGAACTTCCTTAGGAAATTTATATTTAAAATATCCAGAAGGAGCATTTGATAGAATAGTTCCTTTGTAATGACCGAGTGAATGTAACGACAATGATCGTTCAGCACACTGAAAATAATATTTATAGGTAGATTGAAAGAAAAAACTCATTCTAAACTAGCCTAAGCCAAAAAGGATTTTCAAAAACCAAGGTAGTACTAGATTCGAAATTACTATGTATCTTCAGCATGCACTATAAATAGTGGTAAAACCAGACGCAAAATGTAGAGTAGCAGTTCTGTCTTCCTTTTTCTCATTAGACAACTTCAATTAAATCTCAATTTGTCTTAACTGCTAAGATCGGACTCATACCTGTCTCATTGTTTCCTTATCGTCAACTGGAGCTGACGGAAGTACCCATAATCCATGGTTTCCGAGCTTCTTCTTCACAACATAGGTGATTGAATCCCGAATTTTTCTGTTAGGATTTGTTCTATCATCATCATCGATATCTGAGAGAAAAAATTGAAACGTCAAATTGGGAACTTGACCTCTTGTCTGGTTACCAGTCTATGTCAGGTAAGAGAACAGTAACCAGATATTTGTTTCATATGCATGGACCACTCTACAACAGTGAGGACTGAGTCCGAGCAATTCACCCCCACTAGATTCAGACATCTGGAACCGCGCAGGGTAATCAGAGGTACCAAGCATATTCCTAATGCTCAGCATGATGTGCAACGGCTAAGTCAGGCCATACATGAAAATATTCACAAACCTGGCATGGGTTCATTTTTCAGGAATTCTTTGAACTTTGCCTCATATTCATCTTCCATGTCCACATGTGTTACTTGAAAATCAACAGCATCGTTCTCTGCATCTCCTGACTAAATAATATACAAGAATGGATTGCTGGCTGCTGCGACAATTTCAGTTTCTAATGTGATTGTTTTAAGTTTATGATTTATATATGGTATCAACAGCCTAACTACTAGTAACAACTAGCTTAACTACCACAATTTTAAAACAGAAGAGCTTATCAGAAAATTCTTTATCTGCAACTGAATATTATCAAAAATATTTGTACACTAGTACTATCAGATATTGATCAATACAATAGCCACAAGTGGACTCGTAGATGAATGCTACATACAACAACACAAGTACATGAATTGCATGCCAACCAGGACATCTTATAATATTGGCTAGTTAGGATAGCAAATTGCAAAATAAAATTCCAATTTTAATACCTCAACAGCTCTTATAATTTCATTCTGCCGCAACTTCTCAACTTCCCAGTCACAATATACACTCTTCTCAAATTCTTGATTCTCGAGAAGCTTCATGTAATTTTGTTCGAGCTGACTCAAATATGGAGACACCAACGGTAGCCTTGTCTGAAAGAAGTATAGTATAAGTTTTAAGTATAGTATAAGTGTATATTTCGACCCTATAATCAGCATAACAAATGATAAAATAATTCATAAAATGGAGTAAATAAAAACTGATTACAAAATCAGAAAAGAAAACAAAACCAAATTCCATATTCTTAACATCATTTGCTCTAACTGGTAGGTATGTCAATAGCCAACCCCACCGCCCTATGTTATGTTATTTCTGCTGGAAATGGTTGAAGGATGTCAAATGTCAGAATACGATGCATGTCAATGTCCCCATTCACACACCCCAAGTTACATTCCCAAATCCAGTTTATACAGTCTTACTCAATTCAATTTAAAATATAAGAAAATTTTTTCTGCTGTGCCATGGACATTGATCAAAAATTTTGAGTTGAAACTCAGAAAACCAGGCAATGCATGCCCGTTTACAGGTGTAAAAATTGAAAATATTCCAAACAAGGCTTATTGACTCCATGTAGTACGCTTTCTAAACCATGACATATCAATTGAGCATAGGCAAATTGAATACCCTACCGAATACACATGCAGACATAGCAACTCACCAAGCAAACCGCTGAAGTCAACTCCCATTTAAGAAGATTTTTATTCTCAAGCGTGGCTACTTTCTTCAATGGAGTAGTTTGTTTGAAACGTTGAAAATACGAAGCATTATCAGAAGATAGTAAGTTTTGTCGATTCCTGACAGCGGAAAATATCACCCTCTGGAAGGATCGTAGCGCGGCCATTTGTTTGCATAAAACAACACGCGACTACTAATTTTACTGTTTACGTACCAGTACGACCTCGACGGCGTGTGCAACTGCGAATACGCAATATAGACGATATACCTTTCCCTTGAGCGCGACGAGTTCACGTCTTGCCAATCGGTTTATACACGATATGATCAATTTTCATTTTATGGAAAAGTGAATTACCAAGGTAACCTAGAAAATTGTTACGCAATAATGGCGCACAAAACTCTTGGTGATGTCATAATGTAAGGAAACTTTCTGTTTTACTTCCGTATCAATGTCTAATCAGCAATAACATAAATGTGGCCCGCGGTTAAAGTTTAGCAACCTTTGAGACACCTTCTTCACTAGAACAGATCTCAATCTGGAGTTGTGAACTCCGTATTTCGCGCAATTCAGAAAAATAATTCCTGACGTCATAATACATTTATATAGAATAAAATGCCTGCTATGAGCTCGTGATGGATTTCTTTTTTGACGTTGTTGTTGAAGATGGGCCTCATACGTACCCTTATTAGTCTTTGTAGGGCATTATCAGTAATTTATTTTTTCACCATGCTGAAAAATACGAATTCTACATACACAATTTAAAAGAAATATTTAAAAAAAATCGCATTTCAGGGTGAAGGGAGACGCCGAAAACCAAAGCTGGTTATCGAGCGGCGACACCGTTGAGAAAGTCTAACAAAACGCGATAAATACAATAAAGTCGAACAAAAATATGTTATTCGATAAGTAAAATGAAGGAGCAATAGGTACATCAAGGCAATGACATTAAACAACATGATGCGCAACTCCGGCATTTTTGTCCGAAGATCGTATTCGATAGCACGCTCCAATGCACATACTTGACGAGACGAAAACGAGCGGATGTGTGCTGCTTTCAAGGCATAGAACGAATGGTGTTCGTGCCTGCTTTGACAGTTGTTGTCGATTTTAATGATATTTTGGAAAGTTAAGGTAAAAAGAAATCGGAAAAAGGTAAGGTAAATACTATTGTTGTATATCACACCCGGGCATCGCACTGTTAAGTACATGTGGGAATGTCAGCCTTTGTCAAATACTACGAAGTTATTAATTCAGTACGGTACGTGGTTGCCCATTTGCCGAAATTACATATTTACTTACCCCTTATGGTTTCAAATAGTTCATGCACCTCCAGTTAGATTTTTTTAATTAGTGAGGATATATACTCATTGTTGATTGCTGCTCATTGTAACATACTATTGCGCATTCACTTTCATTTCGTATTGAATCAAAGTGTTAACAAGTTCACCTAACATTTCACTCATACCGGTCTATATTGTATAGTCTGATCTCTCAAGTATTTGGAGCCACGAATGCTTGTAATTTCTGACTAAACCCTTTTATTAGTTGGTTTATATACCAAATTCAGTAAAATATTTTTTACATAAAACATGAGATATTGGATTTATTAGCTTTTCCATTCTAAATCATATAGACTGCTTTATTTATTCTTAACGAAAATTAATAAATCTCCTCTCTTTCTTCAGATGTGAAAGTTGTGGACAAACCATTGTGAGACTCCTGCAGCACAAGAGGCAATAGCAGAAATAGTAAGTATATCAATCAAGAAATTAAGCCGACATAAAGCAAAACTTTCAACTATTCGTCTAATCTCAATTTCCTATTATTTATTCACAGGACAACTATAGCAGAAGGGAAGATATCAGAAGTCTGGCGACATATCAGTGACATGCTAAGACATTTGACCCTCCGGTAGAGTTGTGTATGGCCCCTACATCCTGCAGGGCTTGAGGAAAATAACTAAAAATTCCAAAGCGTAAAATTACATACTCGGTCTTATTTGTAAAAAGGCACAAAACACGCCAGACATACTTAAAACAGCTTTGGAAAATTAGGATTACGGGTAACTCACTGCACCTGTGTTATATTTGGTTCATCAACTTTTGGTAGTACTATAGAAGAAATTCCGGAAGGGGTATAATCATCATTCATGATAAAATACTATAATATATTTTTTGGACAACTTCAATCTAGACCAGGGATCTCAAACTGGCGGCCCCAGAGAACTTCCAGTGCGGCCCTCGAACGCTTAACAATAATTGTAATAGTATTTTGGAAGTTTTTTTTTTATCTAAATGTAATAAATTTTTCGAAGACCAACTTCGAACAGAAAATTTCCATGTGTTTGTATATTAATATAATTATGCAACGACTTAGTTACTAAAAATCAATAATAATTCAAGCAATCCTATGCCACGCAATGTGGTGCGAAATGTCTTGTCGAAAAAATCTGTCATTTGTTTTTTTACTGATCTATACATGAAATGATAAAAGTAATTTTGTGCATTACTGGAATTAATTAAACATTCGCAAAGATCCAGATTAACCCATGATGATGTGGCCTCGTTAGTTAGAGTTGGTACTATAAAATCATTTCAGCCTGGCCTTAGTATGCTGGTGACACAAGAAAGATGCCAAACGTAAGGACAAATGTAATTATTAAAACATTGAGTTTATACTGTAGTATTTTTGTTAATTTTAGGTTCATATATTTAGATTAAGTTATTTTTAGTGTATGTATTATTCTTTCCTTATTCAAAGCTTGTTCAAAAATGATTTTGATGGTTGTACATAGAATTTTATGATTTTTTATAATAAATACAGTAACTTGCAAATGTTGCAATAATAGTGGAATGCAAATATTAATATGTAATTGCATTTGAAGTTGAAGAAAATAATAAAACTTAATCCAACTGTTTAGTTGCATCACAATATATGTTACAAACTAAAACTATCTTAAAAATATCTTTTAAGTATACATTATCAAAAACTGTTTGCGGCTCTTTTTACAATTTCCAAAATGCAATGCGGCTCTCGAAAACCCATAAGTTTGACAGCACTGATCTATTCTAGACGATTCAAGCATTGCTTTGGGAAATAATATCACTTCAATTAAATTGAAATAATCTCGCTATATTAAATACAAAATCGTTGCTATCATAAAGGTAAACCAATTCATCCACTCGAAATATATTGGCCTTCACAAAGCAATGGAGGCAAAATTGAGAGTTCATGAACTATGAACATTTGTTCTTTTCTTTGTCTTGAACTTTTCATACTCCACAACCCCTATTAATTTTGTTTAATTTTAATTACCATGTGATGGTCATACATATCTTTAACTTGTATTTTCTGTCATGATGTATTATCTCAATGTGCCAAACTATTAATTAGTGTGCATATTTTGCTTCCAGATGACATAAATGTATTGTCTTGTTTATTACCTCAGCTTGGAGTATTGACAAGAAAAAGGTGCCAGTAAATTAGATAAAAAAAATTTTAACTCTTTGTTGTAATCAGAATTCACAATCAATAGGAATTATAAACAGCCAACAATCAATGAGAATTATATGCAAAATCCCTCACAATAAATTTGTCTAAAATCGGAGGAAGGCAAAAAATATAGGTAGTTTCCATTCACACAAGCATTTCAAGAAGACTTGCTCGAGCCAAACTAAATGAGCATCGTCAGGTGGTCGGTAAGGCTGCAAGTTGAATTCAGCCATGCAACCTACCGCATAGAAGATAATATTAATTAGTGGGCCATGAGCTAAATTCCTAAATTTAAACAATCCTATCTACGATGCATTATGTACCAGCAATGTTACCTACGATTAACTGAATATGTAATATGTCTAATAAATTCACCTACAAAAGCAAGTTCGATAGGTGCAAACTTTGTGTTATGGAATTGTATCACAGCACAGTTTTGTATGACACCCTCTTTAAATAAAATTTCAATGATTAAGCGCAAACATTAAAATTACTAACTTTGAACTTTGTCATTATCTGCAAAATGTTCCACACAAATCTTTCCGCTATCGCGTTTGTAATCTTCTCTGATAAAAAAAAACGTCTATGATGTCCAGAATTGCTCTTTACAGCTTGCCTGCCATTCCAGCTTTCCAAGTGAGCAAAACTTCTCAGATATAGAGATTATTTTGTTTCGTTACAGGCGCAAAAAGACAGGTACTACACGTAAAAAAGACGCCGAGTAGCAAAAGCGAGCGGAAAACGGACGCGAAAGGCGACGAGAAATATGTGCATTGGAGCGTATCATGAAATACAATCTTTCGCCTGTAGTCTTATGGAGTGACGTCAGAGTTGCCTATCATGTTGTTTAATGTCATTGATCAAGGCGACATGGTGAAACCAACCAGTCGCCATTACTGTATAAGTATAAGTTCATTTCGACTTCATAACCAGCATAACAGCCAATAAAATGATTGATAAAAATGATACCTGATTAGGAAATCAGGAGAGCAAACAAAACCTTAGATAATGTTTAAAACGTACATAATATAAGATGGGAGGTTTTGCCAAAGAGAAGTGGTACGTGTTCACTCACCATTATTTTTGAGTTTTTTATTTATTTGTAACCGGTAAGCGACTGCGTTACAATGATCTGACAAGGATTCAATAAGGTAATATTTTTATTGGCGCCGCATTGTAAATAAATAAATTAAATTTCTATCAGTAAGAAGCAAGGTGTATTAGGAATGGAAAGTTCGGCATTCACTGGTGTCTGACATATATACTTCATTGTTCAAAAAAAATGTGGTTTGTCACTAGCATTGTGGGTCAATTACGGGTTGAAAATATTCACCGAAACGTATTTCCAGAAAAAAAATATTCAGTTCCCAGTTTAAACAGAATCGAATGGGTGATCTCTCAGTAAATATCGAATAGAGAATATAATTATTTAATTATTATGGGCATTATACAAATCTGTGAATTGTACATAACATGATCCCTCCTTTGGCATCACGTAATGCTGAAAGCAGTTTATCGAAAAAACGATGCTGCGAAGACAAATTCCAAAACAGCTTACAGATAAACCCTTGCACGCACAACTTCGAGTTGCTAAAAACTATAATAGGTTTTCGATGGCCCGGGCCTCGATCGTTGGCAAAATTTTACATTCTGGTCCATTGCGATAGCTGTTGTACGTCCCTGGCCTAGGGCCTCTCATCGTCCAAATCTTCGTCTAACCACATAAAATATTTCATAAGAAACTACTAATTTTACCGTGCATATGTATATTTTAACGTTACCGTGTGGAACAACTTGTAAACTTGACGCTAGGCTCATACCTATCCAGTATCCGATTTACAATAAACAGGTAATGTGAACACGGGTTAGTGGGTTCAACTATGAATCTTGAGATTGTAAAGTTTGCAGAATAGTGATTCGTGGGCAATTTAGGATCCGTCGTGCACTCGACGGTGACCGTACATTTGAACCCATGTGTATATCCGCAGGTTCAATCTATATGTGGGTGCTAAACCCATGGTTTAGGGTTAGTTTGGTCCAAATATCCGTGAAACAAATAAAAATTCCATAGGTGCAATTGTCGTGGGTTCAAATGTAATAGAACCGCACTCGACATCAAACAACGTTCGGTGTGGTTCCCAGGCAAGTGATTATTCGGTAATCAAAACGGAGATGTCTGCATGGACGTTTCTCGACCGTTGATATATATATACCAGAAAAATTGCAAAAATTATAAAGTTCATTTTTTGAAAGTTACCGCTCACAAATTTGTTTCCATGCTCATAACAATCATTTTGATTCAAGATATTCATCCCCTGCCATTCGGAAGTATTGTAGCTGATTTTAGCCGGGTCTAACGCAGGTTTTCCGGAATTCATTTTTTATCAAATTTAACTGAACGAAAACATAATTTCGGAGACACAATTAAAAACTGACAAGATGCATGCAGAACCACGAACCACGTGCAAAAATGTGCGTGAGGTAGCAGAAGTCTGAATACCGGAAGTGAACAAGTAAGTCGATAATCGGAAACACATATATTGCTATGATGTCACAATTCTTGCGCTCGTGTTTCGATAAAAATTCAAATAGTACCGTATCAAAGTCCTTCAAAGCTATGGAATATTAAAAAAATGATGCTAATGCTGCCATAATTAAGAAGCAAATGCGTTTAGCCAATGTAGCCTAATGGACTGTAAAATATCCCGCTAATACATATATATTTGGCAAATGGGACAGGACAAAAGCAGAAAAAAAATGACAAGCCACAACAACAAGTAGCTTTTGCAGGCAATGAAACATGATTAGTTGCACTGAAGGGTTGTGCCCGAAAATTTTTAAATGAAAGTCCGGCGATATAAATTATAGAATACCAACACTCCATTAACTCCTGACCGAAATGCAGTTTTGAAAATAGACGAATTAAACAAAACACATTTAAAATATTCGAATAAAATTTTAAATCGTTTATTGCTTGTTCTGCGCCCCAATGCAAGGTGATAACATTATTAGTTGATGGACGTTTTGATTATCACATTAAATGCGAAAAGAAACTGTGATTCAAATGATGCGCAGCCAGTATGTTCCCCAGCTTTCTATTTTAGGAGGGTGTTTCCAAATATATGGGGTTGTGAAGATTTTACCAATAGTAATGTGATCTTTTTATTTTCGAGAGGTATTTGTTTAAAAAATGATAGTTGAATTTATGAAATTATTTGAACAAGCAAATGACGTAATTTAGAACAGTAGAATACTAGTCCCATGACTATACAACAGCCTACGTGGAACCGCCACAAGACGCGCAATTTTTGATTACGTCATCGCATACAAAAAAAACGAATCCCCAAATTGGTAATGGTTCGCAACCTTTTTATTCTGTGACCCACTTTCATTGCACAAATATTCTGTGGCCATCAATTTTCTTTACATTAATGAATAAAATGACAATCGCCACTCAGCATAAAAACAACTAATTTATCAATAACTCCAGGAATTTTTTATAGGTTTGTGAGGTTGTGGCCCACTTGAAATGTTTATGTGGCCCAGTAATGGATCACGGCCCACTAGTTAAGAACCGGTGTACTTTGAAACTTGTTTTCAAAAGACAGTAAAATAACAGTTGCTACTCGTTAGAAAAAATAACGAAATTGGCCCACCTGAAAATTATTTTGTGGCCCCGCAGTGGGCCATGGCCCACTGGTTGAGAACCGGTGGTCTAGTAATTGAATAAAAAAACTTTTTTATAACAGCAACTTGGAGTTGTCCTCTCGGACTTCCAGCCAACAGCAATCGAAACAAGTCTATGCCAGCACTACGCTGGTTACTCCTAGCGTTCCTTTAAATTTGTCGCAGAGGGCTCAGTTAATCGTAGTTCTTAAAGTATATGCGACTGCGTTTGCAAATCCGGAGATCTGATAAATCGCCAGTGAGATCTCAATGACTTACCCGGCAACAATATCATGAAAAGATTGGCGATGGGATTTGTTGATAAATACCGCCATTGTGACTGCTGAAATTAAAACTTGCACAATGAATATAGTCATAAGAGTAAGTTGCCAATGTTGTACTTGTAGTCATAGATTTATATATTGTATTATTATTGTTCATATAAAGAATGGAAGAGGGCAACTTCATACTTTATTCCTTACATGATTTGTGACCTCATTGTAAGTATGCAAAGCTTTCTTGGGATCTTCAGTGTTTATGTGTTTTTACATTGTATCTGCCCAGCACATGATTCATTCAAAGTGACACTCTGTGGGTCATAAATGCTGGAATGAATATTGCAACTGTGCAAACCCAGTGGGGCCAATACTCTGCAACCCAACTATTACTTGCAGTCTTCATCAATGCCAGTTCACAGTTATCAAGCACACCAAAACGAGAAAAACAGAATATGTAGGGTAGTGATTGTTTAATAAATCGCAAAGCATCGCCACAAAATATCCAAAAAAAACTCAATTTGACACCAAAAAAATGTAAAGGAAAATGGATGTAAATATACAGAAAGGTACAGAGATGGGACGGGATATTAACGAGATAAATCCAAGCATTTCAATAAAGATATTTTCACAAGAAAAAAAGGAGAAATTAATTTCACTCTAGCACTATATACAACAGAACAACTAAGATGGCAACAAAATAGTATATTAGCTTGTATGGAACTTCATTAATTCCTAACTAAAAATCATTCTTGCCGACAAAGGTTGTGGATGGACCATACGTTGGCAGTTTGCTCCATTGACCAATGCTTAGCTTACGCATAAAAAAAATTTCAAATTCAACGGTGTTAATGAAAATCACTAACTCTTTAATCATGTTATATATTGAAATAATGTAAATTCCGTAGTATTTTAAGAAGCAAAAAAAATTTTTTAATACCAGAATACATGATATTATTAGTGACTGGAGACAAACTTCCAAAGGGCTTCTGGAACGTGATCTTCATACTGCAAATGGTGTTCCATAATAGCTCTGGCAGCCAGGCATTGCAACGTTTCATGCTTGACTATATTTACCTTTTGTCGCAAATTAGTTGGTAACATTTCCATTGGAATTTTACCTGTATTATTACGGTTATCAATATGAGCACCATGATATAGTAAGAGATGAATAACGTCGATGCTCTTTGTCACAGAATCAGATATCTCTTCAACATCCGATTTATCAGACTCTTCGCATGCTGTGATTGCAGCTACATGTATGGGTCGATTGTCCTCAGAATCAACTGCATCCCAATTGAAACTACAATCAAGAAGGGTTTGTACAACGGTGGCAGATGGAAAAGCAATGACTGGATATCGACCAAGGGGACATGTATCGGATCCTGAAGCGAGATGAAGTAATGTTCTCTTTTTGTGATCAACGACATTTCTCATGCTGTACAATAACAAGTGTTTTTCTTTCTTTTCCATTTTTCGTTGCTCTTCTCCATTGGTCATACCTTCATCTTGAACAAGATCGGCAAGTGCTAAAAGATGCAATGCTATTCCCATAGCTCTGTATGTACGCTGTCCACTTGCTTCACATGCTCCACAGCATGGAGATGGTGAACGTTGGCCAGAATCTGTTCGTTGATTGTCACCTCCTGGTTGATGTGGTGATGAACTTTCTCCAGAATTTCTTAAAAAATAAAAAATTGACATTTTACAAAAGCATTGTGTTCTCAATAAGTTTTTGGCACAAGAACAATAATTATTTAAATGTGTACGTGATAAAAATAAAATTATGGAAAATTTTGTATCAATTACTGTACGTTTAAGCAAATTTTTGCTCTATGGGATTCCGTTTTCATGTGTGATGACGTCATCAAAAATTGCGCACCCATAGGTGGTTCCGCTTTCGCGGTAATCATAAAAGTTGTCGTATCGATAGTCTACTGTGACATATTGCATACCTGTACTACTTTGTTTTGGCCTTCGTGTACATATCTATCTAGCACAGCTCTCTTGCTGTATGGTCAATAGGCAGCTGAGATGAGCAGTTTGGGTGACGTCATCTCCTTCGGTGGCGCGCTCGGGTGTGCGAGCACGAATTTCCATTCAAGTACCACAGCATTTTTTTGGTGGTCGACTACTGAATTGTTCGAGCATAAAGTCGCTCGACAGAATTTATCTTGAGAACAGCTACATGGAATTAATGAAAAAAAAATAAAAATAAATATTATTACCTTGATCTTGCATTATCTTCATTGTTTTGAAACCGATCATGTGATGGCTGCATGTTGTTAGACTTATCTTGATCTTTTCCTGAAATACTGCTACGTATCGTGCCATCTGCGAAAAAAAATCATACCATGCATCAAAATAAGCCCAATCTCTGTAAGGCCCATTTACAGAAACAATAAAGTTAGGACCCCACTCGTTTTTACCCTACAAGAGGATGACTTTAAAAATGAATATTTTTAACCAAGGAGATAATTATATATACGAGACTTTTGGAGGGCACAAAGGACATAATTATCCTGGTTTTCCAGTCTAAGGAATACGATTGAAATCAAAGATACTAAAATGTTACTAGGTTAACCTTTTGACTTTGCAATATTCTTCACGGTGGTTGACGATCCCCGCTTAATTTCATGAATGGCTCTTCTTAATACAGCAAGTATTTGTGTGTGCGTGGCTTTAGGAACTTGAATTCGCATGTTCACTTGATCCTAAATTGGAGTGAAAAATTAAACAGTGTAGTTCAAAAATTAAACCATTCGTATGGTATTATGACATGAATAGAATCTAATAGATCAACAATGACTATCAAGATTTGCAACATAGACGAGATAGGAATACAAAAATCGCTGTTTGTGACAATCAAACTTTAACATAGTGGCGTAAAACATAAGTGGCGTATGGTTTAAATCTTAAATTACAATCCATGTTGAAAACTACATATCCTACCTTTTGCATGAAGCTGAAAAGTTCAGCAAAAGACAGTAAACTACTAAGTGTCATCGGAGATAATGGTTCAAGATTAGATTGTTGCATATCAAGCGCATACATCCACAGTGCAATACATCTGTCAAAATCGCCTGCATCTGCAAACACTGCCCCGCGATACCTGATAAAATAAATTGAAAATAAAAATAAGGAAATTTTCAAAGGAATCTGCATATCACATGAAACTGTTATGTTTATCATGGGGTCATGTTATGTCACAAAACTCTGGTATATTTATTTTACGAGATGACATAATTGTGGACCTGTCAAATAGAGTAGCTGTATCAGTAAATGGATCTAAAAGTAGATATCATATATATAATATAGGGCTGGGAATTTCAGAAAAAACACTTTAACCGTTAACTGGGTAAAATTAACCGGTTAACCGCAGCGTGACGTTTGACACAATAAGTTCTAATTTTAGCTTGTTACGCCACAATGGTTTCAAAACAATTTCACATGATCTTATCCTGGTGACGCTCGAAATTATTCACAAATCGAGATCGCTCTGCTGCAAGAGATATGTAGCATGCTTCGGAAATATAGGAGCATATTGGGGAAAACCCGATTCCTATATTAAATGTCATTTATGAGACTAATTTTTAGTGTTCGATATGCAAATTCTACCTTGAAATATCATAAAGAACAAGAGAGCTACGCAAAAAGTATATGGACATGTTAGACCAGAGCGAATCAGTCCTTACCGGTACCTTTGACGCTACCGGTACCCTCAAAAAAGTTCTGAATTTCCAGTAGCAAGAATTTTGCAGAATCAAAACGTACAGCCAGTCACGACACTGACTAAAATCCGTGTTCCCATGGATAAAAAATAATACAGCAAAATTTTAAACGAAATATCAAATTTCATAGAATTCACGCAAAATTTTGAAATAAATAAAAGTAATAGCCTTCTAGCGAAAAAATTAATCTTTAACAATTGAAAATTTCAAAGCAATTGGTCCAGTATTCGAAGAGAAAAGCGGCTTTTTAAAAACGTGTCAAAGAACAAGAACAACAACAACATAATATTGAAATGATCGTTATGTCCACTACGTGTCCAAAAACAGCATCAATTGCGCACTTGTTGGGTGACATTGAATAGACGCTTTTGCAATAAAATCGTTAACAATATACTTTGACCGAAAACTAATTCGAAATTCATCATTGTCAAATTTTCATAATCAGCAATATTGGTACTTTACTAATTTTTGACATTTATTCGGTCCTTACCAATACAGTCAGTGATATTCTTTTAAAAGTGATTGAAACTGTATAGGCCTATTCACTAATTTTCACCCATCTTACAGAACTTTATCTTTTGGTAATGGTAATCGTTTTTGTTGAGAACTTTTTACCCATCAACTATTCATTTACTACAGTTAATATCCGTCCTTCAAAAAGAGCTGTTAGAATTATTTGAATCCTACTGATAATTACATAAAAGCCGGGATTTTTTTTTACTAAGATTTTTTTAAAAAATTTCAATGAAAATTCTAAATATCCGAATCATTATGTGGTGTCTTTTATATACATAGTGTTTAGTCGAAAATCTGTTTAAAAGAGAAATTATAGATTTCACCTTATATAATATGAGGTGTCAGGATGTCTCGGTCCAAGGATTCTTTCTCGAACAAGTAAAGCTTGCATTCTCATGCTATCTGGATCACTACGCAATTCATCCAACGCTTCCTGTAATACAAACATAAACTAACACAAATAAAACAAATTACAATCTTGAATGTAATATGTATTTCTTTTTAAATTCAGATAAATGAATCACTACTTTTCTAAAAAGTATCCCTTTAGAAAAATTGTTTTCAATGTTTTGAATTTGAAGAAAACTATGCTGTAGGGCTTAATGGCTGAGGCACAAGCAGTAAAGATTGGTGTTATTTTAATTTATTGGGCCTAGTCATAAGAAACACCAATATTCAGTGAGTTTCATATTAAATCTAGTAATCATCATAATTAACGTAAAGATATGTACAGTCAGTAATCTAAGGCAGGAATCCCAGAGCCCCTCAATAAATTTAGAAAAAATTGAGAAAACGAAAAAATCGTGGAGCTCCTATGTTTCTCTGAGGTAGTTCCTGGGGCTCTGTACGGAGCACTTTAAGAACTTATGATCTAAGGCTATTTTGAAAATGATACTCATACAGTTAGAAACAAATAAACAAATATTTTACATTTTTGTTTACAGTCAGGCAAATAATACATTAAAGTAAACACTAAACATATGCAATGAGTTTGCCAATTTGCTAATTGTTCATGTACATAATAATATTACGGTACGGCCTAATCTCATACATGCATATCTTATGCATATAATTGATGTCATCGGATGACAACTGTGTTGCACATTGACAATATCATATATTATTGTAGAATGAACAATCAATGTTCGATATATAATAATATTATTACGGTATCAATTACATTAGTGACTCTATGCAAAATTATCTTAAAGGTAAGATCTTGTGATAATAACAAAAGCAAAGTCTCACCACTGTTTGAGCTTCAACAGCAGAACAATAAGCCTCCACAGGTGGTCGAACTGCTTTCAGTTTGGGTGGATTTGAAGTAGATCTATGAAAGAATAACTTATTACAACCTTATTGAATTATTATAACACAATATAAAATTCATACTGACAGAGGCCTTATTAGTCTGACCAGACTCTTCAGAAGGGATGTCTTTTGGAGGGAGTAGGAAATATTTGCATTCTGCATAGTTAGTTAGTAGGTAAAAAGTAATCTAAAAGTAATGATACTGGAAAACTAAATGACAAATGAGTTTATAAATTTGGTGGGAATGTTGCGACACTACAAAATTACTTAAAAATAATCTGGTCATCTCAATTAGAAAAAAAGATGATGCATTATAACATAATTACACAGTGCATTAGACATTATTAAAATAACCAAAGAATCAGTACGACCATTTGCTTCTATTAATTATTATTAATTAATTCTATTAATACATTATTAATTAATCATGTTGCTGTGTTAAACCTAACGTGTTTTCAATCCTATTAGCCATAATGCAATCAGGTGAGTAAGTCACACAACGCTGTCTTATCGAAATTGTGAAAAGACCTAAATACCAAACGAAAAACTTCCATAATAAGATATAATTACACAATGGGAATAGAATGGAAAATTAACCTTAATGATACTGGAAAACTAAATGACAAATGAGTTTATAAATTTGGTGGGAATGTTGCGACACTACAAAATTACTTAAAAATAATCTGGTCATCTCAATTAGAAAAAAAGATGATGCATTATAACATAATTACACAGTGCATTAGACATTATTAAAATAACCAAAGAATCAGTACGACCATTTGCTTCTATTAATTATTATTAATTAATTCTATTAATACATTATTAATTAATCATGTTGCTGTGTTAAACCTAACGTGTTTTCAATCCTATTAGCCATAATGCAATCAGGTGAGTAAGTCACACAACGCTGTCTTATCGAAATTGTGAAAAGACCTAAATACCAAACGAAAAACTTCCATAATAAGATATAATTACACAATGGGAATAGAATGGAAAATTAACCTGTTCATAGGTGACCTAGTTTTCTTACTAAAAAACACTTCAAAACCCATGTTGTTGAGTGTGAACTTCTGTCCAAAACTTTCCTTATTTTATTAACATTTTGCTCATATATTGTCAGACTGAGGTGCCCACTTCAGAAATAGACAATGGATATATCACTTCCGAAAGTGGGGAATATTTTCATTGGTATCAACGCGAAAATATATAGCTCAGAGAAAGATTTTACAATAACCTAATAACTACAATTTAATAAACACCAAATACAACTCTTCCATTCTGAATGAACAAGAATTAGAGATTTCAGTACATGAAAAGCTTTATAGCCTACTTATAAGATTCCCCATTTAAACTGATTTTATTATATGGTATCCTAAATTCATTTTTTGAGTAGCAAAATACAATGAATGACCGAAAGTTTACTTATTTTAAATAGTACTACAGCACTACTGACCTTAAATCAATAGCTCTTGTCCATAAATTATATGCAGCAGGCCTGTCCTGCCTTTTATCAATAAAAGTTGCTCCAAGTAACTCCAGTGCATGAATATGTTCCTCTAAAGATGTTTCTGGCCGAAGTACAAGGTATTCAACAACTTGCCGATGACCTGATGGAGAAAAACAATTTTTTGTGTAATTTTCAATATTATCTTCTGCCAGGAATATTATACTAATCAACTTTTGTTAGATAATTCTATTATACACAGAGGTGAAAAACCATTTTTATTAATTTGGTGAGACTAGTTTTTCTGTCAAATCTACAAATCAATGTCCAAATCAAAATATTGGCTGATTTGTTGACAGCATCACATCTATTATTAGACAAGAGTACTTTTCTAATCAATGAAATAAATTTGGATAGAATATGACAAAACCAAATGTCTGATGTTTAGTTTTAAAGTAAGAATATATAAAATATTTCTTGGGAATAGTGACAGATAAATATTCATAGAAAATAAGCAGCGAACGGAACTAGAAACATTGTAATTGGAAATACATAATGTTGTATATTTCAAAAATGAAAGTACAAATCATAAGGTTAATTAAGAACAGTATGTTAATTAAAGGTTGGTATATCACGATGATTTCCAACATAAATTTTTAGAATATGTATTTAGAATAAATCAGCTATGGAAATCAACAAAATATTGATTTATGCATAACATTTATGAATATTCATAACACCAAGTAATCAAAATAATTAGACTCTGATCATATTGATTACACAACAAAATATATCAGAATCGTGATTTTCGGAACATTACGATGACACGTTGGCCAGACGCTGAGTAATTAAATGGTTGTCAATTGAATAACATTTTTATGCCAAAATTGATACATGTTATATCAAATGCTGAGCAATTTAGAATGGGGAGAATACAGCTGAAACATCAGGCCAAGTTAACAAAATAAATGTGATTTATTCAATTTGAATACCACCTAAAAACCTGGCAAATTCTTCTTTGGGTGTATTTTTTTTGTTTATCAAATCATTATTAACATACCACAGCTCATTAAAATTTGAAATCTAACACCATATTAGTATTGCCAGAAATATTCCGGTTATAATATTTTGTCACATGGTTAGAGCAAGCTGACTCAACTTTATTTGCTAATGAAGCGAACTTAAATATCATCAATGACACTTTATACAGTACAATGGATTATTTGACCTATAAAATATACAACCTTATACTCAACTATATGCCAATATAGTTTGTTTTTACAATTCAATTTTGTTTGTATCACATACAGGCTATAGGCTATAACATATTAACATTCCATTTGCAACTGAGAGTTTCATATAAGTATGTGAATACTATAGGTGCAATATAAACAACTGAACAATACTGTATCCTATTCATGTTGACAACAATATGGTTGACATGACAAATACTTGATTATCACATCTGACACGTAACGGTGCCACTAACTTAAATACATATATAGCATTTTGTCTTTTTCATGATGAAACGACATAAGAAATCAATGAATCATGAGTAATGTCAGAATTCTGGTTTGAAAGTGACTCGATTAATCCAAATGCTCATTCAGACAGAATATCGCCTATGTTTGCTTAGTACATCATAGAAATATAAATTTAAAGAGTAACCATTATCAATTCAATCATTTTTAACACCCGAAGGTTCAAAAATAAACGTGACACATTGGTTGATAAAGGTTGCAGTGACAATTGTTTCAATCTGTTATTCAAGCATGAAGTCTTTGTTACACAATACGAAGGAAACTTTCCTTTCATTTGATTTCAATAGTTGGTAACTAGCCATATCCCATACAACATAATTTCTTACATTATATGAGACAATCAATTAAGAATAAACTTGGTTTACATGGCATGTGTGACTTTACTGCATATACATTCAAGATTAGTTACATTGACTACTGGTATAAAGCATTTCAACATCTTTAGGTATTTTTTACAACAATTTTATTGATATCTAAAAAAAATTAAAACTAGTTTTGGCTTGAATGCAGCTAAAACAATGTCATTCAAGTATATCTCAACAATCACATGCCAAGTGATTTTATAGAAGTTGAAATGGCCACACTCTTTTGGGTCCTAATAGTAAAAGATAAAATGGATAGGGTATGAAGAATCCATTTGAATATTCACTTTTATACAAGAACTTGTTTATTGCATGAACAAGATAAATAAAAACACAACATTGTTATAGATTAAAATAAAAGGACTTGCCTGTAATGGCTGCAGCAAGGAGTGGCGTCATTCCATACCCATCCATTTGCATTCTAAATATAACAAAAACAAAATAATAGAAATATGATGTAAACATTAAAAAAAAGAAAATGTCTTATATTGGAAGAAAACTTTGTCTGATTCAAGGTTAAATAATCCAAGTTAAGGCTAAATAGGAACTTAAGACAAGAATGTAAATCTGAAATGCCCAGGGCAAAACAATATACTGTAAAAAAAGCTTTATTGGTATTGATTGTCAGCAGAGTTCATACTTTATGGCACTTATTGACCAACTGCAATGTTTCATATATCATAAAATGTTGTAATTGCTCATTGAAAGATCAATCAAACACAAGCAAAGTCTAATTGCTCAACGGATCAATTCTGATAAGCTTCCAGTTTCATTTTCCTTAGCTGAATTACTTGTTTGAAATGCGGTACATGAATTCCCAGCACCTAACGATCAAATAATTTTATTCAATACATTTTTACATAATCATGAAAAACAATATGGTCAATTTACTGACACCTAGTATTAGAATAATTCCAACTCCTTCAACAACTTGCATCATTAGGTAGCAAAATGATAACATCAACTAAATGTACTCCCATATGATTTTTAGACTCCTATAAGCTTCAAGTTACAATACCACGAGCAACTGTGTAAACTGTGAGCAAAAATATTAGTTGGGATTCAACCCTATATTGCGATAACTATATTCTATATATTGCATTATATTTACATACCTTGCTCCATGTTTCAAAAGTAATTTTATAATATCCAGACTTCCACTTTCTGCACAATCATGTAATGCAGTGTTGCCCTTCGCACTTCTTCGGTTTACGTCAGATCCGATCTCCAACAATGTTTTGACAATTTCTTTGTGACCTTTGTAGCATGCAATCATGAGACATGTGTGTCCATGCCTATAACAAATGAAATATCATTTATAATTTCATTTGACAAATTGTTTGAAAGATGAATGATTTGCACAAAGTGTTTCAAATTGCAGAACAAAAAGGTTCTACTTCAAAAAACTGAACATTATCATTTATGGACACTAACAGAGTTGGAAAAATTTTATTTTGTATCACAGAAAATATTCAATAATAGTCAATTCACCAAGCCAGGGAGGAATCTTGTCATTGTTGGGGATAGAATTTTGCTTTGTATTTATTTGCTGCATGCAGCCTGCAATATTACCAATATTCGTTAGTACTTTATTATTACTATATTCCTTATTTATGCAAAGATCATAAACTACAAACTGTACAAAAGGGGTAGTACGACTCTAGATAAAGATTTATTAATAAAGATTGAATAAACAAAGCATTTATTGATAGTGAGGGATGAATACAGAGTTTCAAAATAGGCAAAAAGAGGAAAAAGGAAGGAGAAATTTAACAGCAATAATAAATTGAAAAAATAAAATTTTGTCTCTCTGCAACTGTCAATTTGAGACTTCACAAGGTTATAACACAAAGCTGATGGGAATAATGTCATAATAATATGTATTATTGATACAAGATATGGAAATGTTGTTTAATTTGTCATTATTGACATAGGAATTCCACCTTAATTTGGATGAGTTTAGCTTAGATAATTGAAATATCAAAGCATAAAACGTTAAAGTGATAATATTGCGTCAACCACAGATCTGACGTATATGAGAAGTACAGCAAAGATACTATTATTATACAGAGCCCTTTATTTTACCAAAAGTGATTTCATATCATGATTTCATGGGACAGTGCATCGTCACATGGCAACAGGATGGCTAGCTCTGAGTAAAGACAAGGAAATGACGAATTGATTTCGCAGAAGTCCGTTTTACATCACGACTCGCTTTATTTGACCTGTTCATGTAAGCGAGTCTCAGAAAAAAATGACATCGATGACTATGTTAATTAATCTTTCACAATACATTACAAAAAGCTTTATTGTAAAAAGTTCCAATATTCTGGCTAACGTGTGCAAGTATTACGCAGGTTGGTTAATTTCAGACAAACATTGCTGAACTTCCTCAAATAGGTGATGAAATTATGAATATGCATATACTCATATTGCCTACTAGTTATGTCTTTCTGCATTTTCTTCTGATAAATTTTGATTCAAATTCCCGTACAGCGTTTGGTTGGGATAGAAAGCAACGATAACTATTTGAAACAGACTTCAGATAAGTTACACCATGAGGCAAAGTCTCTGGATAAAACTTATTTTATGATAAACACAAAATAGTTCACTCAGTTGCTGCATGGATACTTGCAACATTTTGAGAATGATAGGAATTAAATGAAGCAATTAAAGATATTATATAAAAATGATCTTTTCCAAATGTGCATAATATCTCTTGTTCTAGTCATGTTAAAAGCCATGATTTTTTAATAGTATTATTGAAAATAACATTTTAAATGCCTAGTATCATTTCTTACACAATGATCTCACTTTGAGATGTACCGTAACTAAGACTTAAGTATAAATGTATGATATGGATAATATAATGCCTATTACATTCCACACAGATCTTTTTCTATGTATGAATGAAGGTAACCTGGTTTGATGACCCCATAAATTATGAACCATTATTATCACAAAATTACACTTAGATCATGCTTTGTACATATTTGACATAAACAAAAATCAAAGCGAAACAATTCAACTGATAATAATGGCATTGTGTAAAGAATAATGTATATGAGAGGGATTGCAAACAACGTAACAACGCAATGATCAATAACTTCATTAAGGCTTCATAGCAGGTATTAATCCATATAAATGATTGCTTTGAGGTTCAGCAATCCATATCGTACCAAATACGTTATTAAGCCCATAGCACTTATGAGCCGAATTACATTCCCTAAAAATGGTTTTATCAAACAGTGGAACTATATTTTGTGAACATTACAATATCTTCGTAATATAAAATATATTTGAAATAATTTAAATAATATGATTTCCTATAGTTTTTTTCAATGTGGTCAGATGGTTATTAGTATTTAAAACCTATGAATCAGTTACAATAATATAACAAATAAGCTTTGTAAAATATACAGATTGATATGAACAAGTTGCATATCCTACCTGTTTGCAATTTCAACATCTGCTTTATGATCAAGTAAATATTTCACAATGCCAAGATGGCCGTCGAAACAAGCTGCTCTGAGTGGTGTTGAATTTGTCATTGTAGTACTGTTGGAGTTGGCTTTATTTTGAACTAAGCATTTTACAACAGGTAAATGACCAGCTGCAGAAGCACACCAAAGTGGAGGAGCACCTGTTATTATAAAATTATTTATTGTAGTAGAACTATTGGAAATCTTTATTAATTCAAATACATGTATATCATTCGTATACTTCTCGTTCACTTCTCTATAATTATTTCACTATCATTTCCGTGACAATTATGAATCACCTTAATTTTCAGTCAAGGGTAAGTTGGGCTACTTCGAACAGTTCAAAATATCTTCGAACTATGGAGCCCTTGACGAGGTTGAATATTATTTACGGAGACCCACAGCAAATAAAATCACACTGTTGTCTATTGGAACTCATAGATAATGTCATATTTGAATTACTGCCTTGTTGCCACATTTTGACGCTACCGTTGTCAAATTTTATTAATGCCATTATTGCTTCTTTGGACAGTTACAAAACTAGCCAAGTCAGTATTTTAATAAGTAAACGAATAGCTAGCGGAGCCCATAGGTTTCTCTCACTTTTTTTGAACTTCAAAAACCTAGGATTTATGTTGTGTATGTGAATCTTACTCATAATCGAACACTTGTACAACAGGGGATATAGATAAATTCAATAGGCCACATTATATATTGTGATTAAAAATTCCTTTGTGCAGTTTTATACATTTTAAAATTTGACAAATTGTCACCATTGATGCATCATTATTATATGTGCTTCATACAAATGAATGAATGGGCATATAAACAACCTAGGCTATTTGAATTATCTGAGTACAATATTTGAAGTGTGAATTTGAAAACTTCATACCAAAATACCAAAACTTAAAAATGAAGAAAACATCTTAGATTTAGGTGGATATCGCTTCAAACTTTGATTATAGAACCTGTTTAAAAGCATTTAGTTCTTTGTATTTTTCTCAAATGACATTTTTTTCAACATTTCAACATACGCCTTTTTATATTGAAAATTTGAAACCCTCAAAATGGTTATACAGCATTAAAACACCAGACATTGATATAAATAATCAGCCATTGAACTGTCAGAATGAATGATCCTTAACATGATTGCTTAATTAATGAATAATTGATTAAATCAAAGGTCACCTGACGTCATATCATGCATGAAGAAATGAGAAACAGATTAATAATGTACAAAAGCATGAAACATGATTTAATCACAAAAGAGCACAACTTCAAAGTTTAATGGTGACGAGGTAATACATAAAATGTCATCATATATTTTATCATGAAATGAAAATATAACTAAGTGGATATTAATAAATATTACAAAACTCAAAGGCGTTCACTTTATGTAAATGAAAATAGATGTTCATGTCTATAACCTTCAATAGTTTCTCCATCGAAAGTGACTGATCCACACTGTTCCATATCCGCTTTACACTTTGTGATGAGATATTGCACGATTTCCGTTCGACCGTGCCTAGCAGCAGCAATAAGTGGGGTAGAACCATTCGTTTTTGTTGAAACTATTTCTTCCACTTCAGTCGTACCTTTTCCTGATAAATAACCCTGAAAAATAAGTAAAATATCAACATTAGAAAAAGTTGTCTAAGGATAATGATATCTTCACTTTCACTTATTGAACTAAGGAAATTCACATTATTCATGTTTACACAGTCATCAAAGGTGAAATATATTTAGCTTTATCAAATGCAGTATCATAAGGTCACACCATGTATGCTAAGTTGAACTATTGCCTCAGGGTTATATAACTCATGTTAATGCGTCATAGTTCACTTGAAGACAAACAAATGATGCTGTCTGTGTCAATAATACTTTAACACAAGTTATATCTTCATCCCTGTTTTGACTGGAAATTCAGGTACTAATTCTGAATAAATCCCATTCTTTTACTTAATTATTTCATCATATTTGGTGATTAATTTTAATGATGATAACAGTCAATACACTCAATAAACAGGCCATAGACTGCATTTCTATTCTTTGTTGGCCTTAAAACCCTTTCCTCAAAGCCAACATATGTTCAAAGGTAAAATGGTTTGAACAGTTTGGTTGTCTGGTACAGTGATTTCATTTCAAATAAATGCACTGGACTTGAGTTAATGAAGATTAAGTGTTTGCAGTGCTGTAGGACATGTCTTCACCTATTTAACGATTTATTACCAGAATTTTAGGAGATGATGAAGGCCAATGTTCCGAAGTGGAAAAATGTCCCGAATTGTCATGTCCTGTAGTGTCACATACAATATGCACATTATTTGCATGGATCTACAGTGTTACATTAATAAGTAACTTGAGCAACACATAGAGCTACTGATGTACCATCACGACAATTTACAACACAACACAATGAAACCTTAACGCATGGAGGACTTGCTGCACCGTAGTGTCACGCTATATTTTACTTTACTACATATTTTATATCCACTAAGTAAGTCTTGTGCAATTTTGTTCAAACCCCATAAAGCAACTGATTGAACAAGAACACAAAACATATAGCAGAAAATGTAAAAATATATTGCATCTAATAACTAGCAAACTTTCTAGAATTATCCCGTAGAGTTACTAGGAAAAGCCCTTATACAAAAAAATGCATGTTTAAATGCCAAATAGTTTAGTGCGCAAACTCACAATATTATGTGAAGAAACCATTCTAAAACTATTCAAGTTGTTAAATTTAGTAAATAGTGTTTTCTCTTGAATTTTACCTTTCAGTCCAAGATATATGATGTTAAGGTATTTATCCAAGAGTCAAAGCATGAGTTTATATATTTGTATTCCCAAACCTGACAAAACACATAATATGAAAGTTGTGATAGAATTGCGGTATATACTCTTGTTATACTCGTGTCAAGAACATTGCAGGATATACCGCAACATTCATAACGCAATGCAACAGGGCAAAAAACAATGCCATACCTTTAACTTCTTCAATTTTCCATCTTTTGCTGCGTTATAGACAAGAAGTTTTAAATCCATATTTAAATTTGCTTTATCAATATTGATCCTATTTTGCAATGAACTAAAAGGATAAAAATATACGGTATTAGTTAGACTTGGCATTAGTATATATACTAGCTGATTGAGGTAGTTCAAAATGACAATACAGTTGATGGCATCCAAGCTCACAATGCCAGCTCACCAAACCTCTTGATAAATCCAGTCTCTTGGCGTTTTGTCAAAGCTTTTTCCACAATAGAAAATATCACATGCTACCTAATGGTTTCTAGATACCAAGTTCCAATACTTTACTAATGCTCTCTGCATTGAACTACATATGATAACATCTCTTTACATAAGCTATTGATGTTTCTGGGCACAGTACTTTACCAAAGCTTTTAACGCACATGCATTATCTTATTTTCTTAGTATTCAACATTTCCTCGCAAATATCAACCGATGCATCTATGGGTAATCAGCCAAAACTCCTGGGCAGCTGTTCAGTTCGGTTCTTGTGTTTGAAGAAAACAGAGCTAGTGTCATTGCTGAACTCTATTAGGATTCCACAAAAAGCTGGGGTCTGGCATAGTTTACTACCACAAGTACTTCCAGTGGGCGTGGAATAATGATTTTTGCATATGTTATTACTAATCCCCACCTGACTATGCCATCAAAAAATTACGTCACTACGATGTCACAATTACGTCATAGAGTTTGCCCGAGTATAGTTACGATCGCCCGAAAGGGCATCTACGCCGATGATAACGAGTTCACTAAGGCCAATGATCTCTCTCATACCAGGATCGTTGCAAATAGAAAACAAGAGAATTAGCTTGCTCGATTTCGGATGATCGGGAGCAGTACACTGATATAAATAACAATACCAGCTGAGTATGGCGGCAATATGAACCATCAAACCAACTGACTGACAAAATCGAATCATATTCCCTACAAATCTAAGGTGATTTGCAGACCAAATTTTCATGTGGCTAATTTTTTCTTACGGATGTTGCGTTTTTTTTTGGTCGCAGTGAGTAGTGAGTAACCAAATTTCTCGCTGGAAAAAAACCATGCCATGCAACCATTCAAGTTCATGCATCTGAAACAAATAACTGGCGACTAATCCCATATCCTAAATGGACTGGTAACCGGACGAGGGGCCTTGGTTTGCCCTATGATTAAGCCGCCTCATCGGCTTTCCTCCTCTCCCAGGATAAATGTGTGAATCCTATCCTATCCAGTCTTAATACACATTTACATTAACACCGCTTTTTTACTCATCGATCTTAAGATCGGTAAGTATGTTGATAGGTATTTGTCTGTATGTATGTTAGATGAACGCGATATCTAACAAAGGTGAGGTTGAATCTGCTCCAAATTTTGCATGTGCATTCATCATATCTCGGACCAGAAGCCTATTGATTTTGGATGAATTATGTCGTATAATTAGCGAGTTAATAATTAATTAGTGATGGGACACGCGATGTCACTATAGAGTCATGAATCAAAACCGCAGTTTCGATCAATAAGTCTTCGGTCTCCGACCGATATTCCATTTAGTTATTGGCAGTTGAAAATTTAGGCTGTGCATTCACTGCGTAAATTGTTTCTAGCTTCTTGT